AAAAAGTTGATTTAGTGGTTTTCGATGATGCTCACCAAATTTCTAATTGGAACTATATGTCTACTTGCATGAATTAAAAAGTTTTAAAACAAATTTTACTTCATCAGCCGACTAATACTTTGTTTCAATGAAGAAAATTGCTGAGCATCACCAAAAAACACTAAATCAGTAAATTGTAGAACGATAGAAGGCACGAGCGCTCCGATTAGAAACCGAAGCTTAAAGGGGCACTGACACCCCAAAGGTCGTATTTATTTTTATTGTCTAAAACGATGCAAGTTGCAGCCATAGACACGCAAAAAAAAAACGCATCGCGAAAAAAAATTTTCTCGCGCGCACGCGCGCCTTTTTATTTTTGGCGTTTGATTTTCCCGCCTCTCGCCTCCTCGCTTCTTTTGATCGGTGACGTCAAAAATCAGGAAATTTAGAAGCTTTGTAGGCGGCATCTTTATAACATTTAATGACGGCAATCCTAAAGCATGTTTTTTAACGTAATTGCGAACGCACTACGGCCCTTCTTTTTGAAATACCAAAAATCGGGAGTTCGTTGTGGTGCCGTCTCCTGGATTTGTATCCTCCAACGGAAAACAGGCGACACCGCTCAAAACCGGTCCGCCGCAACGCCGGCGCTAGCCGGCGCTCGCTCCTTTCCTCCTCGCTTTGGGTCGCCATGGCAACAGCAGGGAGTGGTGACAGGAAAGGGGACTCTCAGGTCTCCGCAATTTTTGACGTCAAGGCACCGGCGCCGATCGCGCGGGAACTTCGAATTCGGCATTTGGAAATTGTTTTTTTACTTCACGAATACTGAATTCCCAAATTTCAAATTTTGAGGGTAATGTCCCGGCATCGTTTTCGACCGTTTCGGATAATAAAAAAAAATACGATTTTGATGTGTCAGTGCTAAAATGCCGCGCGTGCCTTCTATCGTTCTGAAATTTACTGATTTAGTGTTTTTCGGTGATGCTCAGCAAGTTTCTAATTGAAACCATACTAATGAAACCATGATGGGGAACAGCAACCCCCAACCGGGAGGTTGCTGTTCCCCATCCTTGGGCTGTACCGGCGGGCTGTACCGAACATCGAACTCTCGCTCGCGGCTGCCGTTATGAAGTAATTCGCGTTCTTAGAATATTTATGGCTACTCCGAAATCAGCCTTTAGCGCTCTGTTGTTTTATTTCAGCAAATAATCAACTAGCGTATCTTTGTTCTGTTACTTCAATAGCAGTGGAATCAACTGGCAACTCAACCACTGCTTCGCGTCTATTGCGCCAGGAGAGCGCGTTTTTATTTATTATTCCAGACTTCCACTCAGTGTCGCTAAAGGCCTACACCAGTACAACCTTCATATAGTAAAATAGCTACAGCAACCGGATTTACTTTTCGCCGGAACAACCAACCACTCTGACAGTTTTTCCTTTTTTTTTTATTCGCACACAGGAAACATTGCGATTAGACTCAGTTAGTCTTTTTATTCAGCCTAGCATTACACGATAACTTGCATATCAAAATCCGCGCATCTGCGCTTGAAATTTCCAACATGACGCGATTTTAAACCGAGTTTGAACGCCAGCCGGATGTTAGGTGCAGCCCACTCGGCGGAGCAGACGAGGCACGTGGTGAGAGGGGGAGGGCATTTTTTGTCTCTGCTCTTCCTAGTGGCAATTTTTCGTTCTTTCCCTTTCCCCAACTTTAATGCAATAAATTCAGTTATACGGCCAGGGGGACATAGAATAGGGGGCTAATCGTAATGATCAGTCTGCTAATTCATTAAAATTCGTTAACTTTTAATGAATAAAACAGGCATGGTTCCAATACGAAACTTGCCCAGCGTCATCGAAAACCACGAAATCAACTCTTTTTAGAAGGATAGAACGCGAGGTTTTACGGTGTGCTAAAAAAGCGCTCAATTTGGACGCGTTTTTAGGCTTCGCTTTCTTATCGGAGCGCATCTTTGCGCCCGCGGTCCTGTACCCCCGGTGGTCGTAGCGCGAAGCAACCCCTCGCCTCACTCGTAGGCTGCGAGTCGTAGCATGGAAGGAAGTTGGACGCAAGTGTGTGGCGCGTCTCAGCCAATGGGGAGCAGGACCGCTGGCGCAAGGATGCGCTCCGATAAGAAATCGAAACCTAGAAATGTGTCGAAATTGAGCGTTTTTACGGTAAACGCCAACAAGCGTTTAACGCTTGTCTGCGTTACCTCAGCACCGGATTCACTGGGAGACAGGGTTGAGACTTTGGGCCAGAGCTACGCGAGAGGGAGTCCCCAATTTTCCTCTGTCCTGCCTGTCCCCAGCTGTGCTAGTTGCGTGTGCATCATTCAATTTTCCCTACATAATTTTCACCAATCTTCTAATCGCCTCTTTGTGACTGTAATCCTTTTCCCATCCGTCCTTCCATCGTCGCCAGCAAAACCCAAGGCAATGGCCAAATTCGTTACCCCTTCAGGAAGGGCAGGGCGAAGCCCCGTGCACTTCAAAACCAAGTGCTCCAGTGTCTCACTCTCATTATGGCAGGCGGCACACAATCTGTCTGTCTCCTGAAATTTAGCCCGATACGTCCTCGTCCTCAAAACTCCCGTTCTCGCCTCGAACAGTAAAGAACTTCCCAATGAATCGTCAAACACATTATCCTTTCTTATGTCCCGTTTTTGTAATGTGCTCATTGTTAGAGCAGGTATTTCATGCATTCTTACCTCCCACATTTTTTTTTTTTTTTATCTGCCTCTTTCACTCCCTTTTCCACTGGAGTACTCTGCTCAGCTCCGTCACTAGTGTGTTGGTATTTAAATGTAAGCTTTCAGGTTCCATTTGTCCATTTTGTGTTCCGGCATAAATACTTGAATACCTTCCGTACCCTCCACGTATCATCCATTTCGGCCAACCTTCGTTCCAAACTCTCTGCCATCAAAAAAACAAACTCATGTCCCCCTGTACTGCATCATTTGGTGCCTTTTTATCTGCTCCCAGTGCCAATCTGTCTACGCTTCTCTGTCCAATTTCTAATCCCAATTGGACCTCCGATTTCATGCACGGTACCCCGTTGCCAAAAGATAGCCCTGGTACCATCACTCCTTTCCGTACCTCTGGCCACTTCAGATCTATTATAGTTCAATAGTACCTTAAGCTTCATAATAGATTAATTTTTTTTTCTCTACGATTTTTCTAGGTATTTTCTCCCCTCATTGAGCCAGACTCCCAGATATTTGCATTTTCTTACCTGCTCTATTACAATGTCTTGCATCCACAGGGGTTCCCTCTTTTCGTCTTTAAACACAATTACTCCAGACCTGTCACTACTAAAACTCATGCCAAAGGTGCCCGCAGTTTCTCGCCACATTGTTGCCAGAGGACAAGTATTAAAAACAATCGAACCCGTGACCCCATGATTTTGAGCTCGACATTCTACCACCACACTAATTAGTGGTTTTGTTTTATTGTGTGCTAATTATTGGGCCGATGCAAAGCTAGCTGGCTTTGTCTCTACCAGGGTGGTATCTACTAACTGCTCAAATGCGAACGCCGGCATTCGGCCAGTTTATCGAAAGAAATCCAAGACATGCGCACCATCACATAAGAAATGACAGAATTTGGAATAAAATAACCTGCTATAACCGCGGAAAAAAAAAAAAATGACATTCTTTCTGTAATGCCGAACAACTCCCTGTAATGCCGAATTAGAATGCAGCTCTTGAGGAGGAGGAGGGGATAATACAGAGAGGAGGGTATGCCCCTCCTCTCATTCTCCTCCCTCGTGACGTCATTCGTGAAAGCTGTAACCTTCACGAGTGAAGGTCACGTGAAGGTTTTGACCTTCGTGAAGTCATCATGGGGAAACGTCTCATATTGCAACATGCGGTTACGAGTGGTCACTCTTGACGTCATTTCCAGAAACGTTCCATAACGCAACGCGCATTTACGCCGACGGCGACGCTGCTCAAGCCGGAAACAGGCGTCTAAGAGCTGCGCTTTTAAACTGCAATGTCCACCACGAGTCGTGACGATTGCCACAGAAACACATCATGTGCCTGCCAACTCGTCGTCGAGCATTTTACGCTACGTCCTTCGAGCAGGCGCATTCCACGACGCAACTGGTGCGCTGCGCTTCTGGTGGGAGCGCGGCACCTACACCAAGCTTGAGTGGATCGAGCGGTGCTTTGGCCGTCGCTACGCCGCCTCAAGCTACTCTACTGAGGGACGGGGGACGCAGCCCCAGGAGGTCAGGGACGTCCTGCTCGACCGGGTAGCCCTCCAAGTTGCCCATACGGTACGTCTCGGCATGCACAGACAGATGAGGTACGCGGGAAGCGTAATATTCCTGCAGAACTTGTTCCGACCTGAAAGGGCACATATGGCAGAAATTTGTCTGGTTCAGGGATGCTCAAAGCCCAAAGTGAAAAGAGCAAGTAGGCCTCGAAACGGTGGGCCCCAGATGATTATGTTTTGAGAAATAACTGGCGCCACCTGGTAGAAAATGGGGTTCGAGGATTCCGACGGAACAGAGGGCGGATTAGGAAGGAGGGGGAAAAGTGCCTTTGACAGAATTTGGGGGCACAATACAAGCCACAAAAGGGACTTTGTGGAGGGGGGGGGAAGGGGAAGGGGAGCTTATAAGTCACTGAATAGAGCCAGCAGGATCTTGCTTCTTGGGTCAAAGGAGTGTCTGCCCTCACTTCAGCCCGTGCTCACGCATTTTCACACCAGGACCTCTCGAACGCGCAACTTCCCAAAAAAGGTCCAGTACAATTTATTCTGGTATTTAATAAAAATAAAAAGGGCTAAATTGAGTCACGCCATATCTTGTTATAGCGTTTGTTGCAGGATTGCGAGCATGGCGAGAATGCAAACAAAACGGTCCAGGGCAAAAAGGGCCCTATCAAAATTGCCCCAAGTTGCGAGCCGAAGCATAATGGCCTTAATAAAAGTCGACGGTGTAGTTAGCTTGCTGTTTGCAGGCAAGTCAAATGCGTGTGCTTGATGCAAGCTGAACGTACAGAAAGAAATGTTGTGCAAAATGCTTAAGTTGCAGAATGTCAACCATTTTAAGGCTTATTTATTTGATTCTCTAAAGCATACTGCAGGTCAGTGGTTGAGCCATGCAGAATAGAATAGCATAGATAAGTGGACCCAGACAGATAACCGATGCAAATATGGAACTGAATAAGGCTTGTTCGATTTACATGCACCTTCTGCATTGGGCAGAGAAGTGTAGAACAGTGTACTTCCAACTGTATCTCAATATACATACCAGAAGAACACTGCCATACACTTTTTTGCACCGGTGCAGGAGGTGCAGACAAACTGAGTGAGCCCATGATTTCGCATTAGCAGTGCAAGCTTATCTTTCACCCCAAATGTCTTGTTGCAGCTCCAATGCGCCAATTTGAAACCTGACTAAACTGAAAATTGTGGTCCAACTACTTTTTTGAAAACACACTTGGCATGTAATATCGCTAACTATCGGCCATTCCAGACATACAGATAGGATTCTGTGTTCTCAGTAAATACCGATGAACCTTGAAAATTAATCCCCGAGCCGGTTCGATTAAAATCAGGGACAACTGAAAAACCCCAAACTAAAGCTCATTTATCATAGAGGAAAAAAACAAAAAAAAACAAGGCTCAACGGGAAGAAAAAACTGGAAGAGTGCACATAAATCTTGCAGTACCGAAGTACCGAAGTGCAATACCGAAGGGTACCGCCAGGAAATTGCAGTCCATCGCATATACAAGCCTAAGCCGTATTCAGAAATTATGTTTGTCACTCTCTCTGGACGAGTGCTTTCCCCTTAGCGTGCGGGTGTGCCGCGGCGAAGCAACACATGCAAAATTGCAATGCCTCCTTCGCAGCTGTCGCTTCTCTGCAGTATACCAATGCGCGGCGAGAAGCACACTCAACGAAATTTAACGTTTCGGAACAGACCTTGAACATGAGAATTATTGTAAAAATCCCAAGTACTATCAGTCTTTGATACGAAATGCAGTAAAATAGTATGTTATTTGAGGAGACACTAAAATGTTCCGAAAGTAGCATAAGGATATCATAACGATCTGGCAGGGAAGCCAAGGCTGAGCTACTATATATTCAGAAGTATTAAAGTGAAATAAAGCTTTGCTGCAATGCTGATGCAAATTCCTCACATTCTGATAAGATGCAGCAGGGTAAGCATTTTGGCGCAGCAATTGCATCACTGCGCACACAGTATGTGTGCTGAATTCAGCCTCAAAGAAGCAGTTCACTGAAACCACTAGAGACCATTCAAAGTGTTAAAAAATTTACTAGGGATCATTCTTTCCTAATTGGCATTTCGGATCATTGTGTTGGCAAGTGCAACTTTAGAAAAGGTGTTCCTCACGCACGACTGCTCGTGACAAAGCAGCATAGTGCGGGTCTCCACTTTTGCACCCGTGCCTTCGCACAGCGCTTTTATACGAAAACATCTTGCATTTGAAGCTCAGAAATGAAGTGGGAAATTGCAAATACAAAACTTGCACCTTTTAATGCAGCTGGAACTGGTACTAGAGAGAAGCTCATCATCAACAAAAAAAAGAAGTGAATTTCAACATTTTTGTTGTACACATAGTGCAGGGGTGGAAGTAAGCTTCAGCCTTTTGAAGCAGGTCTGGGAGCAGCAATTATGCCCCTTTGGAGCAGCTTTGGAGCAGTAAAAGTTCTGCTTTGGAGCAGCTCAGAAGCCAAAAAAGTTGAGTTTTGTAGTGGTATAAGTAAATCTTGGAGCTGTGTGGTCATCCAGGTCAAACTTGGGTGCAAACCTGTTTTTCAATATACAAAACTAGCACAACGAAAAATCACCTCCACGTGCCGTCCCAAAACCATTTCCAAACATAATATCCAGCCCACCGCATCAAAAGGAAACGGCTAATTCCAGATTATCTAAATGACAGCCATTGAGAAGAGTCCTGGTAGTGGGTTGGTTCCTCTTAGAATTTCCAATATAAGGCATACTCAACAAAGGAAGCACAACTTAAGCCTCATAATAACAAAACGTGCCTAATGCACAATGCAAATCACAAGTTCCATAAGCATTTAAGAGGAAATAGTATGGTATGAAACAAAGCCTAACACTTACCGATTACAGTTTCCATTATCAGGAAATACAAATGTTTTCCTGTTTAGCAAACCTAAATATGTTCCGCTACTCAAATGGAAGGTTTTCCTCGCAAGTCAATTGCCTGGATGCGTTCTACCACAACAGTTTCGAGTTTGCATCACTCAGCAGGATATTGTTCTCATTGTCCTCTCGCCGGCTTGCTGTGCGTGTGCCAGCTTGTGTATTTGACTCATACGTCATTTACAATAAAGTTTACAGATGAGACAATTCAATTATCGCTTTGTTACTTTTACGGAACGAATGAGGAGCGTGGAAACGGTCTCAGCAAAAGCAAACACCCAAAACATGCAAAAATATGCCAAATGTTCTTTTAATTTTGTAGACTAGTTATCGCTTTCCCGAGACATTAGATGATAGGCGAACAGACGCTAGCAAGCTCTTAGGTAGTACATTTACATACACGTGTTCCGGCCGAACGCCGTAGATCGTGTCCAATCTGTGACCTACGATGGTATTATTTAGTGACGCAGGAGAATTCAGCACTTAAGGCTTTCTCATCTAGGTGGTGTGGGTTTGTCCTATACCTATGTTTCTCCATCTATACCTTTCTTTTGGGTGGGAATTCTTTCGGACCTTTACGGTACATGTACAAAATATGCACTTTCTTTTTCTAGTTTCACGTTGGTAAGGTGACTGCCCGTAGCAGCTAATGTATTATGAATGCGCATATGAGCAATTTGACAATGCACCGACGAACAAGGACAGCATGAGAACAGATGGCAGGTCCTTTGGTCAACCCACATCTAGCACGATCTTCTTACCTTCGGCGATGCTTTGGCGTGATGGAAGCATGATGGAAGGCAACAGGCACGTGCTGGAGGCCTGGAATTGAAAGAGATGCCCCGCTGTTCTCGTCCTTTTGGAAACTAACTAGAGGGGACGCTCTGTTCAGCTCGGTTTTCCCTGGAGCTCAGGGTTTCCGCGACACGAGACGCGCAGGGCACGGCGTGAAGTAGCGTCCACGACAAACGTAGCGTCGTCGCCGAGATGCTACCAGCCAGATCTTCGTTGAAAGCAGTTGTCGGAGGATGCGAGCTCGACCCACTTCGGCCTTCGTGCCGACAGGACAGAGCCCCTCTTCGGGCGACGGGGAGAACACCAGCCCCAGCCAACGCCGATGCAGTGTTCGCTATTTCAGCCCAGCGCCAGGTCGCTGTCCTCATTGTTCCCCGTGGATGTAGTTCTAAAGTTAGCCGCTTGGGGTGTGGCGGTTAAATTTCTTCCCCAATAGAAGCTCAAAATATGCCGACCAAGTCAGCGACGCTTGCAGAGACAAAGGCATCTCAAGCTGGCAGAAATGCTTCGAGACAAAAAAAGAAAACACCTTTGTCACCCCAGGAAAACAGAACATTTGACGTGCAAAAACGAGCATGTCAGTGGGACATAGAAAAACTTTCCTCAAGTTTATGCCAAAAAAAAAGAGAACACACACAATGCAAGAGATTCCCCTTCCCAGGTGTACGCCGAGCGGTCGAAGCGGCGTCCGGGGCCGAGGCTGGCGGCCCTGCCGTCTGCCTCTGCGGAGCAGCTCTTCTTCCTCGCCTTCGCCACGGTGAGACAAATTCTTTCCGGCCCCACGCGCGCAACTTAACTCCGGATTGCGGATCGCGACGCAGGGCCAGTGTTCGGGAAACCGCCCCCGGCCGCACCTCCGGTGAGTCCGCCGCCGTCGCAGCAGTGCCCGAAACGCGTCGCCGACCGGATCGTTTAGCGTCCCGTCCCGCCCACGCGTCCGAGGAAGCGACCCACCGCCGTTGCCGCCGCGACATTGCCAAAATTGCGACGGGCGACGGTGTGACCCGGTGTCCCAGGCGGAAACTGAGGATCCACTTTTCCGGGTGGGGTAAAAGCTCCGGTCGGAAACGTGCCCCAGGCACCACGTTGCGAAGCAGAGCGCGTCGCGGAGCGGAGTCTGACGCAGTCTCGGGACGCAGGGTCAACCTGGTGCTGGAGTCGTGCGGCGCCTTCGGCCGGTCCTTCGGGTGCCCCGTGGTGCGGCGCCCCTGTGGCCGGGAGGAGCTCAGTCGAGGATGACGATGGGGTCGGCCATGGCCGCGGCCGGGTGGCGGGCGCGGCACGGACGCCGGGCCCAGCGGCGCAGCTCGGGGGTGCTCAGCTGTCGCCGCAGGCGCCTGCAAACGGAGTCGTCTCTCGTCGGTCTCGGTCGCGCGAACTGCGCCCTTCGGCTTAATAAATGCGGCGAGAATGCTCTCAAATCTATCCTGGGATGGAAGGAACCCTTGTTACGACTACCGTGCAGTCCACTTATAAAGACGATGACAAAATTAAAAAATTCAATCGTTATAAAACCATTACCGTTGTATCTGCACTGGTACGGTGGCAATTGGGATAGGTGTACCGAACACTCCGCGTTTAAGCATAGTTCTGCGTGCCGCCGCTTCGTGGCAAAAGAGTGGCGCTGTATCCAGGATACCGCCGCATTTCTGCTCGAAAAGGCGTAACGTGAAACGTCACAGGGCACGAGAGCGTCTCGTACTCCGCGTGCTCATGCAGGACACGCTTCTACGCTTGGTGCCATTGTAACTCATGCGATGGCGCCAGGCGCAGGGTACCGGTGCCACCAGCGTCATGAACAAGTGGCACGCTATCGATTTGCTGCTTGGCACACCTTCCCTTATAGTCGCCATAGTAGTGGTCTCGAAAAGTGCCCAAAGTAATGCCCCATGTTGCAAGATGAAGCAAGTTAGTCGGCAATGCAACATACTGATCGCATTGTACGATGCGATCAGTATCGTACGCCTCTTCTCTAGCCGGTGCCACTGGCGTCATGAACAAGTGGCACTCTATCGATTTGCTGCTTGGCACACCTTCCCTTATAGTCGCCATAGTAGTGGTCTCGAAAAGTGCCCGAAGTAATGCCCTATGTTGCAAGATGAAGCAAGTTAGTCGGCAATGCAACATACTGATCGCATCGTACGATGCGATCAGTATCGTACGCCCCTCTTCAATGCCAAAGGCCCTGAGGGTACATGTAATAAATAAATAAATAAATAAATACCAGCTTTAAAATAAACATTTTCTTTATATAGTAGTTTATATGAACAAGTGCTTGATAAATTGTGCAACAAAAGCGGGAAATCGTTGCTTCGATTGCGATTCTGACGTGCCACGCATCCGGCTGCTACAAATGTGCCTCCCACAGTCTTATTGCATGTCCGAAACCAACCAGTAACTGGATTGCGAGGAAAACACCTTGAACGTAAATTGGAGACGGACGATCATCGATGATGGCACAGATGACGCTGATGTTCCCTTGGCGGCAGCAACAATTGAGATTGTGGGGCTGCGACGTTGCCACAAGGCGGCACAGGTGGCAGGCGGGAAGAGCTCATAGATATGGACGAGGCTCCAGGCTTCTTTAAACATGGACGCGAACGTTTCGACATGCCTTGTTTCGTCTACAACAACACTGCCGAAACTTACGGTTTCACTGCATGCATTTTGCCGGGAACCATCTTAAAAATATGACAACCGACGCCGACGACGGTGGTATAGGTCGGCTTCAGGCAGCGCACCGCATTAACTCGCGTTCGTCGGTTCTTTTACAGCGATAGTTGTTACGGGCTCTTGCCACCACCGAAAATGACGTCCGTCGTTGATGTTGCCAACGTAGGGCATGCGTCGTCGATGTTGCCAAATCTTCGAAGATCGTCTGCCACCTGCGGGAATCGAAGCTGGGTCCGTGGCGTGCGAAGCGGCGGTGTCATTACCGAACTACGCCACTTCATTAACGAGAATTTTATAATACCCAATAACCATCCGCACATTCTCTAAAAAGAAGAAAAGCCGATAACAAGATGGCGGTGTCAATCCGGAACAGCGGAGAGTGCATGCCGAACGCCGGCCAGCGCGCGCGAAATGGGGTACAGAGTTTTAACGACATCTTCACGTGTGCTTTCCTGTTCTCCGTCGTCTGCTACAGGTCAGATGTCTATTTTGTTCAGAATGCATTTGTTCACTCACCCCACGGTGTGTGGTATGCGACGCCGAGACCCAAGGACCGTCCAGTGACTCGTCGCAACTATCGCCGTGACCGTACTGTGAATTAACGCGACTGCTCAATTTTTAGCGCATTTCGTTTTCTGCGCGATTTTTTAAAATATCTTTTGATCGGTGAGCTTGTGATCGTTGTAGCCGGAAGGCCTACTGTACTCAGTCGCCATGTGCCGTTTATTTTTACGTAGACCCAACGGAAAAACACACGGTTCTCTAGAAACTGATTGTATAGGCGGTGAACCGTTCCATGCGGTATTGTCATAAGTAGATCACACTGCCACTGACGATGCGAGAAGAGCTGGGTGGAGCTGCCCCCAGCACAAGATTTCCACTCCAGACATCATGCGGTGGCAATTACACCGGCACGACGCACGCATCGTGCCGACCTTGGCGGGGAGCCGACCCGACGGTCCTCACCTGGTGGCCTCCGTGGCCAGGAAGAAGAGGTCGTCCGGCGCGTCCACCCACGAGATCATCTGCTTGCGGCCGCCCAGACGCGTGATGGTGGCCACCTGCGCATGCAAGGGACGAACCATGCACGTGGAACGCGTGGCCCCGCTCGAGATTACGTCCCACTCTGGTCCAAAACGGGCAGAGTGTTTTTGGTACGGCACCCCGAGACCCCGGCTTAGTTTTTCGACGCACCTCGCGTCTTCGCAAGAGCCTCCGGAAACGTTTGGCTCAAGCCACGACTCTGTCTACTAGCCTCCTTCTTGAACAGACCCAGCCCCAATGCACACCAAAATCCTTTATTCGCCCCTTTTTTGCTTGCCAATAAACTCGGTGGCGTCACGTCTTGGCTTGCCCTGGCCCACTATACTGCTTCGCATACATTTTCTGCTTTTTTAAGCATTATTCCTCCACCATAAGAATGAATTAGGTCCGACGGTGCTACAAGCAACCATCTCCCAAAAGAGCGTAGATATGATGTCGCAGGTCCTGCGAAACCAGACGGGAAGTGTCCAAGGGCTATTTGCACACTGCAGTCGCCATGTTTCAACTCGTGCGAAAAAGAGTGAACACAAAAAAATGGTAGTAGCCAATTCAGAAACGTGCATTAAATTAAAAGCCGAGACGTTTAAAGACTGAAAACTAAATTGGGATGCCCACCTAAGCCACGCAAGCCTACGGGTGGCATCCGCCAGCAGTCAACACCCCCAGTCGTGCAACTTCTACAAGTTGTAGAAGTTGCGCGACTGAAAAACAAAAAACTTAAAATAGATTTGGTTCTTTTTTTCTTTTTTTTTTTTTATGATTCTTGATTTGCTCGCAAATCAGTTTAGCACACTGACAGACACAGCTGAACCAGTAATACAGGGATGGAACTGGGCAAAGCAACATCGGAGCAATCTTGGGAGCAGGAAAAACTGCAGTTGGGAGCAGGCTGGGAGCAGCAAAAACAAGGTCTTGGAACAAGTTGGGAGCATCATAAGTGTTTTGAGAATGCCAAGATAGAGGCCACATTTGCCCTGGTTTTCAACAGTCAACGAAATGGGGCAAGCAGATAACTTCATCTGAACGGTAGTTTCAATCACCATTTTATTTTAAACATCTTTCAATAAATTACACAAAAATTACACACAATATATAAAGCAAAACTGCCCGACAGTGTGACACGTGATGGAACCGACTTGCAAAGAGGTAAATATAAACAAAGAGGGAGAAATAGCTTTCAGCTCGTGCGTTGCTCTGTCATATGTCTCACTGCTCTCTAGCCTATTTTATGTTCCCAAGTTTTCTGCGCGGGGCCTCAAGGTGGGCAAACGCGGGCTGCAGGCTTGCAATGCACCTTTCCATAAAAGCCTATTAGGGTGCGCTCATTGCTGTTGTGTGTTACATACGCGCAGTTTCTGGCCGGCCGCAATTGCGAGCGAGAGCTGGCTGGTCTGTTTTTACACGTGTGGACCCTGTGCGTGGACTGTGATCTAGGTAAACAGTGGAAGTACAGCCAAGAGGGAGGAGGTAACTTAAATACATTATATGGAGGCGCTGTTTTCTCCACTGTACAAATGAAGCGACTCCAAAACTCCAGAAAAGCACACAACAACGGCAGCTATATACTTCGTTTCAGCCCATGTCCATACGCAGCCGATGCTACGAGCACCAGCATGTGTCCTTGAACAGTGCTCGCAGTGCACGAGCGCACGTTAAGGGCAGGATGCTGAAGGCCAGGAGCTCGCGCTTGTAACATCATCTGCGTGTGGATTTGGACGAAGCAGAGCAACAGCAAACGGGTTCAAAGGGGTCTGGGGCCCTGAACTCGTCAAACACAAAGTTGGGGCCACAGTTGACGCAGTGCACCGATTGGACAGTCACGACGATGACTTTGCGTTTCGTCGCCGACGTCCAATCAGCGCGCTCTGCAAACTTTCAACTCCAGCTTTGGGTCATCCCCAAAGATGAGACTTTTGGTCCGCATTAACAAAACACAACCGCATCGCGCCAAGAAAATTATTTTTTATGTCAGAAAGTTTATGCGGTGACATACCAATCCTACCAAGCCATTGAAAAAATGTTTTCTTTTTAGGGGGAAGGGGGACAGGAAGGCGAGTTATTGCCACCCAGAAGACACGGCGTGACATCATCCTTAGTGGGCCCCCAACCAGTCCCAAGCGGCAAAAGTGCCGAAAGTCCGTCTTGCCGTCGCTGCGTGCTAGCGTCGCAGCAATGGTACCGCCGACGGCGACGCAAGACAGGCATCGCTGTGTGAATCCACTAGTGGCGACGTTTAAAGGGAGCGAGAGGGGGAAGGTGCAAGCCACGTCTTCCAGGTGGCACTGTTTGAGCATACCTCTACGAAAGAGGCAGAGACAGGATAGGGGGAAGGAAGGGTCCACCTTTCGGGGAGGGCCACCGGTGGGACCCACCTTGGGGCGCCCCCCGTTGAGCGGCGGCGGCTGCAGGCGCCGCCTCGGCCCCATGTCCGCCCCGTTGGCCGAGCCCTCGTAGGGCCGCTTGCGCAGCAGGCTAGCCCCCATGCGCTGCATCGGAGGGGGCGGGGCCAGGGGAGGGGGCGGGGCCGGGGCCGACTCCTCCCTCCGGGGCATCGGAGGGAAGGCCTGGCGCACGGGCACCGGGATCTGCTCCCGGGGCGTCGGGTGCAGCCACTCTGGCCGGGGCAGGTTCGGGGTGCCCAGCCGGTGGGACACGTCCACCACGGTGCCACGCTCGCGGGGCCGCCGGGGCGCCGTGGGAGGGGGCGTGCCGTCCGCCGCCAGCTTGCCCTGGCCTGCAACCGTCACCGGTCGCAATCGGAAAATCTGCACTCTATTCGCGACTCCAGCAAAACGGACGCCGCCAAGGGGGAAAACCGGGAACCAGTCGGTCCAGGTCGCTCCGCGCCCCGCCGCGTCTCTGATGGCTTTCGCGGACACGTGCTGTCGGCGCTGGGGCGAGCAATGTAATTTGACGAAGGTCCGAAAATTTCTTAAGTTTGCCTGAGTGTTCATTAGTGTGGTGAAGCCTCAGTAGATTGTTTCTTTCCATGACGTGTTTGAAAGCCCGTTTACTCCATAACACACGGTCGCATGCTTTCAATTTTTTGGATGAGGAGGAATCACGGAAAAACGTTTTGATTTCTCGTCTGTCTCTAATCACATTCAAAGTGACGACTGCTTGGTAACTGATAAGTGGTTTCTTTATAAGAGTGTAGAACAGTGGACTGAGGTCGACAGACGAAGTGTTTCACTGGAGGGAACACCAATGTTGCAGTCAAGTGAATGGGAAAGTTCGACAGCTGCTTTCCTTGAGTTTGGTTGTGCTCGATTAGCTTCAAGTTAATTTGAGCCACTAACGCCGGCCGGTGCATGGCTATTCATCTTCGCGGCTTTTCGCCGAAAAAGACCACATTGAAGGAGTTGGGCTAATTTCGCAATTACTTGATTCAGAAAACCTGCTCGCTGCATATGATTAATGAGGGAAATTATTTGCCTTCAAAAGGTGGGGGACGTGTCTCGCAAAGTTAGAAGCTGTCACGTCATTAGGATCTATCGCGCATCCAATATTTATATTATAAGCCCTGTCGAAGCCAGCAGCAATATACGTCTACATTGCTCAGGTTGACCGGCCACAAAAAATACTCATTTTATCCGTTCAGGATTCGAAGTCAAGTTCAATGCAGAGAGGTCTGAGTGAATCTCCGATGAAGACTCTCCTCAGTTTGTCCGCATTCGTCTCCGTTCTACCCGCTAGAACCATTTGGCTAAGTTTAAGTAGTATCTCTCTGTCTGTCAAATATACTTTTATTCAGCAGTTCACCTAATAGTTAGTCAACTAAGTTCATATTTCAGCCCGAAGAATATACTAATATTGCTTTAGTGGGACCATAGTACGTAATATAATACATAATCCGCATATTCGTCAAAATGACTTCTCGATTGCTACTAAAACCTGAATTGAAATACGAGTATCAGCTGCTTAGTGAAGCGCCAGCGAGTTGACATGCTCCTTGGCTCAAGAAGCGCTTGCTTAATTTGCGTAATTTTCCTGCAGCTTGTGTTCTTGACCGAGCATACGACTGGAGCTGTTTCTTGAAACGCGGACAGGCACAAAAGCTCAATTTCGCAGTCAGATAAGTCGCATGGTCGAGGCATGCGAGTTAGCTAAAAATTACTCTCGGTGGGGCAATTTTGTAGCCCTCGCCGCTTTCCTTAGATGATCAAAACTAATTAGAGTCTATTACCGTTTCTTCGGAGCCCATAGTTTCGGTTTTGATCGAAGTCTCCGAAACGAAAGTTTGACATGAAAAGAACAAAAAACACCGACAAAACAAAACTATGCTCGGCAAGTTTATGCGCACCGGCTACACTTAACTGTCTCAGTTCAAATACCCATAAAATTGGGCATTCAACAAAAGAAAATTTGTTAAATTGAATGCGCCACCCATTCAGGCGGCCCGGCCGAGCCGACGCGACCTGGACTCAGCCACCCTGTTTGTTTGGTGGTGGCGCCCCCTATAGGTCGCTGGAGTCGCGAATAACAAAGGCTCCCATTATACACAAATATTCCTTTCTCTGAGGTTATCCGATCATCCAAATTCCCATTAGGGCTGCCCGAAAGTAAGTTCTTGCACGGTCCGTCCAAAGAACTACAGTGTCTGGAACGCCTCCCCGACCAGTGTTGCTACGGTCGGTGACGGGCTAAGAATTTGGTGTGCGCCACCCTCCACCTAGAACTTTCTGCCACTGGCAACACTTCGTGCTGGAGGCAGAGCTTGCACCGCATTCTTAGCCTCTCACCAACCATAGTGCACTATTTCACCCGTGTGTCGAAAGCAGCTCCAAAATGGCGATTATAACTGATGTCGCAAAAGCCGCAGCGTCGCGTCGTCGGATGTCAAGATCTCGGCAGTTGGCCGTAGAAGTTCCAGAAAAAGGCACGAGCGAACGCAAGCGTCACCGTCGTCGGGGTGTCCCAAGTCCTGGCTGTCAAAGCTTTCCCGAGCTGTTGGGACGTCGGGCGACCCGCCCGACGTCCCAACAGCCCCGTTTACCGCCGCCGCCAAGACGCAGCCGGCATCGGCATGATGCCTCTACTTCGTCACCGGGCGAAGATCGAGGGACCACTTTCTATGATCCGTTTCGTATTTGGCATACAACACCGTCAAAGCTGCGGGCGCGAGCACAGGGTTTCATCTCGCAGATCGTTTGCACGCGTTCTCGGACCCTTAGGGGTCGCTCAAGGCCCTCTTGGGGTCCCCAAGGTCCTCTACCATCAGCCAGCCCAAACAATGCATATTTTTTAAAAAAAGTTATTGATGCCGAGTATTCAACGAAGGTAAATAAACTAAACGGCACGCGCCGGGTGAGTGGGGTTCATTATTCTTTGTTTTGGAGCTTCGAAGGTGGTTTTCAGGCATTTAGTTTTCCTTATTCACCTTTTTGTTGTTGCAATCATCCAATACTGCCCCCTCCCCTGCGACGGATGGGATCCCTCATCACTTCTGCCAATCCATGAGGAGTATCCGAAACTACTGTGGTTGAGAACCACCGCCATAGATGAAGCCACGTGCTTGCTCCAGTGGCTTTGACAGCGTTGTATAGTAACATATGAAATGGAGCACATGGTGCGATAAACAGACCACTCCGGCATGCGTTCATGCGTTCCAAGCACTGTAGTTGAGACCAACACCAACGCAGGCCGAATGGATGGATGGATGCTAACAGCTGTACCCTTCATATCGGGAGGTAGCTTGTGCCACCTAGCCTAGAAACCAAGCTAGGTGGCGCAAGCCAGGCTTGTGCAGGGTTGCCAGATTGTTTCCCGGTTGCCCCCCTAAAGTACTGCCGCGAAGGGAAGGCCACTCACACTCGAGCCGGATGGCGCCCAGGTTGACCGGCAGGAAGGGGTTGCGGGCGGCGTGGCGGGGCCGGAGCGCCTGGGGCCCGCACAGGCGCCGGGCCGCCCTGGTCAGCCGGGTGGTGCAGAGGTAGAAGGCGGCCCGGGTCTTGACCACGGGCCGCGGACTGCCTGCTCGCAGCGCCAGGCCGTGCGCCGTGGCGCAGTGGCGCGCCAGGTGCGCCTTCAGCTTGAACTCCTGCACGGGACAGACGCCCCAAGGCCTTGTTCTACGGGCTTCGACTCCCGAGGGATGTCCGATGCCAAATAAAGAGCACTGCAGGATTATAGGGAAATGGGTGGGGACGAAGAAATGGGGATATGGGGACAAAGGCAATGGGACGGAGGGACCACACGGGGAGAAATGTGAAGTGACAGTGGAGGAGGAAAGGAGAGGGCAACAGAAAAATTGGAAGAAAATATAAAGTAGAGGACCAAATGGGGGGCAATCGAAAAGAATCTAGGGGTAAAAGTTTAAGAATTAAAACTGCAAAGAAATAGGAAAACCCGAGAATTGAAACGGGGCTTTTGCACTGTTTTATTTCCCAAGGAAATAGGAAGAAAAGGGAAAGGCAATAAATTGGGAGCAAAGCAAGGTAGTGGGACCAAATGAAGAGCAAAGCAAAGGATAGAGAAATTTCAGCAAAGGAAATATAAAACAGAGGGTCCAATTAGGAAGCGATGCAGTGATAAGAAGATAGAAAACAAAGCAATAGGGAATTGGCGCAAAAGGAGAGCAAACAAAATTAACAGGATATGAGAAGAAAGGGAAAGCAAATTAAAAATTGGAAGCAGTTCGAGGCAATAGGAAATACGCTGTGGCTAGCGTTACGTTCGGACAAAGCACTGAAACGCGTATACCTAACCCTCCCCCCTGCCCTCCTCTCTCTCTTCCGTGAACCTAGGGAAGGCGGAGATTTGGACGTAACTTAGGTTACGTCGGACGTAACGCTAGACACTTCGTAGGAAATATCCAAAGCAACTGAAAGCAACGACAATATAGGGACAGGAGTGGGCAAAAAACCCTCAAGCGATGCCAATCAAGGGGGACCATGCGGGGAGCAAAGCGGCACCCACCTTCCCACATCCGGTGACTGAGCAGCGGTGAGGCCGGTGGGAAGGCGTGGTGCCAGGGGCCAACCGCTCGGATGAAGTCATCAGGTCCACAGACTCTGCATCCACGCAGAAGACACATTCAGGGCAATGTACCAGAAGACATTTGTGCTGCCCTTAACACAATAAAATCCTCCTACTTCAAAGTGAGGGGGGTCAGACAAAGGTAAGCTGAACTGTGGGTGCTCAGGCATATTTTTCGTTCAAGGTGTACAAATGAGTTATGTCACGTGGCCGGAAAGTGATACCACTTTCTTTACATAAAAAGTGGTGCCGAGAAACAATTTGACGGCTTATGTCCTTGGCGCAATTTTTTTTTCGCTTTACTGAAAATTTAGGAGTTCACTGCAAATGTTTAGCTTATCGTCAACCTAAAATGGTTGACAATACGGGAGTTTTTAAACTGCATAAGCTCAAATCCTTTGCGCATAAAAAGCCCTCCTAGGCAACAATTTCCCAGGCGACACGAAAATGAAATGAAAAGTGCGCAACAAATGAAAATAAGTCCTTACGCAACAAATAAAGTATGATTTGGGTCTATGAATCATAGTGCAATCGTTGAAGTATAGTACTCGTACCACGACTCCCGACAAGAAATGCAGCTCCAACCAAATTTCAAAAGGAAACCGGACCTGTTTGAAACGAGCTCGGTTTCTGATTGAAAATTGGAAGCAGACGTTTTCTTTCGAGATTCGGTTGCAGCTACATTTTTCGGACCAATTTTCACCCAACCAGGCACATTTCTGCTGAACATGTTTACTTTCAACTCCCAACGAGAGTGCCATTGGGTGTCGTCGTGAGATCACTTACGCCAGCCAATGGGAGCAAGGGCTGGCCTAAGTGAGAGAGCCTTGCTCTGCTGGTAACAATATATATTGCTCTCTCGGTTGTAACGCCTCTGCATCTTGCACGTGCATCTCACTTCACCCTTTCACGTCAAAAAACCCCGAGGAAGCATGCACGGGAGGGGGAGGCTAACCGAGGCGTGTCGGGTACTTGAGGCCCCCAAACTTCTTCCAGTAGGTCCAGCAGGACTGGCACAGGCGGCACTGCATGTGGGCGGGTCCCCACGCATACCACTGGGCAGAGTTCATCGCTGAAAGGGTGGAGAGAGCTGCTAAGCACACCTACGTCCACAACTGCCACCTTTCCAGCAGGTCATTCTCAACAATCCGTGCATGCACACTAAGCTGCAGTTTCATTTCTCAGGTTTGATTTGTAACCTCTGCGTACAACCTTTACGAAAGAAAAGAGTAAAGCAGTTTCTGCGGCCTAACAGTCCGTCCGCCTCTTTGTGTTGTCCAAACTCGAGCAAGGTCACAATAAATAGTGGACGCCACGTTGTGTTGTCGCAAAGCAGCCCAGACCTAGCAAGCTGTAGCCCATAGCATACCCAAAAATATTCCAGTACACAGGACTACGAGCATGTATCTTATCATGTGAATTGTACTTTGTCTCGTAAGGAGAGCCAGGTCAAAACATCATGCCCCCTAGCTCGACGCCGACTGGCCGGTTCAGGTTCTAGAAGAGCACCAGCAGATTAAATCCCAGGTTAGCACCAGCATCCCTATTTCAGGAATCACTATGGAGTGTACATTTAAGCCAGTCGCTAAACTAACCGATGAAGAGTGCCCAGAGTGTAGACAACCAATTTAAGAGGAATTGGACTGAGACCACTTGTTTCACGTGCAACACAATTGCCCAGCAATTTGCTACGCATTGTTTTTACTTCGGAAGTCTTTACACATTCCTTCATGTCTGCACTTGCAACGATGACTGCCATTATGATTAGGATGGCCTTCTAGTTGGGACTGCAAAGCTTTGATTTCAATGGTGGTAAAACGTAATCAGTACTTCGTTCAACCTCGCGACGTGCATTACGTTGCGAGGTTGAACGAAGTATTGATTACGCTGGGTTGAAAAATTTGCCATTTGACGTCCACTGCATTATTGGACGTTAATTAAGAGCCAAATTTGTCAAACCAGCGCTCTATGCATAGCTCTACCCAGTCAAAGGTCATGTGATAGGCTATAAGCTCTACGAAATTGTTCCGATGGCTCGAAGCATTTGTTCCGGCACGTCAGAGGACGATGCTGAATGCTTTATAATATCTTAACTTTTCTTCCGTCGGCAAAAAGATTGGAGACGACGTGATAAGTGCAACGGAGGGCACTCACTGTAACAGCTCTCGCAGGGGCGTCCCCCCGCTGCGGCGCTCTCGGGGCCCCCGAGGGCCCCCTTGTTGTTGTAGTTGGGGATGTAGACCTGCTTGAGCTTGCTCTCCGCCTCCACTGCCTTCACACGCTTCTGCTGGACGTAGCGGTCGGTCGTCTTCCACATGTAGTAGTACTCCACTATGTTCTTCAGGCTCTTCCAGGGCAGGAAGTCCTGAGGAGACACGCGGAACACAGTGGCATTAGATGGAAAGCAGGGAGTAAAGACGAAGGCCGGAAGGTTAATGTAATAATCTAGAGGAAGAGGTGCCATGCATCCCAACACTACGATTACTAAAAGTGGGCTTTCTTTCTGTGTTTAAAAAAAAAGAATGGCAGATCAAGCCAAAAACGGGGGGCGGGTCGTCTACCGGAAAAGGGGGGGGGGGGGGGGGGGGGGGGGGGGGGCATTTCTAGGGATATTATAGTAGTTCTTTCCTAGTCTACTTTGCAATAAGACACCGGCATAGCGCATCGCAATAAAAGAAACGAAGAGGGAAAGCTCACCTGTCGGATGTCGGCGAAGTCCTTGCCGTACTTCTCGAGGGCCTCCTCAAAGAGGTTTGCCTCGGAGGCAGACCACTCCTCCATCTCGTCTCGGCACAGGACGGGGCCCCCGGGGGGCACGAGGCTGGCCACGGCCCGGGCCAGGTCGTAGCCCGTGCGGTGCAGCAGCTCCATGGCGTGGAGCAGCGTGACGTCCCGGGAGGCCGCCGCGGCGCTCATGTGCAGGCTGGGCTGCTTCACCGAGCTGGAGCAGTCCAGGGCCCGGGCAAAGGTGCCCACCGACCGGCACACTATCAGGAACTGGTCCAGCTGCCGGTCCCCGAGGCCGTGGTCCGGGCTGTACACCAGGGTCTCCAGGGGCTCCGGAGGGTCCCGGCGCTCCGACGGGGGCAGCCAGGGCTGGATCTGCGGCGAGGGAGGAAAAGTTCTGAGACCGGCACTTGAGCTTCGCGCTCCGGTCTTGGTCTGCACCAGTGTTGGCGGTAACGCGTTACAAGTAACGGCATTACTGGTAACGTGCTACTTTTTTTTGATAAATTCTGCTGGAGGCTCTTTTTTTCAAGACTTTTATGTGGTTTTCTACGGGCATCATGCGTTTCCGTGTCGGTTACAGTCCGACGTTACCACCGATTTCTATGACTATTTGCTCAATCGTGCAACCCCACTTCGAGATCCATTGTGCAACTGCGACCACCCGTCAGCCATCTTACGACATCTGCCGAAGCACTGTCAATGCTGTGGTCACGTGCGTGATATTATAATCTGCTGTCACGTGACCTACAGATGGTAACAATGGTAACTGTCTAGGCTTGACAGCACAAGAGCGAGTGTGGTAAGATGGCCGACGGCCACATTTGCAGAGGGGTGGTCAGCAATCCAGCAAATGGCCATAGAGGTCAGTGGACGTAGTCAAACGTTACGGTAAAACGCGCCGCGCTCACCTCGGCCTGGTAGCGGGAGCCCACGCGGATCTCGCCCCGGTCCGCGAGCAGGCTCTTCTGTGTCGGGTCGTAGACGAGGGAGTAGAAGAAGGAGTCCTCCTTGTTGAGGTAGGACAGCAGGGCTTCCGTCTCGTTGAGCAGCGTCACCGAGCACTTGCCACGGATGTGGGTGGCAGGCAGCGTCTCCACCTGGCGCGACAGGAACAGCTCGCGGTGCTTCAGCTGGTGGCGCTCCTTCTCCGTGAGCTGCTCCGCCTCGCGCTCCTGCTCTTCCTCCAGGACCCCGACGAAGGCGCTCTGCTGTTTGTCCGTCACCAGGGATCCAGAGATGTCCCGGCGCCGGTAGTAGCACATCACCTTCGCCTCCACATTCCCGTTGGGTGTCTGCAACCGACGTGACACCGTTTTTGATGGGCAAGTCGCCCACAGCGCACCCCTTCGTGCATGGTAGGATGGGTACGAAAACGTGAGGAATCTCCTTGCGCACAACGGAGGAGATGCAAAAGGATGAGGGGAAGCCATCACATGTGCGACAAAGGTCGCCCCAGCAGATGTTACACGTGACTTGCAAATGACCTCGTTGCGCCTAGAGTCACTGTATGTTGCTAGAGTATCGTATTCGATAGCGTCCGCTGTTAGTGGAAGAGGGGGACATTCAGTCTCTAGTCGCGCCATACCAACGGTCTTTCCCACTTCTCCCTGCCGAGAAAATCAAACTCAGCGGTGTGATGTACATGCTGCAGAAGGAATAAATGCAGCAAGGTACTTCGCAATGGCCACCAATGTATTCACTTCGGTGGGTGCGAAATAACATCTTGGCCACAAGTTCTTAGTTCGTTGTAGCGCATCTTACATTTGCTTTTCAACAGAAACAATGTACATACCTTTCGAACCATTTCATCTGTCTTTTCTCAAAAATTATGTTCTCGTTCGTACAGAAAGAACGAATTACCGAAAGCCTAGAAAAAGCAAGGCAACCATTGCTCCAACTAGCAAACGATGCCGGAGTATGGTACTAGCACTGCACCCTCTGCGTAAGGAACAGACGAAAACGCTCGCTGCGATGGAGGGCACAGGATAGACACAAAGGTAGAAATCTTTGTGCCCACCCTCTATGTCCTCCATGGCGGTAGGAAGCTTCTGGAGGCGACATGACACCGCCAAAGGTGAAGCCAGAGGAGACCTCCGGTTTGGAGGGACATGCCCCCAATGATGACCAAAGACGGACAAAACCAAAAGGCAATATTGGAAAAAAAAAGACACCGTTGGGGGCGTTTCCCCCAACCGCGACCTCTACTTCAGACTTCACTAGTTTTCTCGCTTGGCTGGCTTGAGACTGTATGTCGCCTCCTCCATGATGTCCACCAATCAGAGCTTGGCGCCGAAGGAGCAGACGAACTTGCTCACTAGACAGGCGACTCTACACCAGTGGCTTCACCAACGACGACTTTCTTGCCGACTCCTGAAAGCTACAAGCTTGGTGATACAGTAATTTGGCTAGGCTAACGATAATCTTGTCAGGAGCAAAATAGGAAAGATCTTCAGTACAATTGATAACCGTACCAAGGCTTTAGTCACCATCGATATCATTATTAAAACTGGTGGGCAGGCCAGCGACATCAATACCGAAAGCATGACTCCCCACTGTTCGAATTCGATAAGCAAAATATATTCACCGCCGCCACAGACAGACTACGTCACGTGCGAGCCATGCAGGTAAACAAAACTGACCTTGACCAGTTCCTCGATCCTCCGGATCTGGTACGGTGCAGTGGACGACGTCTCGAAGAACACGTAATCTGTGAAAAAATAGACGACCCAACCCGCGGCTTGAATCTTCCCCCGCCACGTCCGGGGACTGGTTTTCGGCGCTCGGGCATCATCATCACTCGTCGATAGGCACGGCGCTCAAAGGCCGCCAGGAACAGGCTACGGGACGATGCGCGGTCCCATGCCTCCTCCTGGCGTTGCAATCGAGATCGGATCCGAGCACGGCGAGAAACTGGACGGGAGCTAGGCCTAAGACTGAAGGAGTACGTACCGCCGACCCGGTACATGTTAGCAGCCATGCCGCCGCCGGTCCAGCGGAGCCCCTGGGTCGACAGCGGAGGCCTTCGGCCGAGGCAGCAGCGGGAGCGAGGCCCGACCCCTGACCCGCGCGTCGCGCGTCCCCTTCAAAGCTCGCCCAGTGGTGCCGGCTCGCTGTGTCGCTGTCGCAACCGACGCCGCTGCCGCTAACCAACGCTAACAATCCGCCATTTTGAACAATAGCCTCCTCTCCCTCATTTAATTTGTTCTCTTTCCCTTCCCTTCTCTTTTATTTTTCTATTTTTTTAGGAGTAGTTGAGTAGTTGGCTTGAGAGCCGGCTAGCTTAAGCAGAGGCTCAAGCCTACTCAAGCTGGCTCCTCATTTCTCGATCTTCTTCCTTTTCCACTGTCACGGCTACAGCCAACTACAGCCCCTACAGGCACTGTAGTTACATGCTATTATAACGACTCGGGCGTTTTATAATACACATGTGATGATGCCATGATTTAATAATGGCCTCGTCACATCCAGGGCATACATGCAGCCGATGTGGTAGGTGCTGTCACCTTACGTGGATTCGTGTCTTGCTTTTAACAGCGGTCTATTACGTGCATAAAGTCACGAGTCATCACGTTCAGCCAGCTGACTGAGATTGAGGTCCCTACCTATGGTCCCTGCGTTCGGGATCATAAGGCCCTGGATCTAGAGACCCGAAATTAGAGTTTTGAGTGTCGGCAGTCAGCTCGGACAACCCTCCGTATTGCTCCGAACCAAGAGCCATCCCGGTGCCCCGTTTAGACGGACCACGAGAACTTCCGCAGAGGTCATGGTACCCCACGTCCCCGAAGGCTGCAGCGTCCAGCAGCAACTCGTATGTTCGGTGATCCCGCCTCTCAACTCTGAGCGCCGCAAGGGCCAAGCCGGCCGCGTCGGCATCGTCGGAGGTTCCGCCGAATACACCGGGGCACCGTACTTCGCGGCCATGGCCGCGCTACGCACCGGCGCCGACTTGGTACACGTCTTCTGCCATCCCAGTGCGGCCACGGCCATCAAAGCTTACAGTCCCGAGTTGATTGTGCACCCGACGCTAGACGCCGCAGTGACGTGCCTCCCGCGTCTCCACGCGGTCGTCGTGGGGCCCGGTTTGGGCCGCGACGTGGAGGCAAGCTGGATGCCGACTCTCTTCAACCGAATCCGGGAGCAAGGCCTTCCCGTGGTCGTGGACGCGGACGGCCTGCTCTACGTCACCCAAAACCCAGATTTAATACGCGGTTACTCCAGAGCGATCCTAACTCCGAACGCGGTAGAGTTGGACCGTCTCTATCGGGCAGTCTTGGGCAGCCCGCCACGCGAGAACGCCGTGCCCGAGCTCGCGCGTGCCTTGGGGCACGTCACTGTCTTGGCTAAGGGTTCGGAGGACATTATCTCGGACGGACATCGCTTGCTCCGTTGCACAGAGCAAGGCAGCCCGCGTCGGTGCGGAGGACAAGGGGATCTCGTGAGCGGTTCACTGGCTCTGTTCGCCTTCTGGAGCCACTCTGCGCACGATACTCCTGGAGAGGCGAGCAAGCGGGAGAACTCCGAGTACGGGCCGGCTATGATTGCTGCGCTGGGAGCGGCCATGTTGGTGCGTCGGTGTGGCCGGCTGGCCTTCCAGAAGATGGCCAGGAGCACATTAAGTTCAGATATGTTGGCCGAGGTGCGGACCGCATTTAGCATGCTGTTTCCCGTCGATTGATGGAAGGCACCGCATCTTGTTCAACTTTTACGAGATTGGACTGTTGAGTGCCGGTAATTCTAGTCTTGCAGGTTTCTGTGGTTTAGGAACTGCTACAGACAGACCTCATCAATGACTAGATATATGCAAGAGCCAGGCACGCAACAAATGGATGCCTTCTTCATTTCTTTCCCCATCTATTTCCACTTGCGTGTTGAGGTGAAAAATAAAAGCATTTCTATTGCATTATTGTTGTAGGTTATCGTAGTTTTCTTTAGCAGAACTACATAGGGCACGATCACGGCACAGATACTTTATGCAGTAGCGAAGCTTATATCTTTACAAAGTTGTCTGGTAGTACTAGATGAACCTAATGGTCTGATAAACTTCCTGGGTTTGAGAGTGGCAGGTAAATAATATCATTCGCTGCTATGAACATTCAAACTTGATGCACGAAGACATCTAAAAGCTGCTACTTACCAAGTCGAAATGGACACACCTACAGACAATGTTCCACACCATCGAAGCCCGTGGACTAAAAAAAGACGCATGCCACTCGCATATGACCATTGCCCTTTTATTTTGCTCACAATCGGACGGCCCATAAACTGCCACCAAGCAGGCAGGTGGCTTCGTTATTCGTTGATACAGAGTCCATCCCTTACTAAAGAGCCCACACTCCGCTTCAGAACACGCCGTTGTGGGAAAACACGAGTGCATAATTTTTGACCGTGCTTCAACTTTGCGAAGGTTCCAGCATTTTTTGCACCTCTTTCATCCTCAAGTTGGTAGTGCAGCAGTGGCCATGGTGACGTGCCTCCAGCCTTGAAGTATACCTTAAATTAATTGCTCAAGATTGACACAGTGGACTTGCAAAAGTGAGTGCGGGGACTGGTACTATAGACGAAGACAAACGTCAAAAAGACAGCATCTTCGAATTCATTATTCGTTGGGAATGCGTCTCTAATGTTTGTCTCCATCTCTGCAACAGTCTGCAGCATTTAACCGGAGTATTTATCTATCCTTCTTGCACCCCTCTTCTAAGTGTAGGAAGATACCGGCTTCCAGTCGTCATGACCCTCGTTGCACCGCCCGTTTTCGAACTAAAGAGAAACCTCAAACTCCTGCACTTGTATTCGTACCTCCCACAAACAATGCCCACAATTTGCTGCTCTACTCAATTTCACCTTAAAATGGACCACAGGGGACACTACGAGCCAATGAAGCCGATCCATCGCCCCGTGAACGTGACGTGACCCTTGGCAGCTGTGCAGCAATGCGCGAGGTGCACGTTTGTAGCGCTGGATTGCCTGGGACGGCTCGTAGCATTTGTCGCGGTCCATGATAAGGTGAAACAAAGTGCAGATGAGGTGCAGACGTTCCGACGACCACTGTCTCGTTCCGAGCAGCGGACAAAGGAGGTGGCCGTCGGCGGTGCTCGTCTAGGAGCCCGGTTCGGGCCTGCCCCGAAGCTGCAGTCGGTCGTAGAGGCACTGCTTCCACTCCTCTTCGGGAACGTCCTGGGCCCAGGCCGGACGCTGGGAGGCCGGGAGTTCGAAGCCTGCCATGGCCGCCTTCACTGCCTCCACCTGGGCTGCGAGGGGGACGAGCCAGGGGGGGAAAGGTAGGTCAGGAGGAGTGGCAAATCCTGTGCGCCGACATTCGGAGTCCCGAGTGAAAGATTACAAAAAAGTGCGACAGAACACGAGAGAAAGAAACAAATGTTGCCAGCTGAAGGACGACAGTTGCAACGGCAATCGCGAAGACTGAAAACTTTTAGCAAAAGAAACAGTGATAATTTAACGTTGTAAACTAAATTCTGAGCTATTTTAACGCTTAAAAAAAGCAATATACTCATTACGCTGCATTAACTTCCCTTCTGTTCAAATCTCGGAAATCTGGTGGTTACGCGGTTTCATGTTCTCAGGGCGCACCTATCAAAACCACGGCACGAAGCCACTTATCTGGTTTAGTTTTGCATTGACGCGATGCCATACACCTGTGCGCTATGCAAAAACAAAGCTTCGAGAGGAACGCGAATGTCTTTCTACCGTTAAGTATGTGGATTGGTCCTTAGGAAAACCGTGAAATCTAACAAATAAGATGTAAATCTAGTTGGTAACCATGTGCGGGACTCTTAAGGTCTGCCTCCATGCTCCGCCGCTTGTGGCAGTCAGAATGCACGGGAAAACGGCAGACCTTTTCCTCTAGAGTTAGTATATATGAACTTTATGGGACAAGCGTAGTGGCCTCGTTGTCGACGCCCTTCAGAAAGGAGCAGTGGTACCGCACCAAACACTTGCACCACCTAAGCGAGATGGTGCAAGCTACCATCTTCTACAAAGGGCATGCCCATTATCCGTCCACCCGACTTCTGCAAGTCGAATGGGCATTTCGATTTGAGATGTTTTACTCCGGACATTGTTATAGATTCATGGTTTTTGCTATTTTTCTCACATTGCTACGGTTAAATATTTCTAAGGGGACACTGACGGAGAATTTATACTTGCCAAGAGTTATACTAAAACTCAACCTATGGAGTCGCACCTACCCAGTAAAAAATAGTCGTCGCTTAAAATCCCTAATTTCTTTGTGAAAGCGGTCGTTCGAGAATCGGACGTTCTTGTCCGTTCTCGCTCTTTATGCCCAACAACGTCACCGTGCTCAAAATACCTTTTAAATTGGAGGCTACATCGGAGACATATCCATTACTAAAAGTATAACAATCCATGAAACGTGACCACTAAAACCCACATTGATTAAAGAGACGTTGAGCGTGCTGATGCGGGGATCGTGCACTACGACGTGCTAGTTCTCTAAATTAGTTTTGGCTTTTCTGTTGCTGTTCTCTCTAAAACATACCTTACCTCAGAAGAAAAAAAAAAAAAAAAAAAGCAATCCTAGGTTGTTTTTTATAGTTTAATGTTTTGCACAAAAATTTTTTTACTTCTGCGAGGTGTCAGTTCCGAGTTTAATGTTTTGCATAAAAAAATTGTTTACTTGTGCAAGGTGCCAGTGCCGTTTTAAAAACCGAGACGGGCGAATGTGGCAGACACATCAAGAGGACACCGTTCAATCTGGTTACTCCACAGTTACAACAGGAACCTTGGGAGCGAAAGGGCAGTCAGCTATGCACAAAACACAATAGGGCTGTTCCGCAAAACACTTTTTTCCTGCACGTAAGCCGTGTTCTGCCATGTTGATGAACAGCGTCCATCACTCTCGCCACTTGTATACACACAGACGTTGAGTCATCGGCGTTGTTTTTGGCGTCGGTGAAACGCCGAAGCACGGCGAGTGATTTCATCGATGACTGAACTTGGTGAGTACAATTGGGGATGCATTTGGGCCGCATAAACCGAAGTTCATTCCAATTTGTTTCCTTTCGGAGTTGCCGGGGCGGCATCTATGGGGGCCTTTACGGCAGCCGACGGGTCGGCTTCTCGATCGCCCGCTCGTCTTAAGTCCTAATAAAGACCGGTACATATAAAAACTGAGTACCAGACGATGCTCCTTTGTGTCGATAACTACTCCAGCAGACGCAGTCAATCACGACGCAAGAAAACTCGACCAAGCTAGAAAACACGGCCTCCATCCATAGAAAGGCACGCGGTGAAAGTTTATCAATATGGCACCCGTCGAGATTTTGAGCCGGAAATGCGTCGTGTGAAACTGCCCAGGCACTCTTGCCACAGGAATTCTCAAAATTTCTGGAGTGGTACATTCCATTCGGTAACCCGAGGCTAATAAAATGTTCAGAGAAGGGGGTGGGGGGCGAGACCTACCCTGCGCCATGGGTTCCGCCAACGGCCGAGGCTCAACGGGACGCAGCATGTCTTCTGTGGGCCTCCACTCGTTGGGAGCCTGGGAGAAGGCCTGAAGGAGCGACAGAGAAGGACATTGGTTCGCTCGTTCCCTGTCGCACAAAAGGGCTGTCCAAACAGGAGATGTTTTTTGCAGTCGCAGCATTTGATTTAGTGGAAGTGGAGGTACGTTGTCTTTTTTTGTAAAGCTAGTTTTTGTTTTTGTTCTTGGGCAGAGGCTTGGAGCATGCTCATCAGGTGGGCCCGAACAGCCACTTACACACTTTGCTGGCTGTCGTCAAGACATCCACTGTTGTCAGCCCCCAATTTCCCGAAAACATAAAAGGGAAGGAGACGACAGCGAGAAGACAAGGAGAGAAGTTGTGCTGTTTGCATGGTTCATGTCCTCACCTAGAACGTATGCGCGCGCCAAAACATTGACATTTCCTAAAAGGCGTGCAAGTTGCGTGTATGCACGGCACAAGCTGTGTTTTGTGCGGGCGGCCCTTTAGAGAATGGGGACGTTCTTCAAATCTGAACAGGGAGCACTTAGAAGACGAGTCAAGCCTCACCTCGGCGAACACGGAGGGCAGAGCGGGGTTCCCCACGGCATCGGGCGCGTCTTCGTCAGAATCCAACTGCTAAGAGGCGCAGGGGACGACGATTAGGCACGCACGCGTTCGTCTAAGACGAACGGTTACCTGTGGCAGGAGCTGGTAGCCCGCGTGTTCTTCGTCCCCGGAGCCCAAATCAACGTCTTCGTCGTCCGACGAGTCGTCGGCGTGGTAAGCCGCCGGCACCGGGGCGTTCGCCGTTTCGTCCTCGGAGCCTTCGGGCTCGGGGACATCCGTGGGTAGGATGGGCGGCATCTTCGACCCTGCACACGAGCAATGTACGGAGTGTTTGAGAAAAAAGAGAACCGCGTTTTTCGCGCGGCAAAACTAAGATACGTATCTCCGAACGATCACTCTCCACCTCAAAAGTAGCGCAATCGGTTGGAACCTCATGGCAAAGTTTCAGAATTTAAAGTTTTCTGATTCAAAAGTCATAAGCGATTTTCGGAGAGGTCCAGAGACTGTTGAAGTGTCATGTGCTACTTACCGGCTGCGGCGGTCGGCTGGGATTCGGCCGTTCTCGTTCGTTGATTGCCGAAAGACACTTACACGACCTGCAGCATTTTGTGAGCTGTAATCGGCCCTTCTTTACGCTGGCCAAAAACGCTCGAGCGGTGTGGAAACAGTGCAAAGATCGAACGAAAACCACTGGGGGATGATTGGAACACCCCACGGACGCGATAAACAAATGTTGGATAGGATTGGATTATAGTGGCTCGTCAGCTGGAGTCAAACCCGAGTTGTTTCGGCCTCAACGCTCAATGCGCTCGATTCAATTTGTTAGAACAAAGTTTTTAACGGTATTCGCGTTTAATTGATGTCTAAGAACTCGCTATTAATAAAATTTGAGCAGTGAGCATAACCATCCCTCACAAGACAGACGGGTTTAAACGGTGGGCATTACTTGCTCACCTTGTTTACAACGCTTATTATCTTTGCTCGCTAATCGCCACAAGTTTTGGGCGTTTCTATCGCGAGCAATTATTTTTAAATGCTCTTCCTCGTCGTTTGCGTTACAACCTGATGCTCGTACCACTACAACGTAAAAAAAAAAAGACGCACAATAAAAAAAAGCGCGCATTAAATGCAATGAGGGGAAGCAACGAATGAAGAAAAGGAGAGGAGGTCGCAAGTCTTGTCCCCTTCCCTCCTCCCTTCAGTGGTAGCTGGTGTTGCTACCTGGCTGGCTGACCTGACACGTAGGGAAAGTCAGTGTTTGTGCGGGTTGGTGCCGCGTCTGTGTGTTCGGACGTTGGTCGGGCGCGCTCATTGAGACCTGCTGGTTCCACGGCTGGTGGTTCCAACACCGAGCGCATGTACGCCGATACGATCAACGCCGAGTCGAGGTGATGAGGATCTGAAAGGGAGCACCGATCGTGCGAGCGCGCTATCGCCCAAGACGTAAGTACGACTTCGGGACTGTCTCCGCTTTCCTTGCTTCTCTCGCCTTTCGATTACGTAAAAAAAGAAAGCAAAGGATAAAAAAAAAAATGACGGCTAATGAGACGATGGGGCCCGCCGCGGAAGCGTCGGTTGTAGGTTACCCGTCCGCATCATCCCCCCAAAATAAACGCTCCCCGGGTATTTTGTGGTGCTTTGAAGCACCTAAGGAATTGACCTCTTCCAAAGGACGCTTCGCTCGACCCTGAACTACGTCGCGCCATCGAGGAAAGTGGCGGTCTGCGTGCTCCGGACGACATATTGGGAAGAACCCACGCATGAATGAAACGCGAAATTTTCGTTTTTAAAGTCCGAGGTGGCGTCCCTCCTGTTCGAAGGTCAAGGTAGCCCCAATTCGAACACATTGCACGCTTGCGCCGTTCGTGCGTTGTTTTGGGCAGCGGCGCGCCGGTGTAACGAATGAATTAGTGTCGCGGGTGGGTGTGAGTGTACGAGTTGCGATGTTTTTTTCCGAGCACGACCCGTCTAGCAGATCGCTAATGCGTCGGCGAGCCCGCGAAAGCAGGTTAGTGTTACGCGTCTTGTGTAGAAATTGCGCGTGGTACCAGATGTCGGACTGTGCCTCGTTTCTGACGCCCCCTAAAGCGTCGCACTGCCGATACATGATACAAAAGACAGTCTCCAGACAATGTCGGAAATTCTTCTTTGGAATGACGATCCTAGCTGTCACACAAGTCCTGCAGTAACCGTCTGTAGACATGTTGGAAGCCTACACGTGTATGAACCAAACATGCTTCGTGCAAGTCTGTCATTGTGTCCGCACCGAACACCATATGCCTTTTGTACGATGTGCGAACGGACGCTTAACTGTTTCACCTATTGGCCGAGGAGTTTGGAATGCTCAATAATGCTACTGGCTGCTCCTTATGACTGTTTTGGCGGTTACTTCGTCTGCATGATGGAGTGTGCAGACAGGTTCGATGATGTTGGTATAAAATGCTTATGTCGTGTGTTTGTTTACATGGCTGGAAGTTATTCGACCCCAACGGGTATATTGTGCCCTTGCTCTTCAACACGAAATCTAGGCAGTCCAGTACCGCCGCTAGCCCGGGATTCTTAATGTGCGGCGGTGATATTTTACCGCATGCTGATACAATGCTCGTCCGAATCAAAACAACTAGGGGTGGGGACTAAATTCGGGATCCCTGGTTTCTGCGGTGCGAGTCTTTGCCCCTCATACTCCGAGGTGTGGTGCGTTAACAGGCTTGACCGCCGATCCCCCAGGTCCCCTTATCCGCATGTTTTGGGAATGCCTGGCTGTCTTTTCTCCCATTGGCTGAGAAGCTGAAGAACTTGTAGAACATTATCTTGCCACCTTAATACTGCTTTTGACAGTTATTCTAACTTATTCGCACTGGAGCATGTAAACATGTTCGATAATGTTAAATTTGTGCATTGAAAGATCTGCAGCTTCCACGAACAAAATGTCTTGGCAGCGCCCGAGCAAGCTTTGTTGTCGCAGCGATGACTTCCATTCCGTTTTCTAGACTGCTGGCACTGTAGAAGTATGGTGTGCTAGATTTAAGAGACGGAAGTGCTATTGCAGGTGGTGCAAACACGAAAGGTCCCATGAAACAATTTTTTGACTGGCCTTTAGTCCAGAACGAATCCGAAATGTTCGGAAACATGAAATGTGCATTAGTCTTTCCGTGGTGCCGACAGTTGCGGAAGCGATCGGTGAAGAGCTAGCAGCGTTGACTGCCTTATCTGGCAGCCCAAACAAGCAGCCAAACAATCTAGTGCCGATTGTTTATGCCATAGATATTCGTCGTTGCCAACGTGCTTGGATTGCACCCAAACGTAAAAGCGTGGAGGGTTTAGCTTCAAGAACTTTTTTGTCTGGATAAGATACTCGGATGCGGCACTTATATTGGGCCCAGTGGCTGCTTTTCAGAATGCAGCATCTTCAAAGCCACAATATTCTCTACACTTTTTTTTTTTTTTTAATTGCAAAATTTTACTAGGTTGAGTGCACTTGCTGACAGGAGAGAGGCCTTCTACCCTTTGGCAGTGGTGCGTGCAACATGTAAAACAAAATGCATTCATTGCTTCGAGGAGCCGGCAGTCCGTAAAATAGGTGAGAGAACGAGTGGAGCAAAGCGTGGTAACTTGCAACGAAGCTAGGTTTAGGTGGTTCAGTCATCATACTCAACTTCTTTCTTTTCATACTGTAGTCTTGCCTTAAACACAAATCACCTCTTTGTTTTTTTAGAAATAAATAAGGAAAAAGTCTAGTACACACTGACGGAACAAGCGCTGACTCCCAACTGTCTTTTTAATATTCACACAGAAGACGAGAAAGAGGTAGCGTTTCTCTCTCATCTTTCTTTTCGGCATGAAAAAAATCCCAGAATGAAATTGCCTTGATGTGAAGAGAAAGTTACGTTGAAAGAACTGAGAAATAACAAAAAAAGTAAGAGGAGCCTGTTACGTTAAAAAAGAGTTGAGAAATAGCAGAAAGAAAGAAAGAGGAAGTTACTGACAGTAAACCAATGAAGCAACCTCAAGTAGGAAAGTTAAGGTTGCTGACAGTAAACCAATGAAACAACCTTAACTTTCCTACATGAGGTTGTTTCATTGGTTAACTGTCAGCAATTTCATCTTTCTTTCCTTCTGCTATTTCTCAGTTTTTTTTTTTTTACATACTAAGATGTCCTCCTCTTCCTTTTTTGTTATTTCTCAGTTATTTCAACATAACCTCCCCTTCCCATCAAGGCGATTTCATATTGGGAATTTTTTCATGCCAAAAAGAAAGACGAGAGAGAAACGCTACCTCTTTCTCGTCTTCTGTGTGAATATTAAAACGACAATTGTGAGTTAGCGCTTGTTCCGTCAGTGTGTACTAGACCTTCGCACTTTTTATTTCTGAAATGCCTATCCAACCAGCCCACCTTAATACTTTTCTTCACCTGTTGGTAGCAACCCAATTTGGCACTATATTTCGTGCCTTGTTCTTTGGATGCCTTGACTGTCAAACTGGATGCATGATATATGTGCCACTGAAGAGACCTTTTTTTTGTATCTCGTTGACCGTCTGCTTGTACGGTTCTGTGCCAATGTTGGAGGTAACTGAGCCCTCGGTGAACATAATGGAGAAATGTTGTGCTTTGGTGTCACTGACACGGTGGTTATCTTACAGTTTTGAGGTAATTTGGATAGATAAGAACAGAGTTCAACAACAGAGAACAAACAATAACCATCTTTTTTTTTTTCTTTTTTTAAGATTAGAGGTTAAAATCTTGACTAGCAGAATCAAAAGTGCTCCTTGGGGGCGCTTGAACTGAAGTAGTAATGTTTGGTACTTTCAAGTGTCCTGTTCTGAGCACGAAAAAGCGTCACAGTTGTGTTCACATTAGCTGCTGCATAGTGTACGCTGCTTAGCCTTGCCAATGCGCGTCGAGCGGCCAAAGCATCGACGAAATTTGGAAAAAGCTTTTCACCACGACTGAAAACGTACACGAATCCGTTTCTCGTCTGCGCCCTAACCTGTGTGCATCACTGACGGCCGGCATCACTCGTGGAAAAGCCTGTGTCTGTCAGTTGGACCTTCTAAAAGTTCCTGCATGGCTCCTACTTCAGTGTGATTTGTTTAACAAATAATCTTTTAGTATCGTACCTCTGTTGCATTTTACTGACAGTGCTGATCCTTTATAATTTACCACCATGTCTTTACGGGGAAGGTCCGGATGTATTACAGATTACACTAATTGTCAAAAGCTTAGCACAGTGGGGCAACTGCACGATACATTGGTGTGGTGTACAAAATACACCAATTTATGATCCATCTCGCAAACACCCGCAGTGCCGAAAAAGGCAGCCTTGTGAGCGTGGCTTCCGAAATAAGCTTGTACGCACGACTTCCCGTTGCAACCAAGAGCTCCGCTGTACCAGGATTGCCGACCGGTGCCTCTGTCGGCACTGCGGACATTTGTGAGCTGCACCCGTAGTCTGTTGCAGGTTAAAAATATGACAAGCTCCTGCCACAAAGTCCTTTACTCCTCCTACTTTAGTAGAGAGAATGCTGGAAAGGAAGTGAGTTAAGAGTAACCAAACCACCAATCATGTGGAGCGGATAGCTTTGTGGTTGGGAGGGGCGTGCCCTATCTTAAACCCTCAACAGGCTGTAGCAAACATGTTCCACAACGAAACAGGCGGCTGTTTGCAATTGGCGGCCCGTGTTTTTGAACCCATTCCAGCCGCAAGGGTCGTGAATACACGCTGCCGGCGCAAGCGTACGTGCAGGGCATGTGTGTTGACGAACGTTTGGCACGTGTCTCCCCTGGTGTGCAGGAAGACAGGATGCAGGTGGAAAGGGTGGAGAGGATGGAGAGGCCCCAGGGGCGTCCCGTGCAGATCCTGACGACCAAGGACGATCACACCTTTGAGTTGGACAAGGAGGCCCTCTCCAGGATCCTCCTGGCGGATGAGGTCAAGGACAAGCACGTGGTGGTTGTGTCGGTGGCGGGGGCCTTCCGCAAGGGGAAGTCCTTCCTCCTCGACTTCTTCCTCAGGTGCGTCCCTAGGCCCGCTTCTCGTCTGCTCTCCTTCCTCGTTTGAGGTGCCTCGAAGTTGTGAACGGGCCATGCCTAGAGAGAGAGGGGCATGCCGAAAGACACTGGCGCCTCCTGTTGAGTATCCCTGGAACCCATCTGATCCGTGCATGACTATAGTCGGTGACAGTTAAGAGTTTAGGTGAAGCTCCTTGCACCTCTTTACACTTTAGCAGAGCAAACGCAGGAGAGGAGCTAGGTCACCTCCTCTCCAGCCTTTGTTCTGCTAAAGTGGAAAGAGGTGAGAGGGGCTTTCCCTGATCTCTTAACCTGCCACCCACTATATAGACTGAAGGCTCTGTAGCATTTCTGCGCTGCCTTTTAGCAAGGGTCGCTTGTAACGTTGTCAGAAATATTTGGAACCCACTGGCAAGAGTGATGGGGGAAAAATTGGCAAATATGCGCAGATCAGAGGCGTTCGAGGCCTACTCGGCAGATGAATCGAGCGTGTTGTCTCGTCGTGAGCCATTGATGACTGATTGCGACACAGTATAATACCGCACGATTCAATTTGTTACATTTTCAAATTAATTCCCACATAATCGAAGAGGGCTTGTGCATGGGATGTGGCAGTTACGGTACAAAGAGGAAGAAAAGTAATCTAACAAGAACACATTTTGGATGCTCAATGAAATTTAAAAAAACAAAACAAAAAACATTGCGTCAGTAATATTTTATATTGTTTCCAGTGTTCGCAGCAACCGAAGCACAGAAACATGTGATACCTATACCTGCACATACTAGAGATTTGGTGGATCGAACCATATCGGTTTGTATCAACACTAAATTGATTTGCAAAGAGATGCAATTTAGCGAAATTCCCTCGAGGTGACTTCTCCTAACATTTTTTTTGTTTTTTGGGGTTTTTTTTTTGTGCTCTTTGGCACACTTGGGTGCAAATGTGCAAACTGGCCTTCAACAATGCGCTAATAACCTGGGCAACGAGCAGACCCCGAGTAATTGTCTGCTCACTTCATCTCGCCGTTGTTTGCTGGTCTCCTCTTTGTTCACCGGTGTCCCCGTTACGGCGCAGGTACATGCGTAACTTGGACAATCCCAACGATTGGGTCGGAGACCCCGACGCCCCCTTGCAGGGCTTCTCCTGGCGGGGCGGTTGCGAGCGGGACACGACGGGCATCCTCATCTGGGATGAAGTCTTTCAGGTACTGCCAAAATGGCGCCCATGTTGGAGGAGGTCACCTGCAAACGCCTGAAAAGAACCCGTAAAGCAAGGTTCTCGAACGCAGAATGTGTTTTACGTCTGGCATATCCGGTTAGGTGCCTGCAGTGGAAGTGTACAGGCGGATTGCCAGCCAAACGCTGATGCAGTGCTCGTCTCCCCGCTAATTGTGCGCCATGCCAGCCGAACCTCTTCCTCTAGTTCCTTTGTTACTCACGGTGGGGGTAAAACACCACAAGTTTGGACGTACCAGCGGTGCTCTGCTCCGTAAAACGGGCGTGCTTCGAGCATCCCGAGAGAAAGAGAGCGAAACAAAATCGGAGAAAGAATTAAAGCAGGCTCCTTTACCGCGACGTGTCGAAGTAGTTCCGAATGTTTGGTTCTTTTTTGCCGTGAGCCGATAGCATGGCTCTGCTCGGCGCTGCCGCGCTTCAATTGTTCCGTTTTTCGCATCCTCCGTCTACTGCGTCTCACACTCCAACGGGCTCTGAGAAAGTCGCATTTACACCGAAACCGTGAAGGATGGCAGCCACAAGTAAGACATCCAGGGAGCGATCTTGCGCTTAGTTTGCACAACACCGGGCCGCATCGCGCCATCCGGTCTCCATGTGTGTACACAGTTTCACCATACTAGTACATTACATTCTGTGTTACCACTGATATACCACGCTAGTATGGCAAAAGAGCAACTTTTTCTAACACCGTGTGTTATATGACGGGCGGCTAACAGCTTCCAGTTTCAGACTCCTGTTACGGAAGGAGAAAGTGAGATGGAGATTTGGGCCAGTTGGTTCATTGCAAGCAAAAAAGCGCCGAAAAAATACAGGGACACAGACGAAGGGAAACAGGACAAGGCGCACTCTCAACTGATGTTTATTGAAAAATTCACACGTTATATAGCCACACACACACACACACACAAAAAAAATCTTTTCTTTTCTATCTACTCAGCCCGCGTTTCAAAAATTCAAACTCATTTGTAGATAAGGATACCAACGTGTCACATATACAATTCTTGTCTCTGGTCCTAATTGCATACGCCTCGTGTAATTCCCGCGACACTTTATCTTTGTATCTAGCCAAAATCTTGGTGTCATTGAAGGCCGGGGTGCAAGAGCATCTATTGCTCTTGCACCCCGACCTTCAATGACACTTTTGATTAAGCTTTCTGCCACTTCAACCAAAGCTTTGGTTGAAGTGGCAGAAAGCTTAATCAAAAAGATTAAAGGTAATCGGAAATCAAACAGCGATAGACCGACCATGAGGCCTCTTGTCATTCCATATATGCACAATGTAACGCACAATCTGAAAAAGGTAGCCCAGCGCTACAATGTACCGGTAGCTTTTTCAGCACCCAATAAGATGGCGCGACTTTGTCGCCAGATCAATTCACCACAGCCATCTTCAGATCCCTGCACTACCAAACATCGAAATAAGTACGTTGAATGTGCCACTGGCGTCGTCTATGAAATCCCCATGACGTGTGGGATGACATACGTGGGCCAGACGGGCAGGTGCATTAATGATCGCACCCGAGAGCACGCTGCCTCTACAAGAACGACGCCTTCGGGGCACCTTGCAATTCATTGCAATAGATGCTCTTGCACCCCGGCCTTAATGACACCAAGATTTTGGCTAGATACAAAGATAAAGTGTCGCGGGAATTACACGAGGCGTATGCAATTAGGACCAGAGACAAGAATTGTATAAGTGACACGTCGGTATCCTTATCTACAAATGAGTTTATATTTTTGAAACGCGGGCTGAGTAGATAGAAAAGAAAAGATTTTTTTTGTGTGTGTGTGTGTGTGTGGCTATATAACGTGTGAATTTTTCAATAAACATCAGTTGAGAGTGCGCCTTGTCCTGTTTCCCTTCGTCTGTGTCCCTGTATTTTTTCGGCGCTTTTTTGCTTGAGAAAGTGAGATTGTCGAGCCATACTTCTTGCTCGAGTAGATTTGAGTTGCTTCTGGGGGTCGCATTATGTGATCTGATGTCACCCGCATCCTAGGGGTATGCTGACGTTTTCTGCTCCTAGGGCGCGCTAAATTGGGAGTTTTAGAATAAAGTATGCAATTTTGGTGCACGCTCTAGCGCTAACTTTAGCGCTTGCATTAACACTTGCTATGCAAGAGAGTTTTAGAAGAGCGTTTCTTTGCCGCGACGCTAAAGCTCTAGCGTCTCGCGCTGTCAATGCCACCAAGATACAGTAGCAATTTTTATTTCATGCACGAAATGCTCTAACTTGAAACAAAATAAAAAAAACAAGTTGCTTGGTCTAGAGTAACATTCTAGATTTGTTTGAAAATGGGAGTGTGACGGGAGCGGTCGACCGGCCGTGTCCGCTTGCGTCATCCCGGCAAGAGAGCCACACCGGACCTTCGTTGAGAAATGTGTGCGCGTCGCAAGCATCAAGTTGCCGGAGGTCGTTGCCCACCTTACTGGGTCTTCCGAACCGAGTGCAATGTCGTCCTGTGGTGAAAACGCCGCCGCCAAAGCATCCGCAGCCGTGGTCCTGTGAGCCGCCATTCTTTAATTGTGCTCATCTTGACTTTAGCCAATTTCTCATCACGAATCCTCCTTAGAGGAGCGGAGGCTCTTTGCATGCGCATGCAATTTCTTTGCGTATGGAAAGCTTTAGCGTGCGCTGTTCTAAAACTGCCTAATCAGCGAGCTTTGGGTGTGCACACACTTTATTTTTTTCTTTTTAATGCGCTTTCTAAATAATGCTGTTCACAAGAAAGCTTGTCCACACTATACTAGTTCGTTAAATGCCTATACTGTACAAGAACTGTATTACGCTTTGCTCTGCCATTTAGGTAATCTTTTTACCGTAAGAAGAAACATTCTCCTACAGTAGGGGTCTCAAACACGCGGCCCACAAGCATTCCGTAGCTGCGAGCCCCCGCTCCCATGTCTCATTTACCACAAGCGCTACAAATAATATTTTTATATCGTCGATTCATTCCCGCTCCAAAAGGAGCTCTGCTCTGTTCTGAAATTTATCATTATTCTGTTTTGTCTTCTATGAAGTATTGCTTCGTCTAAATATTTGCTTCTCGGCCCTTTCTTAAGTAAATCCACTGGAATGGCAATACCACTACTAGGGTGTATACAGATGTGAGTTATTTTCTCATGGAGGCACCATAGCTGAACAAATTCTTGCTCTGCTGTAGCAACGTCCGAAGATCAAAGCTATGAGCTCGTGCCTCTAGATGTCAGAAAAGCAAAAACAGCATATGAAGAGATACTTCGCCCATGTCTGTTGAGCCTAGTGAATTGTGCAACAGGGCAAGGACGGAGTGCTTGCTCTCATTCTATTGGATGCTGCCAGTACTGTATTGAGGTGGTGTCTTAAATCTTTTTATAACCCCAGGTGTGGGCCCAAAGTACTCGTGTATGCAAATAAAAGCTGAAGGGGGCAAAACAATTAGCTTTACAAAAAGTAGAAATCGCAAGGTTCCTTTACTAATATATCTGGCGTGGCTGGGACAGTCGGCTGCTTTGCAACGTGAAACACGACTGCTGTTTGTTTAGCTTTTGTCTCAAAATAGCAGAATATTGCCCCCCTCTTGCCCTTGGCCCTCATTCTTTCGGGGAGAGGCTATCTGGCCCTCACACTCGAATGAGTTTGAGACCCCCGTACTGTAGTGTCTAGTTTCAGTTTGTGTTTGAACTCCTCAACTCCAAGCAGCCGAAGGAACATCGACTACCGAGAGGCATGCTGGGACAGGCCTCCCGCGGTGTAAGCGGAGCATTGCAATGTAACCTCCAACAATCCTATGTAATCTCAGTATTAAACGGTGTTAAACCACTACACGTACTACAGTATGTAAAAGCTGACAGGGGTTCAACCGCCTCGAGTACATATGTATGAACTGCAACGGTCTAAGCAGCGCGAGATCGTGACAAGACGCGTAGGGAGGGCTTTAGGGAACATGGTGCTAGGGAAGGCCATGACTATAGGAAAACGGGGATGATGGAAATGTCAGGGAAATAGAATGTGTGTTTGCATGTGGATGGGAGGATGCACATCATGCGAAGGAGTTGTGAGAATGAAGAGTGGCGTTAGGCCTAAAGACTTGTTCGGAGCGCGATATCTGCGGGGTGTTTCCGAGCGTTATTCGGGCGTACAAAAGATTTTTTAAATAATTCAACGAACTGAGTGCATTGTAACTTTTCACAAAGGTGTTTTTAGGTGGTGCATTCATCATACTCACATTTTATGAGTGTGGGTTCCAGGAAAAAAATGTCAACCTATAAACAATCCTGCTTTCACGTTTTACAGCAGAGCTGTTAAGGGCTAGGTTCCCCAGGATCGTCTCCGGTATGTCGACGCAAACCGACCTGGACAGCTACCGTCATCTATAAGCGACGGCGGCAAGCACACAATCAGTATGGTTTCTGCCGTCGCTCGTAGATGGCGGACCTTTCCAGCTATAATAGAACAATGGATAGTTGGGTGCGTTGGTGGGAATTCATCGTAGGAAACAGCGCGAAAAACAGACGACGACAAAGAAGCACACAGTGTATTGAGTAGAGCTCCGCTGGTCTTCCTTCTTCACGAGAGTGGAAAGGCTGAACGTTTTTGTTTTATGCTCTGCCATATGCGAGTAGCAGTGCAAATCGGGCAGCTTTTACCATCTTTCCTGTCCGTAGAAATTAATGGGACTTTTTGGGCTTCATTTCTTTTTCCTAAAACATATACTTGTCAGATTTAAGCATGATAAATGCACCACCTATACCCCATTTCACCTTGTGATGTACCGCAGGAAAGGCTAGAAGTGCGAGCTCTTTGCTCTAGGGCACATATCGGCGGCAAGAGCAGCTGCCAGTGCTATGAACTCTCGCTTCTAGCCCTCGCTGCGGTAAAACATAAAGTAAACAGAGTATAGATACATGCTTGTGAAATGTTTCATTGCGCTCTGTTGATTAGTTTAATTATATGAATTCTTTTACGCTCGAGTAGCGCTCGGAAACACCCTGTAAACTCGGCAGTGGACCGAAGGACGAACGTACGGATAGACGAAGCAGCATCTTTGGGCGCAGGTGACGACGTCGGACGGCCAGCAGCTGGCGGTGCTGTTCATGGACACGCAGGGGGCCTTTGACTGCGAGTCCACGGTGAAGGACTGCGCCACCATCTTTGCCCTGAGCACCATGACCAGCTCGGTGCAGGTGTACAACCTGTCCCAGAACATCCAGGAGGACGACCTGCAGCACCTCCAGCTCTTCACCGAGTACGGCCGCCTGGCACAGCAGGTGCGGCGGCGCCACCGTCCTAAAATCTTCAATTGTCTTTTTTTTTTTTTACAAATTGGAATTTTTGTTTGCGTCTTACAAACAAATCAGAATTCTTGCTTGTTTTCTAGGAACTTGTTTTTTTTTGTTTTTTTTTGCGAACAAACCGCAATCTTTGTCTGTTCTTTGCTTACAAACCGGAATCCTGCTTTGTTTCTTGTGGACAAACTGGAATCTTCGTTTGTCTCTTGAGAACGAAACATGGAATCCCTGTTTCTTGGTTTGTTTAAGTGTGTTCACTTGTCGGCACTCTTTCGTAAAAATTGTAAGTGGAATCCTCGTTTGTTTTTCATAAACTATAGTCCGCCTCACACTAAGAGTAGCTGGAAAGATCTTTCCACAGGGACCTCCACCCTTTCCACATTAGCAGAGCAAAGAGGGCCTTCTCTTCACCTTCTGAAAGCCAGTTCACACACTTCCGTCTGCTTACAACCGTGTTCTTACGGTCTCTTACATCAAGAGAACATGCTGTTGGTGCCATCTACGAGGTTGCCCCGGGACTGCTTTTCGCTAGAACGAAGTTTGTGCGCTATTTGCGAGAACAAATGTACAGATTTTTTGTGAGAAATGGTTGTTTATAACGCTTTTAAGAAGTTTTTCGAGCCAACAAGAAAAGAGTGATACGCGAAAAGAAATAGAAGTTTGTGAGAGATCACAATTGGCGCTCGGCCATAAGCAAATGCAAGTGTTTGTTGCAACGGACTGTAACCGGGATCCTCACCTGACCTTGCTCTCGCCGACCCTGCAGGACATGACGGAGAAGCCTTTCCAGAAGCTGCTGTTCCTGGTGCGGGACTGGAGCTACCCGTACGACTGCCCCTACGGGGCCGAGGGGGGCCAGACGATCCTGGAACGCCGCCTGCTCATCTCAGAGCGCCAGCACCAGGAGCTACAACAGCTGCGCAAGCACATCCGCTCCTGCTTCTCGGAGATCGGCTGCTTCCTCATGCCCCACCCGGGCCTTAAGGTGGCTACCGCACCGGCCTTTGACGGGCGGCTGGCCGACATCGAGGAGGCCTTCAAGGAGCAGCTGCGCAGCCTGGTGCCCAGCGTGCTGGCGCCGGACCGTCTGCTGGTGAAGGAAATCAACGGCCTCAAGGTCACCTGCAGGGAGCTGCTGGAGTACTTCCAGGTGGGCAGTGCATCGATGCTCGAGCGTTTAACAGAGGATGCTGGGTTTCGCGAGAGAAGCTCGGCGTCGGTAGGAGTCTTTCCAACGTGTCCCGTTTGCAGGTGTACGTGAACATCTTCAAGGGGGATGAGCTACCGGAACCCAAGTCGATGCTCGAGGTGAGTCAGGAGGGTGCCGGGAGAGGGCGGGGACTGAGGGGACGTCCTCCCTGCAGGCCACGGCCGAAGCCAACAACCTCGCTGCCGTAGCCACAGCCAAGGACAAGTACAACACTGGCATGGAACAGGTGAGAGCTATATGCCTTGTGTCCTTATGCATGCCCTTGTCTTATAGTCAGTTTGTCTGTTGAGGTCGACTTCAACTGTGATTCAAAGCAGCAATTGAGAGCACAGGACACGTGGTATGTTAATGGGCTACAGCCTATTTAGCATTATGTTAAGTGTGGGTAGCTTGACTGGGGTTGGGAATGCGCACATAACGGGAGTACAATTAAAGGAGATATATTTCGGTTGCCGAGAATGTTGTGGCAACACTAGGTTACTGCATCCTTTGGTTGGTTATCCAGACCAGTAAAGAGTCCGCTGCATTGTCGACGGAAAGACGAGCGGTATTGATCTAATTGATTGTCGTTAGTCACGCTTGAACTCGGAAGGGTTCCTATTCAACGAATTTTTATGTATGTGCATCAAACATGAGCAAGCTATCTTACAAAGAACTTAAAAATGAAAAGCGTTTACAATTTCCTGTAACACCGATTTAGAGAGCAGCTCTTGAGAAGGAGGAGGGGAAGTTACGGAGAGGAGGGTATGCCCCTCCTCCTCATCCGTACCCTCCCCTCTTCTCCTGCTCCCCTCCCATTTAGCGGGAAATTTTTCATAAATTTCCCGCTAAATTTAGAGGAAATAATTCCTCGCTAAATTTATCGGGGAATTTTTTCTGCTAAATTTAGCGTGGAAATTTGTCCTCTAAATTTAGCGGGGAATTTTTTGCACTAAATTTAGCAGGAAATATTTTCCACTAAATTTAGCAGGAAATTCTTTCCGCTAAATATAGTAGGGGAAATTTTCCACTAAGTATAGTGGGAACATTTTTCCGCTAAATCTAGCAGGGAATTTTTGCCGCCAAAATTAGCAGGGAATTTTTTCTGCTAAATGTAGCGGGGAAATTTACCCATAATGCAATTCGCGGTGATGTCATGTGATCATATAGGAAACGTCCCATAATGCGACGCGCAATTACGCCGACGGCGACGCCGCTCAAGCCAGAAATTGGCGCCTAAGAGCTGTGCTCTGAAAATAATCAAATCAACCCGAGGGCGCGTACGTAATGTCCACCGTTTTTTGTTTCCATTTTTTCGTGACCAGCTTCTATGGATATTTGACAGCGCACTTGTGCCACGAAAAAGAAAATCGCCCCTTTCTCTATGCCAGCAGCAACCCACTGCTGCGCTACACTTTGCGGCAATCCGGTGCATCGATGGTAGTTATTGGAACTGGGTCTCAGCTTGCGCCACCCATTTGGCCAACCGCCAATTAAGGCCAGCGACCCAGGGCAAGAAGAGTGACTCGGGTAGAGAGGGGTGCTCACTGTGGCCTTCCCGTCTCGTGTGCAGCTGTGCGGAGGGGAGCAGCCGTACATGAGCCCGCACCAGCTGGAGAGCCACCACCTGCGGTTGCGGGAGTCAGCCAGGGAGCTGTTTGTGGCCACCCGCAAGATGGGCGGCGCGGAGTTCTCCCAGCAGTACCTCGAGAGGCTCACCGAGGTGGGTGCGGGGCGCGGCACCTGAGACGCGTCTTCGACCTGTGCGTCTACCGTCCTGCGATGCCCATGCGTCGAAAGGGGTGCCGAGTGGCAACAAATATTGTCACAAAAGCGGTAGTGTCCGATGAGTGTTCTGTAGGCCTGTCGCAAATTTTCCGCGGCTCCCCGTGACCCAAAGAGATCGGCGCACGTGGTCTCCAGACTCAACGACGTTCGACCCTTCCCTCGTGGAGAAACTCCGTCGTATGAATACACCGTCGGGAATGCGGTTCTTACTACCTACGAGACATGGTCATTCATAACGTTGTCGGAAGCTTTTTCGAGCCAACAATAAAAAAACAATGAGAAGAAAAAAAAAAAAAAAAAAAAAGGAAATACATGGGAATTGAAAGTTTTAAATGGCTTCTGGGTGGACGGTGTCGGTGCCGTCGCGAGAGATCTTGAAAGGTTCTAATTGCACACGGTCGTAAGCAGACGCAAGTGAGCGCACCAGCCTTAAGCGGACCTTCGGTGATCGTCCTCTTACACCGCCGCAGGAGATTGACGGGTGCTTTGCCAACTTCGCCAAGCACAACGAGGGCAAGAACATCTTTGCGGCGGCGCGCACTCCGGCCACCCTGTTTGCCATGGTGCTGTGCTTCTACTTCGTGTCGGGCCTGCTGGCCCTGCTGGGCCTCTACTCCTTCGCCAACTTCTGCAACCTGCTCATGGGCCTGTGCCTGGTGGTGCTCTGCCTCTGGGGCTACGTGCGCTACTCCGGGGACATGCGCGAAGTGGGGGCCCACATCGACACTGTCGCCAACCTCGTCTGGGGAAACGTGAGTACCTGGTCGAGAGCTCTTCCGATGCAGACGGTTGGAAAGCGTGTGGCGGCACAACGGGAGCTGGGGGCTCGCTGTTACGTACAGTTGAAAAGTGTGTGCTAGCACTGCAAGGGCTGTGGGGTGTGCAGATACATACAGTTGGAAAGTATGACTGGTTACAGAGCCTTCGTGTGATGTCCGTAAAATATTGAGCAAGTGCCTTTACAAAAATTGGAGGTAATTGTGAGAAAATGGGGATGATTGCATTCAGTCAGAGAGAAGAAAAGCAGGAGGGGCCGATGGTGGGTAGGTCTTTGTTTGATCCGACAGGTCTTTGTTTGATCCGACAGGTCTTTGTTTGATCCGACAGGTCTTTGTTTGATCCGGGGGTCTGGCAGAAGTTGTTTAACTTCTAAAGTAGGTGCATCGCCCTCATTAATCCTGCTTTGTAGTCTGTGCTCACGGATCAAGTTTTGCAACTTTGCACTGACGCAAGCGCTTGGTGCTTCGCTGCTGTGCATTAACATCTTAGAGAAGCGTTTGACATGGAGGAGCACATCGAATACCTCGGTGAGCTCGTACATTTGCTGGGGTGGGCCTTTGCCTATACTATTTGAAATGTTTCAAAAGTAGCTATTGGGTGCTTGCTAAGGCCCGTTCACACTCTTGCAACCGAGTATGACCGAGAGAGACGAGACGAGAGAACACACTAGCACGCTGGCGCCATCTATGCAGTGACCCTCGAACTGCATTTCACAAGAGTGAAGGTTTTGCGGTATTTCCGAGGTCAAATGTGCGTAATGCCTATAAGAAAGGATTGTTTATAAAGTTCACAAAAGTTTTTTGAGCCAAGAAAGGAAGGATAATGTGCGAGAGAAATAAAAAATATGCCGGACCGCCAAGTTTACACTGCTACCCACTAGATGGCACCAGTGTGTCCTCTCGTTTTAAGGAACCCAGTTTTAAGAAGTCGCAAGAGTGTGAACGGGCCTTTACAATACGGGCGCATGCGTGGTATTTTACGACAAGCAGATCGTGCACATCTCGACGCATAGGGGCACTTAAAAAAAATATGTAGGGCGTGGGTTCTGAAACTTTTTGGTCTCGAAGAACAGATGCCTGCTTTGATTGGCAGCTGAGGGGCTCTTGCCCTTCTCGGCATTGTTGCTTGTGAAACAGTTCTGAAGCCTTGAGACTTCAATAATAATAGTAATAAAAATACTGGGGAGTATCTGACTCATAGTCACACACTGATACGTGGCTCAGAGAAGCTAAAGCAATGCTTATATGGGCAGAGTAACGAATTTATTGTTGCAAAATCTACGCTTTACTTTTGTTTCGATGATCTTAGCACAAGTCAGAAAAGAAAAATGTCGCTTTGCCACGGAATATTGCTATTCCGTCGTGTACGGTAATCGCAAAGCATGAAAACAGACTGTTTCCCATCCTTCAGCTTCGTACGGCGGTCACGGGAACTATAACAGGACTTTATTTCTCTGCATATAAGCAACCAGCAGTGTAAGATGTGGCATAATCAGTAAAAAAAATGTTCCCTACTGAACATAATAAAAGGCGCATTTTGACAGATTTATTCGTGCTTACATATGACAAGATTTATACAACTTCTGAGGAGACAGTTTTAGAGTTACTAGTTCACCACAGCACACCCCACGAAGATGTTGCGCCGTAGTTCCCGTGGCCGCTGTATGTGGCTGCATGTTGGGAAATAGTCTTTATTTCTGCTTTGCGATTACACATGGTTATATTGTGATGTTTTGCGAAAAAGCAGTGTGATTCCTTCATTTGTGCCAAGGTGACTTTATGCTTTTGCCCGGCGTCTCATATCTTGACCCGTCTTGTTTGTCCCCTCCTTGCAGCTGCTCAAGCCCCTGTACAAACGGGTGATGCAGGACCGGGTGCTGCCCCCCCACCTGACGGGGGGCGCGGGGGAGGGCACCCGTGCCTCCAACGGGAGGCTCAAGGCCAACTAGGGGTGTCCCCACTCCGTCACCCAAGTGCCTCGGGCCGCGGAGATGCGCCCGGCGGAGGGGAGCCCTTCCCGCCGAGCGCGCCGCGGCGTGTACAGGAGAGGAGTGTACAGAAGGCTGCGTGTACATACCCGTCAGGGATGGCCCCCTTTGTTTTGCTCACTCCCCCTTCTTCCCCTCCTCCGGATTGTTTGTACCCTCTGGAGAATAAACGCTGCTCCTCTTTTTGCACCCGGCGGCTTCACTGGACACTACATGGCGAGCAAATGTCCCAAAATGCGTCTTTGGTGCGTCGGAACGTAAGGAGTGCCTCGCCGATCAAATGGCAACGCAGAGAGTGCGCGATGACGAGTCGAGTGCGCACCTCACTGGTTGAAAAGGGGGGGGGGGGGAAGCAAATGGATGCATTTGGTGCAGAAGAGGCAGGCCACTCATCACATCGAGAAAAAAAGGTTTTGTGGACCGTTTCATGCTGTGTGAAGTTGTGCCTTCAAGATTTGGTGGTTGAGAGAGGAAACAATGCTTTTGGCGTTTGAACTGCGAATGTTTCGATAAACCAAAGTATAGCCATCTAAAATGCACTGCATTTCACCTTGAGTCTGGCCACAAGGGATGCTACAAGCCATTAGAGCCGATCCAAGTTTGCGAGAGTGTTACGTGACCTTGGAAAGGGGCGCAGTGATGCACAGAGCGTATCGCTTACTGCATTCACGGAGCTGGATTGGCAAGGGTGGCACATGGTGTCCGCCACGATGGGACACGAGGTGAAACGGAGTGTAGTAACGCTTTACAAGCAGACTGGCTCTTTTTTTACTATGGTTCTTGAGGTGAATACGAGTATAGAGCCACTAAAGAAGCTTTGCTCAAAAGCATTGATGCTCCTTTTTCCAGTTATCTCGTGGGCACCGTCTTTTTGTTGCCTAATGCAGAGTGGGTGCAATAGACCTTTCTTCTAAATCACCAGTTTAGAAATAACTGTCACCACCTGGTGGAAAACTGTTACAGGATTTCCAGGATGAAACAATACAGTCTAAGCTCATTACAACAGACCTGGTCGCAACAGACATTTGGGTATAACATACTGATTTATGTAGTTTGGTTAGTTTTCCTCTATGTACCATTGACTCAACTTCATATCTGCATACAACATACTCCTTTTACAACAGACCAAAATTTTGGTCAAAATCAAGGTCTCTTATAACAAGGTTAGACTGTACAACTTCTCTTTTTACTTGGGTATTTTTTTGAAACAAATGCACCAGTTAGTCATACATTTGTGGTAAAGAACTGGGGATTGGAAAATCAGAAAGTTAGTTTAGGGCAGGGCTGGGCAGGGATACTCTAAAAAGTATTTGGGAATACAAATACTGAGATACATGTGTTTTATGGCCTAAAATGCAGATACTGAGATACCTTTGTCTTTTATGCAATGGGATATCCCTGAGATACTTCTGCAAAAACGGAGAAAAAGTATTCCGGAAAACAGATACAGATACTTACAGAAATACATTTGTTCGCGAACGGTACAATGTGGAGAGGGCCTGGCGAATGTAAATGGTAATTTAGGCGTGCGCTCCTCTTTTTGTCATTTTATGCACTTGCCCTTACCTCAAACTATTTATTGATCAAAAATGCCGCAAAAAAAGCGTGGCCCCCCCCACATGAACCACATAGTTACTGAACGGTAAAGACTGCGTACCATGCTTGACGAAAGGCGTCTGCTTGAAACGAACCCTGTTTTGCCGAGAGGGCGCACCTCAAACTGTTGTCTGGTATGCTTCTGAGTCGCCCATAGTATGGGGACATTGGACAACAGATGGGGGGGACCGGTGGCCGAGTGAGCTAGTGCACACTAAAGTCGCTGGATCCTGGAAAAGTAGCACCATTGTCTTCCCTACCTGCTAGCCAGACACAAACGGATACTAACGTACAGACGACCAAAACCTTGGAAGGAAATTGGCTAATCTGTCTACGTTGCCATGAAAATCGCTGTCTCTGTCCATTCAAATCCTCGAAACTTCCAGAGGGTCGTTCTAAACCAGTCGCGCCAAGATCATCATGGAGCATCATCGTACTGGAAGTGTTCCTCGCCAATGTAAGTGTCTTTGGCATTGTGTATGCAATCAGTTCTTATCAATCATGCCCATCTCTACGGATCTCTTGCAATTATATTGTTGTTCTTGCGTATTTCAAAACAGGCAAATTATTTTTCAGTGCATCCAAGCACCGACGCAGCATGTGGTGGTGGTATGAAGATGTACTCTTGTTTTGCCAGTGTGTGGATGGCAAAATGTCGATATACAAGAAACGTCCCCATAAAGCTACCCGTCACCAGCGAATTTAGATCAGCTCGCCAAGAACGTAGGGGTCTGGGAGAAATTGCTCATTTCACGGACCAAGAGGGCGACCATCGGTGTCACTTTCCCAGGATCCAGCAACTTTAGCGCACATCAGCTCGGAGCACGTGGCGCAAAAGCTCGCGCTGTGGAACCCAGGGATCCTGGGTTCAATCCCCACCCCTGCCCATTTCAATGTGGATGAGCAGGTACCGGTGTGCGGTCGTGTCTCATTACTGCGTGATGCACAATAAAGACCCCAGGCTAGCGGTTGTACTGCACTGGCTAAATTTCTCGTGTACAGCTGGGAGACAAGTCGCCCAATGAGGCAGGCTAAGTTCTAGGCTGTACAAACATACACACTCCCCAATTTTACAGCGTAGCTGTTAAGGACTAGTTTCCCCAGGATTGTGTCCATCTGCACAGAAATGTCGATTCAACACACTGGTTGGCACGCTGTCGCTCATAGATGGTGGCAGCTGTTCAGAGCGTTCTGTTTGCCGGTTGTCTGTTTGCCGCTGTCGCTCATAGATGGCGGCAACCTTTCCAGCCTTTCCACTCTGGCTTGCCGACTTTCGAATGGCCATCACTTCATTCCCACCATAGTACAGCTTCACTGGTCTTCCTTCTTCACCAAAGTGGAAAGGCTAGAAGTTTTTTACAGCAAAGCTGTTATGCACTAGGATCTGGGAAAAGAAGTGGAAAAGAACGAGCGGCTTGCATGCGAAAGCATGCAAGCCGCTCGTCCGCTTCCTTTTTCGTCTGCTGCGTACATTCGTCGCCTGTCGGCGCGTGTGCTCCCCTGGTGACCTTGGACGCTCCACGCTGATGGACGCGCAGCGCCATGGGGTGAGCAGTCGTGGAAACTGACAAGCGCAGCGGCCGACATGAGAGCCCCGTCGACGCGCCAGCCAGTGGAACCGAAGGAAACTGCCGTTTTCGCGCTTCAGACTAATGACGTCGGCTCGCTCCACGAGACAGTTAATACTTTCGCATTAAAAATAAAAAGAAAAAAAAGTGAAAGCCGTTTACAACTCCCTGTAACGCCGAATTTGAGCGCAGCTCTTGAGGAGGAGGAAGGAGGGGTACTGGGGGGGTGGGTCACGTGAAGATGCCGATGACGTCATCAGCGACGATAACGATGCGGATACCGATGACGTCATCAGTGATGACGATGACGATGCCGGTGACGTCACTGATGACGTCATCAGCGATGATGACGATGATGATGCGGATGCCGGTGACGTCATCAGTGATGATGACGATGCTTATGACGGTGACGTCATCAGTGACGATGACGTCATTGGGGGGTCACGTGACCTCGGGGGAGGGGGTCATGTGACCTCAGAGTGGTCACGTGACCTCGGGGGGGTCACGTGACCTCGAGGGGGGTCACATGACCGCGGGGGGTCACGTGACTTTGGGTGTCACGTGATCTTGGGGGTCACGTGGCCTTGGGGTGACCTTGGTTACGCCGACGCCGCTCAAGCCGGGAACGGGCCCCTAAGAGCTGCGCTCTAAAACAGTGTGAGTCAGCCTTCCTTGGCGTTATTAGATCGAGGTCGTCCAAGGCGTCGTCCGAGAGACCGTCCTAGGCGTTGTCCTAGAAGTCATCCTTGAGGTCGTCCTAGAAGCCGTCCTTGGAGTCATCCTCTAGGCGTCGCTCTTGAAGACGTCCTTGAGGTCGTCCTTTGCGTCCTCTAAGCGTCGTCCTCGAGGTCATCCTAGAAGTCGTCCTTGAGGTCATCCTCGAGGTCGTCCTAGACGCCGTCCTCTAGGCATCGTCCTATAGACATTGTAAAAATAACAGCTTCGCTGGTCCTCCATTTTCACGTGAAGTGGAAGGGCTCTACAATTTTTTAATTTTTTTTGGTCAACAGAGCCCCATACATTTTCCAACCAAGCCCTGCTAAATTGGAAAGAGTAAAGGGCTTTATGGGAGGAGTTTATTCTGTTATTCTTGCAAGTAACCTCCCTTAAACCAGTTCTTTTTTTTTCCCTCTCTTTTTTTTTTTTTTTTGAACGTTGGTGACTGGATTATAAGGCGGAACGTTCATATGGTATAAGTGGACCTTTTGGCGAATATGTGCTGCCACCTAGACACGCGACTGGGTCGACTGGGTTCGAGACTAAGTGGCCAGAAAAGAACGCCTCTCTCACTCGTTCGACACCCAAAACGTCAGCCACATCCTGTTCGCCCGTTGCGCCGCTGTGACCTAGCTAGATGAGTCCTAACCGAGCCGCTCTGGCCGTGCCTAGATACGGCTCCCCCAAACTTGCCTTTGTCCCCATCGTGGGTTGTCTTCTGCCTTGAAGTCGACAGAAAGGAACCATTTTTCCTCTCTGCTCGGCCAGAAGGAGGAGAGGACTCTCGAACCATCGATGTTTCTGCAAAAGGTCCATTCTGAAGCTTGCACCAAGCAGATGCTTCTACCTTTTAAATTGATTGTAAAAACGGCAAGAAATATAACAATATACTTAAGTCTGGCAAAGTATGCGATACCAGCGAAACACTGTAAATACATTGCATTTCACCACTGAGACAGATACATTTTTCAAATGTATCTTGATACATATAGGGAGTATTCACTGGCGGCCATATTTGTGTGCGCGGCTGCTGAGCGTGTGCTGACGGCGATCTTCCGCAGTCCTTTTGGAGCGTACATTTAGCACCATCAAGGTTGCCGGTCTTAGCAGGCTATTAATGTGAGCTCGTTCTGGACATGCGCTCTAAACATCGCCCTCAAATATGGCGTCCAGTGAATAAGGAGTATTCACTGGGCGCCATATTTGTGGGTGCTGTTTAGAGCGCATGCTCAGAATGAGCCCACATTAATAGGTTGCTAAGACCGGCAATCTTGAGGGTGCGAAATGCACGTTACAAAAGAACCCTGGAAGCTCGCCATCAGCACGCGCTCAGCAGTCGCGCACACAACTATGGCCGCCAGTGAATACTTCCTATACTCAAAAGTATTTCTAAGATATAATCGCGATGTATTTGAATCGTGACACTGCCCTGCCCAGCCTTGTTTGGGGTCCCATATCTTTGGGATTAAAAAAATAATAAAAACTAAAACGGTGCAAGTGAGTTGTAGCGGAAGTTACGATGTCAAATAACCATTTTGCCTCTCCTCTCCACTTTTTTTTACTTTTCTGGTTTTTTAATTTCGGGTTATTCAGAATCATGGCAAACATGCCTCTACACAACTCTTTAATTTGTAAAAAAAAGCTGAGCTTTTAAGAACAAAAAGGTAAAGACAAAAAAAAAATTTAAACTCCCGCGCATGTCGATGACGTTTTCTCTTGTAAATGCTGAATGGCTGAATTATTGGCAACGTTGATGATAGGTGAACTTTTTGCACGTTTTGAACCCAAAATCCCAGCTCGATCCGATCCAATCCACTGGCCCTGTTGATGCTTGATGGTGGATTCCGTGGATTTAGTCATGGGGTTTGTGCACGGTGTAAGTGGGTTTGGGCGTGGTTTAGGTCCATGCGTGATGTGCCTGATGTGCGGTGTATGAGTGCTCCTTGCTTTTCCGTGTTGTAGCACAAATGCCACCCGTGCGTTATCATGCACGGGTGTCGTTAAGCTGGTCAAGCCACCAATCGCATCACATGTGGTGCACGACCCTTTGTTCTATCGAAGTTCTATCCAGTTACAAGACCTCTTACTTAGAACAGACAGAAAATTAAATGTAGAAGTTTTCTCAACGAGTGCCAAAGGCTTTCGGAAGCAACAGCAACTAGGGTGAGCTTCATATTTGATTAGTTTTCAGTGCCTGTGTGTACTGTCGGGGCTTTTAGAGACGTGGAGACCGCCAAATTCGTATTGTCGAAAATTCTGAGTTTATTAGAGTTTATATTTGTTTAATTCCCGATCTTCAGAAATTCAGAGTTTAATTTCTTAGTGTTTTATATTAAAAATAAATAACCGGGTGTAAACCAGGGGCTTCCCATCAAAAAATGAAATTTGGGGGCGGGGAGGGAGGGAGGGGGAGGGGTGGCATTGAGGATAGGGGAGTTGTTGCGAATTAAATAGTGGGTGCCTTCAGAAAAACAGGAGGGGGTGTATAGGGAAATCAATGGTGTAAACGTATGGTAGATAAAAAAATAAAACACACTTGTATCAGTTAACATTTCTTCAGCTGGATTTGGCATTGGTGCCATTGCCATTTGCAGTACTAATTTGTCCCACGACATAAGTTTCACACAAGTGCTGCTTCGATAAATGTCAATACGTAATTAAAATCAATAAACTCATCGCCAGGAAGCTACCCCGCAGCCGCACAAGATGGGGGTGGTAAAGGATGTAATAGAGAAGTTTCAACTGCCCCTCTTCCCCATTTTATACAATCTTTATGATCCACAGCTTTCAATGTTACAGAAACAGAACCTTTCCTTCCTCTAAAGCACAAATACCGGGTGAAACAAGGAGACGGTAGGCTCTTTAAATCGACCGGAAAATTCGGTTTCTTAACCTATCGCGCTACGACTTTGTGCAGCGTCGCCCACAGATGGTGCATTTTTTTTTGTAAAATTTGCAAAGAGTGAACTTACCTGAGGAAAAAGTAAAGAAAGAAAAAGGCTTAGCTCCTATGGAAACGCAGCGACGCCACCGGTCTGCAATCAACACGGCGCCGTTTTGCACGGTAGACAAGAGATGGCGCAACGAACGCCGCCAACGAATGAGCATACGGCGCCGAGAGCCAGCGTTTTTAGCAGACGATCTTTTCGAATCGCGTTCCGCAAACGGCGACAGTTGCAGAAACAAAAACAGGCGCGGTAACAACAAGCAACTGCAGTTCCTTGTCTGCTAAAAACGCCGGTTCTCGGCGTCGTCTGCTCGTTCGTTGGCGGCAGTTGGCGTCGCGACCGCTTGCGCCATCTCTTGTCTACCGTGCGAAACGGCGCCGTGTTGTCTGCAGACCGGTGGCGTCGCTGCGTTTCCATAGGAGCTAAGCCTTTTTCTTTCTTTACTTTTTCCCCAGGTAAGTTCGCTCTTTGCAAATTTTAAGAAAAAAATGCACCATCTGTGGGCAACGCTGCACAAAGTCGTAGCGCGATAGGTTAAGAAACCGAATTTTCCGGTCAATTTAAAGAGCCTACCGTCTCCTTGTTTCACCCGGTAGTATGGCCCAAACTGGAAACCAAAACAGTGGCCTTTGTCAGGACCCGAAAGTAGTCAGTCTTGTACACGTTACTAAGAAAACGTAATTGATTACAATTACTATTACTCTTGGCTAAAAAGTATTCGATTAGATTACTTGATTACTCGACGGCAAAAGTAATTGGACATTACTTAAAGAAGTGTTCGTTACTTTTCCGATTACTTTATTGTGTGAAGACACATCTTTAGCACTTATAACAATGAAGTACTTCCAACCTATATTTCACATTTGCACAAGTATTGAAGAAGAAAAACTGGCTCCCTCTTTGTGGTCGTTGCACCTTCACAATGCGGACACAAGCATAGAATTTGTTTGAAGACGTTTAATGATTTGGGCGTTCGCCAGTGTGTGTGTGTGTCTGGGGGGGGAGCGGAGAGTGTTCTAGATCTTGTTAAGTTAGAGCAAGGGTTGTCGCTCAAAGTTTGCGTCGCTCATTTTATTATTCACATGTGGATGAGCTCGCATGTTATACAAAAGAGCAGCAGCTCCAGGATTTGAAACGGATCATGTGTAGTATCCTTTAGCGGAAAATATCGCCCCGACCACTTCTCAACTCGAAACATTGCTTGTCACAAAGACAATGTAGGGGAAATGAGGAAATATTTCAACTGTCTTTGTTATATTTTGCATTCGCTTTAGGCATTCTTCGGTTCTGGTTCTCCTACGGGCTGCGAGTAGGTACCCTAAGCAGGATTTTTTTATTTTTTTATTTCTGTGTGTGTGTGCGTGAGGGGGCTAGTTTGGACGAAGGACTCACAAAGCTACATTCTGCTTCCTCAAACTTCGCCCTGAATGGCCTTTGTCACGCACTGTGGCCTCCCTGGGGCTTCCCACTCCCAATCCCAGCTCAAAAAAAAAAAACAAAAAAAAAACGGACATTTTACAGAAACTGTACATAGAAAGAGATTGACCTCGTTTCCCACAGCTCCGCAAAAATCTTTTTTCCGTTCGGGAAAAAAGAAGCAAATATCATTTTTGTCATTTCATAAAAAAAAGGCGTGTGCGGGGGGGGGGGGGGGGGGGGGGGGTGTCCCGTGGACAAATAGAAACGGTTACAAGTAATTTTATTACTTCAAAAAGTAATCAGATTACTCTTGTGATTACTGCTTAATAAAAGTAATCAACTGATTACAAAATTACTCCAAAAAGTAATCGATTAGAAGTAATTTGATTACATGTAATGCGTACGGTACAAGTCTGAGTACAGTGGCCTGGGCCGGCTTCCTAGAAAATGCGTCTTAGCCTAGACTGGGCGAAAGAAATCCTGCCAAGCCTGGGGCGCACGAGTGCTTGAGCCTTGAGTTCAGATGCCACTCTGCTTGTGCGCTAGTTTTGGCAGTGCTTTCTTTCACCCTGTCTTAGCTAGGAGACGCTGCTTCCAGCCCCAGCCCAGTTGTCCTGAATGAACCTTAATGAGATAAGCGGTAAGACTTCTTTCGACAATGGTCCGAGATTTGAAAGATAACTGTGCTGGCATCTTCCCAGCTGAATGGACCCTGTGCGTTGATCGAACATAATTGAAAAATATTGTCCTTTTTTTTTTTTTTTGGAGGAGGGGGGGCGGGGTCAATGGCACGTAAGCATTGGGAGTTTACCGGCTAAATCTAAATCTACCAAAATTTTTACCGGCGGGAGTTTTTCTAAGTTTTTCGGATTTATTCAAAAACATGGAATGGTACTTATAGGTAGGGTTCCGCGTTTTCTGTTTCTATTTGATCGAAATTCGGCATACTTTTTTCGGTGTTTATTTTAAAAATCAATTTTCGTTTTTTTTTTCGGCGTATATCTATGCCTACAAAACTTTATCGGCTTTTTTCGGGGAATATAAAATAAACACCAACGGACACTGGATCCGATGATCCTTCTAGCTCTGATATTTGTGATCACTCAAAGAATAACAGCACAGATACACTGAAAAATAAATAGACACTTTATTTGGCAAATGTGTGCAACTGTAAAAGAAACAAGAAAAAAAAAACAACAGAAGTACTAACAAGTCAGATACGAAGCCTATGCCGAAAAAACGTGGAACTTCACCTTCTGTACGTCAGGATTACGTGATCTTATTATAGTGCACACACATGTACTTTCCCAGGTTCTCCTCATTAATCCGCCCTCTTTCTTTCCTGTTAATATGACCCTGAGCTTCGAGAATGTCCACTCAACGCTAACACTGGACACTGGCAGGCTGAGGACATGAAGCACTGCCTGAGCCAAAATCGGCCTATCAACCAATTGTGACTGCCAAAAGAGACACGGTGCGACATTTTGAAGCACAACACAACATGCAGAGCTTGCATCAAGTCAGTCTTCCTTACAACGAGTTTGAAAACACGCTCGTACATGGCGAAGTCATGGGGCATTTCGGACTTCATGTTCCGATCGATGATCGCATCAAACCAAAACGTCGTGATGGCATCCGTGTATCCCATACATTCGGACATGTTTCGATAGACACTGTCTTTCCACTTTTTCGCCACGGCTCTGCGGTACGACTGGAAGGTCAAAGTGACCTTTTCCGGTTAAAACTGAATTTTAGAAAATGGATTCGACGTACTTTTATCGGTTTAAACCGAAAATGCTGAACCTAAAAACTGACCTTTTTCGGTTAAAACCGAATTTACGAAAATGCATTCGGCGTACTTTTAACGGTTTAAACCGAAAACTCCGAACCCTACTTATAGGGCTCTCCTCTCAACCCTCCCCACCCCTTCCCTTTCCAAAAAAAAATATTCCTAGCTGTTCCACTGTCGGCATGAAGTCATGTAAACACAGCTGCGTGGAGCATGTTGAAGACTCCAGGTTAGCATTCTCTTGCCAGATTGGATTAATTTCCCCCTCCCAACACTTGAACCTTTGTCGCCATAGGGAGATTGACCTCTCGCTGTATAAACGTTTACAGGACTCAGTTTTATTTGCTTTGCCCAGTGAAGGGCGAAGAACAACACTTTTGTATGTATACGCCGTGTTCATAACAACAGACTCTTGAAAAGTCCGTCAAGCAACATTGGCGGTTGCCATTACTCGGGCACGAAGCGTGTGTTCGGATCCAAGCCCTTGCCGAACGCCGAAGCATCAGATAAAGGTGGTTGTGGACGGAGTAGCCGTTTTCAATACGAGCCGAGCTAGGTTCACGCCAAACACTAACGGAGCCCCCATGTCCTATACATCGGAGTAGGTGTCCAAGCAATGGCGGACCCAGAAAATGCTACTAGATGGCAAGCACTTTCGAAAAATTGCAGGGGTGTCCAGGCCGTCGTATGCAAAGAGCCATAAAAAATAACCATTTTAACTTGACAGCCGAGGCCACTAGGCCACCATCTCGGTTGGTGGCCTCGTGAATTTCATTCATAAGGCGGTTGCTCATTATGTCACAGACCACAATCTCATTTATTTGGTTGGTCCAATTGCATGGTGGCAGAAGGCCACCAAAAAGCAAGCTATTTTTCTATTATCCATCCTGATCCAAGCAGAGAGTAAAAAAGTGAAAGCCGTTTACAACTCCCTGTAACACCGAATTAGAGCGCAGCTCTTGAGGAGGAGGTGGAAAGGGTACTGGGGGGTGAAGTGACCTGGGGGGGGGGGGTCACGTGACCTTGGGGAGTCACGCGACCATGCCGATGATGTCATCAGTGACGTCACTGATGACGTCATCAGTGACGATGCGGACTCCGATGACGTCATCAGCGATGATGACGATGCAGATGTCGGTGATGTCACTGATGACGTCATCTGTGATGATGACGATGACAATGCGGATGCCCCCCCCGAAGTCACGTGACCCCCGCCGAGGTCACGTGACCTCCCCGATGACGTCATCGTCACTGATGACGTCACCGGCATCCGCATCGTCATCATCACTGATGACGTCATCAGTGACGTCACTGATGACCTCACCGGCATCCGCATCGTGATCGTCACTGATGACGTCACCGGCATCCGCATCGTCATCATCACTGATGACGTCATCAGTGACGTCACCGGCATCCGCATCGTCATCATCACTGATGACGTCATCAGTGATGATGCGGATGCCGGTGACGTCATCGGGGAGGTCACGGGACCTCGGGGGGGGGGGGGGGGGGGGGGGGGCGTGACCCTGGGGGGGGTCACGTGACCTCGGGGAAGTCACGTGACCTCGGGGGGTCACATGACCTTGGGATGACCTTGGGGGCCACGTGACCTTGGGATGACCTTGGTGACGCCGCTCAAGCCGGGAACGGGCCCCTAAGAGCTGCGCTCTAAAAAGAGGGGGGGGGGTATGCTTACGCACCGAGCTGCACTCTCGCAAAAAGCCGGCTTGTGTGCAGTAGTTTGGCCACCCGTGATCTTTGGCAATGTCCCGCCACTGTTGATGGACGCCTGAAGCGGAGAGGGCCAGTGATCATATTCCTTGCCGCTGCTCTGCGCCAGGGTGCAAGCACGGCTGTGTAACATATAAAGGCCGAAGGGGGGATAGTATTTTTTTGCTCTATCACAAAGGACAAAGATATCCTCGAACAACGATTTGAACAGCAGGTCATACTGTATAAGCATTTTAACAAAATTTTTATTTAGTGGGGGTATATACATGTTATTGGTGGAGCCACCATAAGGTTCCATGAGGGCGTCCTTTATTAAGAAGCGTGCCACCATGTCCCCATGTCCAACTGCTTAATTTGCATATTTATTCTATATGTGTTACGAGTCTCGTTAGGACCCAAGCAGCAATTGGGGCACGACATGCTTAAACGTCAGAATCCTTGCTTTAACATTTCAGCAGCGTGTCCTGCCCTTATTTTGTGGCAAATCAATTAATTTTTTTCATCTGACTGACAAGTAGTGAGGTTACCAATGAGAAAAAGCTTGACATAATTTAAAAAAAAAAAATGTGCTAGTTCCATGAGCCAGAAAATGCATGCCATGTTTATTAATATATGTTCATTGTGTCACCTTCACAGTGTATGAAGTTCAAAATCAAGGCAGCCTGAAGCCATGTAATAACCATGTCATTTGTATTTTGTGCAGTAGGTGAATGGTGTGTTGCCAATTCTCAACTGATCGATTTGTGTGACGAGGAACTTATTTCTCCAAGCTCTCTGCTTCACAGCGTGAGCTCAAAACTGACACATGTGAAATAAATCTTGTAGGACAGCTGTGAGTGCACAAAAGTACCTGCAGGCTCACAGAAGTTTAGTGCTGTGCTTTGGACATGCAGTCCACGAGAGAGAAATACAGATAACATTAGTAGTCATGAGAAAATGGCGGCCAACGAAGGCCACAGATGCGTGGAGATTAATGGAATCTGCCAGCAGGAAAGGACCCCCTTTTCCAGTGCTGAGTGCAAGTCGTCTGCCTCTTGCGCTGGAGTTACAGTGACGTCAGAACGATGCTGAGCTCTGATCGGCTTTGATTGAAAGTAGACCTCAATGCTAGATGCCTTGAGGTGTACCCACTATTTCTTTCAATCAGCCAATAGGAGCTCGGCGTTCAAAACCCCAAAGGCTAGCGCTACATTTTGTCAAAGTCGTAAACGTTCAATGAAGTAGAGTTTAATTTTACGGTCAGAAAAACTTTTGCCTTTTCTGAAACACCCGGTACTTTGTTCTGCTAGAGTTGGCCTTCACTGTGAGCTCTGGTCTGTGTCATAATGCTGCACTGCAAGCTTTCACTAGATTGTTTGCAGGAATCACCATTTTTGTTCATTCACTCTCTTCTAAACCTTGCAGGCCACATTCGGAGGGCAATGTCTCAGATGTGATTGACAACTCGTTACTGCTTTGGACAGGAGGTCACCCATCAGCCCAGTCAACTTTTGGCAGCTTGAGTGCTCTGCAGTGTCTCTGTCAACAGTGTGGTAGCAGCGGATCGGATTTGGCTTGGTCTGATTTCGCGCAATTTCTTGCAATCAAATATACCAGTTTGCCCATCCGTTCCGTTATATCTTGAGAGACTTCTCACCTCCAAAAGATAACCCACCCCTGTTTTTGCCATGATTCCTGTGTTTCGACAGATAATATTTTCATCCCAAATATTATTGACTGTATGTTAATTTGCTTGACTAGTGTGGTGTTGCGATTTCTCATTAGCAGGTAGTGACTGACCATTGTACTATCAATAGACACACATTACTGACCTGTAGAGAACCTCTCGACTGCTCTTTCTGTACTGGCTGATTGGTTGCATGTGGTGTACTGGTGTAAGCTGTTGTGGAGACACTAATTTACTTTCTTAATCTCATTTATGTGTTTTTATGTTTTGGAAGGGATATATGACGACACTAGCAGGTCCATATGTTGCGATGCCAGTTTTTGGAGAACTGCGTAGAGACTTAATCAATAGAGTACTCTTAAAGGGCCCCTGAAAAGAAAAAGAATTGTTTTTTTTTTAAAGTCTGGTTGGGACACGCATGCCAAAAGGATAACTTTACGCAAAAAAACTTATAGTGCAATATTGTTAGCACAAAATTTATTTTAAATTCCGCGACAAAGCTTATGACGTCACGGAATGGTCATGCACTCTCTCCACCTCTCCTCCACGCGCCCGAAATGCCTAGAGAAAAGTTGAAAGGAGGTGACTACCAACTAAATGGCATCTTGCGCCAACAAAAAATTTGCGCTAAAAATTTTTTTTTTCCATAAAATAATTTTTAACATGCATGTCTTACCCAGATTTAAAACAAACAAACATTTTTTTTCTTTTTAGGGGTCTTTTAATTTTTTTTTGGCCCTAATGCAATCTAGTCATGCAGATGCACGTGTGACAATTTACCAAAAATATTGAGAGAAGACTGTGGGCCTCTGCACGGGTCATTGGCCCTCTTGCTGCCCCAATACCTAGTGGTACCTTAGGCATTAGGCTTCTTATGCCGAGAGGTTTTACTGACGGCCTAATTGCTCTTTATATTTGTTATTTTCACTTCGCTTCGCAACAAAATGCTCTGTAGGTTCTGTTCTGTTTTCAACGTTCTGCAAGGTGCGAGTCCATGCAATAGACCAGGAGTGGCCAGGCTGACCCGGCAATCTATCTTGAGTCAAAAGCAGTCTAACTGTACGTAAGGTAGCACTAGCAGAAGACTACCAAACCACAACCTGTCTTTGATTTAAAACGCGTTGCATGTTTCTTTTTGGGGAAGTGCTCGTGTGACCGTGAGTGAGGTGGGGGAGTGGAGTGGGGGGGTTAGGGGAGTGTGCCGCGAGCCGCACTTTAACACGCAAAGAGCCGCAGCTTGGCCTCCCCTGCAATAGACCTTTGTTCAAGCCTGCCCGGCGCCCAAAAAACTTTCCGTACAGACCCGGCCCCTAAACTTCCCCACAAAATTGTGTGCTACTGAGCAGACGTAACTAAACCTGAGACCGGCAGAAGAAAAAGGAGAACACGAAAGAGAGGACGACACTCATGACGTCTCGAACACAGCTGAAGGTTTATTCTAAAACCGCACCCTTTTATAGGGGTACGCCCGCAGTCACCGCCAAGAACGTTAACACCAAGTCACTCGGCAAAGGCAATCAAAAAAACTGCCCTTGACACTTCCACGCTTGCCAAGCTGTGGAAGTGTAAAAGTATTACCAACAAGTAATAAAAAAAATAATTGCAAAAGGTTTGTCTATTATTATCGACGGGACACTTACTGTAAAATACTGGGCAAGCGCCCACTCAATCTTTGGAGAAAAAATGGGGGATGGGCGCTTGTCCGGTCATCAATTTTACCTATAAATGTACTGTGGCGTATTTTCTCATATCTTACAAATTTGGTAACGGGCGCTTAATGTGAAATGGGCGGGTGTGCGGTATTCTACGGTACACATTTCCAGTAGTACCACACTTGCCAAGGTCAACCAACTGGCTAACACACAAAAAATGAAAAAGATTACATTTGTAAAAAAGTTTGTGTCCGCTTGTCAATCACCACCGACGAAACACGGGACACTACTGAGCCCAGGCTTTTGGGTATAAGCCCGAGACTGTAGTACTGTACAAGCCTCAAAAATATCCTTAGTCACGCAAAGCAGCAGTATAGGCTGTGTGTGACCAGTTTGTTGCAGGTCAACTGGGGTACCATTGATGTGTGGGCAGTTACACTGCCCATACATTAATGGTGCACATTGTGCTTTAGTGGTTGGTGTTCCTGTCTTGAGCTTTGTTTTTACATGTTTTCCTGGCAGGACTGACGACTGCTTCCAATGATAGAGGGGGCGGCGCTGGCCACGAAGACAGCCAGAACTGGTTCTCTTCCTCAGGGATGCAGCCTGGCTGGGATGCACACCAGTGCCGCTTTTGCCCCTACTCCTCTTACAACAAGGGTGACATCGCCCATCACGAGAAGACTCACACAAAGGATCAACCCTTCAGCTGCTCACTCTGCCCAAAAGCGTTCACGCAGAAGAAAAATCTGCAGCGTCACGAAAGAGCTCACACCGGCGAAAAGCCGTTTCAGTGCCGGATTTGCAAGAGGGTGTTTGCACGGATGGCTCACTTGTCGGGTCACCTGAAGGTCCACCTGAAGGTCCACACGGGAGAAGGGGTGTTCAGCTGCGGCGTCTGTGGGATGACGTTTAAGTACCGTTGCAACCTGTTGTGCCACGAAAGAACCCACGCGGAAGAACGGCCTTTCAAGTGAGACGTCTGCGGGATGGCGTTTGTTCGTGTAAGCTCCTTAGCATTGGATCAGCCACTCACGGGAGAATACCGAAATCCTGTAAGCGACCGCTTCAAAAAAAGAATTGTTCAGTTTTGGGCAAGTTACTCGCAGTAAGTAAGTTGGTACAGTTACTTTCAGAGCTGGGGAGATTGGTGGCCAAGTGGGCTAGTGCACACCAGCTCGGAGCATGTGGAGTGAAAGCTCGCGCTGCAGAACCCAGGGATCCTGGGTTCAATCCCCACCCCTGCCCGTTTCGATCTGGATGAGCATCGTACCGGCGTGCGGTCGTGTATCGCTACTGCGTGGTGCACGTTAAAGGCCCCAGGCTAGCGGTTGTACTGCACTGGCAAAATTGCTCATCTACAGCAGGTGACTCGTCGAAACTTTAAAATGGCTGACCAACGACTCCCTGTATAAATATCCATACTACCCCAATTATTATTTCTTCTTAAAAGTAGTGACGTTAGTTACCACAACAAAAAAGTTAATACAGTTACAGTTCCTTTTAAAGAATAACATTACTTTTAAGTTACTTTTCCACAAAACTACAAAATAAAATAAAAAAAATGTAGAAAATGCCTCCCCACCTTCCAATGTTTAATAGAGGAAGTGCAAGTTGGTGCAGGGCAAACATGACACTCAAAATGTCAGGAAACATCTGAAAATTGTGCAAAGAATGACTAGATCGTGCTCAGTGAAAAGTAATGTCCAAAGTAATGTTATTACTTCAAGAAACATAATAGAACTAAAGTTACTTTTTATCAAAAAAGAAACTAAGGAGATGTGCGTTACTACCCAAGACTGGTCATTAAGAACTTTGTCATGGGTTCCACGCCAAGAGCCTACAGATTGTCCCTCCCCCTCCCCCCCCCCCTTTTTTTTTTATAATTGCAACGCTCAGTCTTTGCCAAATATAGTGCTAGCCAAAGGCGCTAGCGGTCGAAACAAGATGCCGAAGTCTTGGCACATACCGTTAACTGATTAAAAAGTTGGGAGCGATTTTCGGAAATTTTCAGTGGGAAAATGGTGGCCGACAAAGTCCACAAATCCATGGGGCTGAATGGTGCAAACCACTGGGTATGGGCCCCATTTTCCCATTGAAAGATTCCGAAATTTTTTTTCCCAACTTTTTAGGATAACGGTTAACTCCGAAACTTTGACATCTGGTCCGGGCTGCTGGCGGTGAAAGACAAAGATGCCATAAACTTCCTTCAGGGGTGCCATACATTTGTTGGCACTGCTTGGGAATAAGGATTAGGCGAATCTTGTTATTAGGCACCAAATTTTCAATTCAGCATAACTGTTCATTGCAGTGATTTTTGGGTACAAATCTTGCCCAGAATATGAAAAGGTGTATAGATGAATAAAACCTGGTTTTTGTTCAAACCTGCTTGGAGGTTTGTCTTGTCTAAAACTCGTTTGTAGATGCTTGTAACCGGTGAAAAAAAAGCTAGTCCGATATCTGTTCGCAGGAAAAATACAGCACTAATATTTTAGAGATGCATCCAGTTCCACTCAGATATATAACTTCTGTATGAATAAATCGAGCGAAATTGGTTTCTCTGGAGAAAACCGTGTAAAAATCTATTGCTTCATGTCATTTATTTGGCAGGAAATGCTAGATCAATGTGTAGGCCAATTAACTGTCGTAGTGCACTATCAAACAAAAAAAAAATTAATGAAGATTATTGCACCTTGAGTCACGGTATATTGTCTAAACAAGCCAAAAAATTGTGCATGTCAACACAGATTAGCGGCGATATACACAACCGGAGAAGGAGCGTCTCTCACTCCATCACAGCCACCAGCAGAAGTAATGACATACTTTCATACAAGTTGCAACGTCGTAAACTTGTTAGGTATAAAATTGTTCTATTTTAAATGAATCCTCTCAAAATGGCCTAAAAAAGAGACGTTGACTTTGTGGTGCGGTGGGTGATGAAATTTGTCATCGCACAAGAGCAGACATCAATGTCGAGACACGCTACACTTCAACGCTAATAGCTTTGGCCTCAAGTGTGAGCAAATCATTGCTGTAAGCACGAACATGTTGCCCAAAATCCTTTCACTGCACGAGTGCATGCTCCAAGCATGGCCCTAGCTCTTGTAGCTTTGCTTGGCTGGCACCCAACATAAAAAGGGCGTAAGGATAACTAGTGCTTGTAGCAAGCTGGGCTAGTCAAATTTTAGGGAGCAGGAGGAAGTCTCGCAGCACACCTAATCGTCGGGGAAGCAGGGGTCTTGTTCGGGTTCCTTCCTCTTCAAGCAAAAGAGAAGTCGACTGGAGAATTCAGAGGGGACAGTGTTTACAAAGCCTAGTGTGTGAAGCGCAATACGAGGTAACGGGGGTCGATGTAAAAGTCAAACTGGTAGCTGAACCACTCTCAAGTACAGGGTGCAAGATAGACAGGTGGGGAAACGAGAGCCAAATGAGCGACCGAATTGTGTCCCCCTCGGGTTTCTCTTTTTCTGTGGCGCCAACTATGTGGAGCACCGCGAACTCTCCCTCCGGTTGGGCGACCGGTGGCGACCGGCTAAACAGACGGAGATTGTTTCTCGTGGATTTTTTAATGGAGGACTGTCGTGCTCTCGGTTTATTTTGCGCACTCTCCCATAAAGTTCCATACAAATCCGATTCAGACTTTTTTTCCTCTCGCCGCAGCGCCATCTATCGCAAATTGGGGGTACCCGCAAGCAGACGAGTACACAATCCGGTCACGGCGCTGCAGTAGGCTTCTATGGGCCGTTTCCCCACCTGCCTATCTTACACCCTGCTCAAGTAGCAGCTGGACATACTGCAGAGTACCAAAACTCCCTACTACTTCCACTTGGTGGCACCAGATAGTGGCACCACTGTGCTGAATGCCATCAAGATGGCATCCATTCATACTTAACTGCCGTCAGTGGATCAGCCGAACTTGAGGGAAAGTGAACCGATGAGAAGTAAAATAATACGCCAGACGCACGAGACTGCAAGATGCAGCACATTCCTACAAGCAGTGCACCAGTCTTCTTTTTGCACATGGCGCTCTGGCAGTAACATCACGCTCGCCTACTGTGCAGGCACAGCGCACCCACCGCCCTCACGGCTTCCGTGACGAAGCATTTGCGTTGTTGTGCTTTTCTTTACGCTTTATTTCTGAGGCGCGCCCGCTTTGACCTTGAGCGGCGCATGCTTGACGACATATTGTTGCAACCATCTTTCGGGCACAACGCCGACGTCTTTTCTTGTAATGGGACATATCTTAATAAGTGGGCATTACCTTGCACCTGCAGTCACCTCGATTTCTCTGGTTCTAGTGTGGCTGACCTGCATGAAAACTTTAAGCAGCAGACGCCATGAAATGCAGTGTTGGACAAATGATTGTTGGTCCTAGTAATGCAACTCAAAGTCTCCAAACTTGTGATCAGTTGGCAAGCTAAACAGCGTCATGCTCTGGCAAGTGCCACGCCATCCAAGCGGCATGAACGACCTACGCATGTCCACGAGACATCCCAAGAGGACGTTCTCAGAACCATGTGTGGCACCACCTGTGGGGGGGAGAACCGCAAAACGGAGAGCGTAGCGAAGCCGTTGTGGCACCCGGAGGAGTTTTTATTGTGGCGGCCGGGCGCGTGGGTACACACGACGGTTGCACGAGATTCACATGCGCGCTAGGTACAGCATATTTATAACATGGATACAAAAAGGGGAGTTATCTCCCCGAGGTGGGGGGGCCACGGCTCCTACTGTTCGGGCCAGAAAAAGCGCACTGCATAGAAGCCACACTCCCCGCCGTCGTGCTTCGCACGGAGTCCCGCGCACGGCACCACATTCGTGGAGGCACCGGCCGTGGTGGCACCGGCTGTACTGGCAGGAGCCGAAGTTGCACCAGCCGTACTGGCATCGGCCGAATTGGCACACCGGCCGTACTGCCGTCGGCGCGACGTCGACTGTGGCGGTGTCGACCACGGTGGCACCGGTCGTGCAGGCAGCGTTTGCGGTGGTGCCACATCTCGCGACAATCATTCGTGGTGGCAGCGTCCGATTTCACTTCACGGCGACACCGTCCGGTGGCACCGTCCGTAGCTGCACAGTCCATTGTCCGTGGCGGCACCGTCTGCGACGGCACAGCCGCACCACCCGTGGCACCGTCCGCGGCGGTGGTGTCCGGCAGAGCCAGCTGCCGGGTGGCCGAATAAATAGGGGGCGGGCCGCCACCGGCAGACTAGGGGGGTGCCGGGTGGGGGGAAGGGGTGGGCTCCACCGGGGGGAGGGGAAGGGGGAGCGTCTTTTTGGCACTTGGTCCCCGCTGTGGGGGCGTCTGAGCAAGGGGTCCCTCCTAGTTGACCAGCAGGGTGTGCGATTCCATGGGTGCCGCCGAGTCGTACAGGGTGTCCGTGTCCTGGGTGGGCTCCCCCTGCAGCTGGCACTGGTTGCTCAGGGTGCCCGCACCACAGTCGCAGAAGAACCTTGGGGGACGGCAGAAGCGGCACGCCGTCAGGACTCAGCATCTCCATTAACTCTACTAAGCAGTTCTCTGGCTTTGATGAAACAAAATGCTTATAAGCTCCGTTTCATGTAAGGCCTCTTCACACATGTAGCACGGCGCTACCTCGGTGTTGACTGCGACATATCAGTCGTACAGTGCCGATACAGTGCTAAGCTGGGTTCAAGTCTGAATCGGCACTGTTCTTAGTGTCGACTTGGTGCCGCACTGCGTGTGTGAACCCGTCTTGTATAGTAGAATCTCAATGATATGAATCTCTCGAAGTCGCGGAAAACGTTTGTATCATCCAAAAATCATGCAATCCAAAACGGGCTCCAAAAAGTTCAGAAATATGCAATGGCTCTGGATGAGAAACTTGCTTTAATCGCTGGGGCAGTGCAATACCACCGGTGTTGCACAAATTCCAAGATTGGACCACTTTAAAAAAACTTAGTTTTTTTTTTTTACTTTCGTTATGGACGTGGCTAAAAAGCCTCAGCTAGGGCTAGCATGGAAGCATTAGCTCTCTCTCTAACCATGGCAACTGTGGCCCCACGGCAGTTGCAATTTCTCACGTCGCAGCGGGTGGCAGTGACGACCGCAGCAGCGCAGAAGGGGTCGTTCGTGGCTTAATAGAATGTGATCCGACATAGCAGAACGAAACATCAAGGTGTCGTTTCTTGAAATACCTTTACAACCGCCCGATTGGCGGGATGTGCCACAATGTTGCTTACCTCAACACCCCTCTATATTTTTAAAATCGAGGCACTTCACATCCTCAAGGTAGGCACTTCTGTTCGTATCATCCGCCGTGGCCAGAGACAGTATTCGCACTATCCTCAAATATGTAACGCATTATAGTGAAACCCGTTTAGAACAAACCCACATAAAGCAGATTATCGTCGATATTGAACTCACAGAAAATTGAAGCAAAAATGCATGTAAAAAGTACTTTTTATAATGAACAACATATTGGCATATCGAACTTTTCCCCTCGAAAAGGCTTCCAAAAAAGCGCAGTCATCTTCAAGCCTGTCCCTTTCCCCAAAAAAAGTGGGAAAGAAAGAAAATTTCAAGAGCTCAAGTTGTGAACAAAATTGAGCGAAGAGAAGTGATTCAAAAGGGGAGAAAACTAAGAAATACCCTCTGCCCGCACGCACAGGAAAAAAAAAAAAACTATTCATCCTAAAACGACTGCCTACGAAAACAAGCGATTCAAAGGGCAGATAAGCTAAACAAAAAAAAAACCTGTGCAAGCGTAAAAAAGAAAAAAGAAAATCCTTCTAGCGCACTGTTACAAGGCGGAAGCGAATAGATGAGAAAGACACTCTCGCCTTACAACGATTGCATCGTGCAAGTTTGTTGTAACTGGTTTCTGTTATATCGAATTACTTGCTGTATCGAACTGATCGTAGCGTTTCCTGCTCTTTGTTATAAAAGGGTTTGACTGTAAATAAAACTTTTGGGCTGGGTTTTTTTTTTTTTATAAAAAAATGTTTGTATCGTTCTGTATTTGGACTAACAGTGACTGCACCGTCGAGATTGTACCGTAGTGTACACCTCTGTCAAAGCTACAGGCACGAGTGTGTAACTTGATTTTGCAGTTCATTTGCCTGCGTCCTCACTCGCGCATGTAGTCGTGCGTTCGCACCCTCAACTTTAACAGCCATGTAAACCAAGTGTGAAATGGAGCCCAGTAGAACGCTTGGCCGACATTACATGCGCAAATGCAGTGCACACACCTGCCGACTTGTTTGCAAATGGGGTACTGGTTTATAACGTCAAAAGCTGTACATCTATGCGTCTAATTTTAAAGCCTGGCAAGCAGCCAGAGAGGAGGAAACCACTTGTCGATTCCTCCTTTCCACGCAAGAACGTCCGACAAGGTTTGAAAAAGACAAAAAATGGAGTAGGAAATTTCAGGAAAAACCGGAGGTCGTTGGGAAAGATAAAATATAGACCAAAACTATCGCTTGCAACACCTTTGATATAAAGGCGACGCTCGGGTAATTAACACCGAAGTCACGCGGGACCGACGGTCTGCTCTCGTTGTAATCGCCCAGTCTTGTAGACCAACGCAATGCATACCTGTCGTGCCGGATGAACTCTACGTCGTGGCCCGAGTGGCAAGTTTTGATGCAGTTGACGCAGATGGCGTTCCGATCCGTCGTGTTGCATGTCTTGCACCTGCGCGAGAATGGCACCATTGTCGGGCACGATTCGCTTTCCCTCGTCGCTTCCGAGACTCACCTGTAGAAGTCGTGCATGGGAAAGCTGGTGTAGCTCGAGATCTTGTACAGGCACTGTCCGCTGTTCACCGCCTTCTCTACCGCATTGTGGTTGTCAAAGATGCGATTCCCTGCGCCCCCACAAAAAGAAATGAGTGACTCGCTCGCACGCAATGGTCCATTCTGAGTGCATGATTTGGGGTCATCTCAACAGCACTAAAGTTTTTCAGCAACAAGTCTATCACAACCCTCACCAAGTGCACAGCTCAAAGTACCTTGGAAAAAGTTATAGTAATTTTTTATGTATGCCACACATAAACCAAATTTGTTGTTGAAGCTCTTGGGAGATGGCAAACCTCGTGGTTGTCGTGGGAAAGAGGAACGGGAGTTTGTAATATCGAAGGGGCCTATATTAATGGCTCAATTCGTCGCACACTCTCTCTTTGCCCTGGTCAACCACTCGAGTGAACAAACTGTTTTACAGGTCTATTGCATAATACATACACTGATAGTAGTACAAACAGATCATTACATATCCCGTCCTATTGTGGCCCGACTCGTTCGGTCCATGGGTCGAAATAGAGCCCCCCTAATGCTCCCACGGAAGCAGAGTAGTTAGTCACTAGCAGCCATCAGTCAACAGGCCCCCTGCCACGGTTGCCAGACCGTCCGCATCTTTAAAATACCACCGCATTCCCCCAGTACAAACTTACCCCATTTAGGCCACCTCCCGTGCCGCACCCCTCTAAACGAATTGCCGTCTGCGGGACACAAAGGGAGTTCGGCGAGCTCACCCTTGAGGATGGGTTGCACCCCGCTGGCCAGGCAGAGGCCCCCAAAGCGGTTGTTGAAGATCTGGTTGAACTCGAGGGTGGCCGTGGCGTTGTTGGTGATCTCCACGCCGGCGGCCAGCCCGTCAAAGATCCGGTTGCGCCGCAGCACGGGGTGGCTCTGCGTCGAGATGAGCACCCCGGCCTGGGCGTTGCGGAAGATGTCGTTCTCCTCCAGCACCCCCTTGCCGCCGTTGAAGATGCAGACGCCCCCGTCCCGGCCGTCGTAGATCTTGTTCCGCCGCAGCGTCGGGTTGCTGTCCGTCTTGATCCAGACGCCCGCCATGGCGTTGTCGAAGATCTCATTCTGCTCGAGCACCCCGAGGCCCCCGTTGTACACCAGGACGCCCCCGTTCTGGCCTCCCCAGATCTTGTTGCGCCGGATGATGGGGTTGCTGCCAGTCCTGGAGACACCGGAGAGAGCCGGTTCAATGTGCGGGGCAGCCCGCTTCGACGGGATCAAAAGTAAACGCTAACCAGATGGCCAATACGTGAACCAATTAACCGGAAAATGACGCTCGGTAACGCTCCGACAGTTGTCAGGAACTGCCCGGGCTGCGATGCGCCGGACGGCCCATTTCGGCCGGGTTGTGATTAGGAATTCTCTGAACTTTGGACTGCGGAGTGCCAATGTTCCAGATTGCATTACATTTAAACGGACTATCTGTGGTGGCACCAAAAGCGTAAGTGTCGGTTCGTTTTTATGTTTGGGTCCTTACGTAAACACCGCGCACAAATATATTGGCCGGTAAAGAAAACTTGGAGACGTCCCCAAATGTTGCCAGGAACACCAAGACTGCCTTTCTTCCCTCTCACAACAAAATATGTTTAGCTTGAACAGAACCAAAAGTACCCCATAAAACAAAAATTAAAAAAGAAAGCAGCGATGACAATTTTTTCTTTCTAAACCCCAAGCAAATGGTAGTCTCAAACCACCAACCGTAAAATGGAAAAAAAAAAAAAAAGTCTTAGTGAACTAAAAAACAAGCCTTCTACCTCAGTGGAGGATGTACGACCCTAATCCATTCTGGTCTGCCTAGTCAAATGCTCTGCTAATTGGTGGATACCATTCATCCTAGTCTGCACAGACTGCCAAATTTGATCCATAACAATACTTAAAAACAAAGCCAGATGTTGACCTTTTACACCCTGGAACTGAGGAACACATACCTTAAAGGGGCCCTGCAATCATATTTAAACGTCTACCTTTTATGCGGTTTCCACGTCTCTTGGGGTTCGGGCAAGCCAGCGGGCACGGAAAGAGTAGCTAAATATCAGTGCGCCATATTTTAAAAGGACGACACGGAAACCTCCTCCACCGACGAGGGCGACCCACAGTACCGAAAGCGCGCAAAATGTGACGTCTTTGGTCCTGGGCTTACTACTGGTCAGAGCCACTAAAAACTTCTTTTTGGTCGAAATACAAAATATAAGTGGTGCGAACCGTTTCAATTATGTATAAAAGTAGTTTTCGTTCACTATTATAGATGAAAAAAAGAAAGAAATGCAGTTTATAGAGTACGGAAACAAGAAATGACCCGTCAACATACCCGCCGCCAAGCGGTGGAAAAGGCGGCGCATAATAGAAAAGAGTAGTGGGATAAGGTGCCGACACGAAAAAATCCCGGATGTACGCGGTAGTGCTGCAGTTGTATGGACAGGAGGATCCGACCGGCTCTGAGCGTTTCAAAGGTCTTCTGCGAGAGGCTTTGTCTTGGGGTTTGGCCGTTTCGCGGTATGGAAGCGCGAAGTGGGCTCCCATTCTGAACTGATTGTTACCCCGTGTTTGCTGTAGTTTGTGGCCAATGAAGTGTCATGCCGAATTAGTGTTTAATCGCGCAGCAAACGCAATGAAAGCCGCTTTGGCTGCCCGCTGCATACAGCCTATCCAGAACATGCTTTAGTGGCGCCCTCTGGCGCCGTCGACACGGAGTGCGGCGGCCGTGAGTGCTTGATGAGCCCACTATTCCTCCTCTAGTTCACGGCCACTCAAGCCAGGACCTACGACGTCATGAAGGAGGTTATTTTTTGCTAGTTTTTGTAATTCTAAATTGCCTATAACTGTCAAAATAAAGCGAATTTCGCGAAAAGAAAAGTTTCACTAAGTTACTACGTTCAGTGCGCTCAGGTTCGTTGCAAATTAAAAAACAGTAAAAAGTCCTTGCAGGGCCCCTTTAATATCCCAATAGATGCACCACCCTTGAATGATAACCCACCCCTGTATTCAGCTTGATTTGCAATTTTCTTTTAAACACAGAAAGACAGCCCACTCCTAGTAATCATACTGCTCGGATCAAGGATGACCTCAGTGTAAATGAGGCTAGGTAACCATGGCAAGATATAAGCAAACAATGCTGACTGGCAAGTACAGTCACATTTGCTTCATTGTCCCTTGCCATGAAAACAAGATTGCAGACAAACATGATCTAAAAATGAAATTTGTTTTTCACCTTTTCTCGGCTATGCACCTAAAGTTAGCCCACTCCTAATTTTCAACAGATTTTCTCTCGATTTTAGGTTGCCTGTCTTTCGGGATATTAAGGTAGAAAAGGGGACAAACACAAACGCCGGGTGTTGGTTATCTGATCCATCGCGAAACAATACTGTACAACCTCGAAACAATACTGTACAGCAATCTGCTGGCAATACTATTACAGAAGGTACTTACAGTGCAAAAATGGCAATACAAAAAAAAGAAAGAGAGAAACACGTTCACAAATCTCTGTAATGCGAAATTAAAGTGCAGGTCTTGAGGCATTTTGATTTTGTGATATACCGTGCTAAACAATTTTTGAGAAACACACACACACATATATATATATATATACATACATACAAATGTAGACCTAATACTCCTACATACATAATATAAATTATATATATATATATATATATATACTGTAAACTACTTATTTTTTGCAGGCTCAATATTTTGCAATTTAGGTGAAAGCTGAAGTTTTGGAATAATTCGCAGGTTCTAATTTTCGCGGCAGAGTGGGAATCTCGATATAGATTCCGATGCGTTTACATTTTACCAAAACTGTTTGTGGGACCAAATTTTCGCAAATTGTAGGCGATTCGCCAAGTTTGCCAAAAATTAGTTTCGCGAATCGCCTACAACTCGCGAAAAATACGTCCCGCAAACAATTCGGGCAATATGTGAACGCTACGGAAGCTACATTCGATTCGCGAAAATTTGAGCCTGCGAAAATGTAGTCGTTTACAGTATATTATATTCATATATGCATAAATTAATTATTTATTATAATATCATTTACATGATGAGGAGGAGGGGAGGGTACAGAGGACCTCCCTCCTCCAGAGTACCCTCCCTTCCTCCTCCGGTTACGCCGATGCCGCAAAACACGGAAACCAGCGCCTAAGAGCTGCGCTCAAAAACCTAATTTATCATGCAGACATTTTACGGATGCCCGAGCGCATCTGTGATTGCATCTAAGGTGGACTCGGAAGTGGCAACTAATTATTTGTCACAGGAACTGGAGCCTCATGCCGTCTGGTGCCACAATCCCGGCAGTTGGTCACAGAAGCTCGCAAGGAGGCTGCGGCCTGGCGTCAAATACAGACAAATGCATACACACACTTAGCTAACCTACAAAAATTCTATCCAGCTAGATACTCTGATAAGTGCTCGCACCGTGGAGAGTATCCGACACTTTACCCTGTAACGTGGGCGTGCCTATCTAATCCCTCTCTCCCCTCCAAAACCCAACCTGGGAAGCTGTGCTGCTGCTCAGCTCATCCGTTCAAAGCCAGCGAGAGCCAATTGAGCGAGCGAAACTGGCAGCGAAAAACACTGCAGCCCTAGACTAGGGGCCCCACCTAGAACAAGTCTCTTTTCTCTCAAAAAAAGTTATTTCACTCCTCCTACCCGTAAAAAGCGAGAGAACCAAGAGTTAACGTCATTGCAGCGTCCCAACTCGTGGCTGTCAAACCTTCCGTGGACTTTCGAGCTGGAAAGCGACCCGTTTCTAGGCTGGGTGGCGCAAGCTACTGCCCCTTATAAAGGCCACAGTGGTAAGCTTCTATTTATCCATCTATCCGTCCGTGGCAGAAAGGGCATCTGGCGAGCAACGGCGATGCACTTCTGCCTCTAGGACGGGCTGAAACCGCGGGACTGCAAACAAGGTGCAACGAAGGCAAACGCACCGCTCGGAGACGCACTCCGCACCGCTCCAACACCCACCTGATCTGGACGCCCGAGTAGAGGTGGTTGAAGATGTCGTTCTCCTCGAGGCGCCCGTGTCCGTTGTCGTAGAAGTACACCCCGACCTGCTTGCCGCTGTGGATGCGGTTCCGCCGCAGCACCGGCGTGCTCCCCGTGGTGATCCACACCCCGGCCAGGGTGTTGGCGTACACCTCGTTCTCCTCGATCAACCCCTGGCCCTTCTCGTGCACGTAGATCCCGCCGTGCTGGCCGTGGTGGATCTTGTTGTAGCGCACGATCGGGTCGCTGTTGGTGCGGATCTGGATGCCCGCCAGGGCGTTGCCGTGGATGTTGTTGTGCTCGATGAGGCCGCGCCCCTCGCCGAAGATGTACACCCCGCCCTGGTGGCCGTTGTAGATGTCGTTGCGCCGAATCGTCGGGTTCGAGTGGGAGGTGATCCAGACGCCGGCAAAGTTGTTCGAGTGGATCTTGTTCTCGATGAACTGGCCCCGGCCGTTCTCGTGGACGTAGATGCCCCCCGTCTGGCCGTGGTGGATCTCACAGCGGACCACGGTGGGGTTGGCGCCAGCCTTCACCTCGAAGCCCGCGATGCGGTTGTTGTGGATGTCGTTGGCCTCGAAGTAGCCCAGGCCGTTGTCGAAGGTGAAGACGCCCACGTCGCGGCCGTGGTGGATGTGGTTGCGGCGCATGATCGGGTTTGCGTGGTTCTTCACCCACACCCCGGCCAGGGCGTTGCGGCTGATCTCATTCTCCTCGTAGATGCCCTGCGAATGAATTAAAACATTTTTTTAATCTCTGATTGTACCACGTAACCGCTGCACCGCATTCTGCCCTCGTTTAATCTTGGAAAAGAAAAGAGCTCTGAACTGATTTTAGAAAAATGAAACTGAGATCTTCGATACGCTCCTTTATGTGAAACTGCACTGTTATGCCCAACCCAAAAGTTAATTTTTTATTTTGTCTTTACACACATGTACACTGAAGCCATTTATGCAGAGCCATATATTGGGAAAGCATGGCCAGTGAGTGTGGCGACAAAGGCCTTGGAGACGTGAAAAGTGAAGGAAAGGGAGGAGAGCGCTGAAGGAGCGAGAGAGCAAGAAGGGAGCAAAGAGGAGACGACCACCATTTTGATGGAATGCGCCGTCGGTACAGAGCACTGCTGGCGCTATGCGTCGTCTGCTACAGGCTTATCTCTTTTTCGCCCAAATAAAAGCTTGCGTTCAAACGTGGAGAAACTTAATTCGTTAGCTTTGTAAGCCACCGAGGAATAACGCTTTATCATTTTCTTGCCAGAGCCCACCAAATAAAAGGAAAGAACCGAAATTCGGATGTCAATCCCACACATTCCATCGGGTGCATGAATGAAAACGGCGGCCCTCCTCGCTCGACCAAGATCAGCCGGGAGTTCTCGCGCATGCGCACACGCCTCTTGCCCCGTGTCGTGGGCTGATTTGCCTACTCGGGAGGGGGGTGTTATTGCAGATAGATCATAGACTGGCCCAACTCTCCCCATATACGGCTCTGCTCTTATGCAGTGGTATCCTAAGACAACTTTGAAACACAAATAAATGAATAGTGGTTGTATAATGCGTAACGATTCTCGAGAAAAAATAGAAGTGACAAGATTTGAACATGAAAAGAAACGGGAAAGTAGATTGGTTTAACATTCTCTAGATCAATTCTTATGAAACTAACAGGCGAGTTCACCTCACACAAAAACAATGTGTGTGCACGTAGGCACCACATGCTGTCGCTCGATGGGCAAGGAAAGAGAATTCTTAAGGTAGGGCAGACAAGGCTATGTGAAAAGAGGCCCTTGAGGAAGGGCAAGGAACAATGGTGCCCAAGACAAAAAGGAATGGAGCAAAAGATCTATGTTTAGGTGCAGTTTACGTCCGTCATGTTTTGTTCTGCATCCCAGCAAGCTGTTCTATTGAAACACAACGCACACTTTTCCTGGAGAAGCTTAAAGACCGTGAGCTCACCCAAAACATTTTTTTTAAATACCTAGATAAAACAGGCAGGTTCCAAAATAAACTTGTATTACAAAATAAAAAGTGACACAGCTTATTTTAATTATTTTGAACCAAGCTTCTATTTCGGGGTTAAACTTTTCCAGGCAGAGGTGTGCTGTAGAACCGCTCCTTACTCAAAAAGAATCTCAATACATAATAATTGCTCTATTTTTATTGCATCTTTTTTTCTTCGAGGGAACGCTTATTTGCTACCCTAAGTGTCCTACTGAAGTGCGTAAAAAGAAAACAGTTTCTTGGGGAGTTTAGCGTCCCTTAGAGGTTACGTCAAATTCTCCGCATCATCTCACAGTGGCTGCATCGAGACGCCCTCGCCAGGCCGTACCTGCGCATAGTCCGTGATGTACAGGCCCACGTTCTCGCAGTCGGAGATGTCGCAGCTGCGCAGGCAGGGCTCGGCCCCTGCCCCCGAGACGCAGACTGCGGCCCCGACCACGGAGGTGCTCCGGATGATGCAGTGGTCCACCGTCGGGGAGCAGTTCTCGTTGATCTCCAGGCAGTAGTGCTTGTGGTGGGGCACCGACGACGTGATGTCCGGCGTGAACTGCAGAGGTCACCGCGACGAGGGTGAAAACGGGAGTGCACTCGCAACGTCCTTGTACGGAATAAACCCTCGTAATAAAAGAGCTGCTCTCGTGTGAAACATTCTTGCATAAAGCGCTCGTGTGAAGCACACACTTTTGTGCGAAACTAACACCCTTGCGTAATATAAACACTCTCGAGCAATACACATTCTTATCCAAAGCAGTCAGAAAGCAAAGATTATCCTTTGGGTGGCAAAAGCAGTCGTGCAACTGGTTTGGTGCTCCATGAGATTATTTGTTCGAAGATTAGATCTCAACCTTAAACTAAAACTACAATCCCCCAGAGATAAAGATAGATAAACAAGCATATCCCAGAACTGCAGAGATAAACCAAACTCCTAAGTGTTTCAACAGCGACTATGAAACATATTCGGCTGCTCGGCTGTAGTTCCTACTCTCCTCAAACGAGAAATGCTGTAGGAACAGGAGAGCGAGCGTAAGCGGAGGTTCAAATACAATCACACCGTCCTAACTTCGGCTTTCACGACAGCATGTCGTGGCCTTCGCTCACAGAAGAAACGCCACACCATCAAAATCTATTTATGAATTTCGACTAGGGAGCCTCAAGGTTATTTTGTTAAGGGGGGAAACAAAAAAATGACAAAAAAATCACATTTTTGAAATTATGTTTTTTAATATCTACATGTATTTTCACATCTTTTCTCAAACTATTATCGCAAAATACGCCCTATTTATTTTGGGGTATTGATTTGAAGTATCTGAACGGAGATGCTTCCTCCGAAAAAAAGCAAAAAAAGGAGAAGGTACAATTTGACCGCCGGTAGCTCAAGAACAACGTGATAGAAAGGGGGCATCTTGGTCTCATTTGAAAGCTCTGCTCCCGCTCTTTCTTCTCCCGCCATTCACGATGCTAGACGGCGATTGGCCACCGAGAATGAAGCACAAATAAAAAACTAAATCTTGCCACACGGTTGGCTGTTTCGGATCACGTGTGCAAATGGCGCTTTCTCATTGGCCGTTAGGGTTACGCAGCGTCTGCTCGTTGTTTCCGATCCGCCATCTTGTTTGACTCTCGTGCGCGTCTCTAACCATGCCGATCACAACAACTCCACGAAAAAAGTTTCACACGGCCCACAAGTTCGGAAAAAAACGAAAAAAGGGCCCGAGGAAGCTAATCCACAGCGCAGTTCAACTTCCCGCGAGCCTGAACGTCTACCGACGAGGTGCGGGAGCCCAAACACGAAGATGTCGCATCGACGGCGCCGTCGATATCCGTGACTTCAAGCGAGCGAGTGCGGCTCGACACAGTGATGCTCAGCGCTTCCAAGATCGACGAGAAAAAAAAAAAAAAAAAAAAACGAGGAAAAACTTAAAGAACTTTTGTCGACGTCCACTACGATGTGGAAAGCTGCCCTGATGGCCGGCGTCTCGGGCGCCGATCAAGAAGCTCCCGGGAGTACAGAGAGTTTCATCGTCGTAAGCCTCGACGTCGTGAACTCGCTTCTTCAACTCGCGAAGTGTAAAGCTTGTTGTGGCGATGTTGAACTCATAAAATGCGATCGCGAGTATGAACTTGCAGAAAAACTCAAGCTATGCTGCACGATCTGCGGGGATGTCGCATCCGAGTGGAGTTCGCCGCGGGTAGCAGTAAAAATCTGTCCGTGAACGTTTTTTGCTGTTTTCTCGAAATGAACTTTTTGCGCAGTTTGCTATTTTGCGGAAGCCGTATCTCGGCCTGCACACAACCGATCTTCCCAATTCTTTTTTTCTTTGGTAGTGTATAAGTGGGGTATCCAATAAGGGGTCTAATTGCATCAACCTAGGCATCATTATTTTTTGTTAGCACCTCCAATATAGATTGTAAAAATTGATTTATAAACTGAAAATTTTAAAATGCCGTAAAAATGTTATAAATAATCATGGAGCCTTTATTTATACCTTATTGGATTCTGTAAACCTTCTAGTTTACAGAGATATATTCCTTTTTGAGTTTTGTCTTCATAATTTTTTAGAATCTCGCCCATAAAATGTTCAAATAAAATAGTTAATTTTATCAAAACTAAGCAAGCTATTTTAAAACAAAGTATGTATTTGTCATCAGAAAGGGAAGATGATTATGCTCTATAAATTTCATTTGGATTGGACCATAAATAAAGAAAAAAGCTCAAGAAGCAGTGTTTCCCCTTTATAATAAGGCCCCCCCCCCCCCCGTAGTACCTAATGCTGACGGCACGCACTCGCGGGGAAAACTGAAAGAAATAGCCGAAGACGAAATGCCACCGCGGCTCGGCAGAAGCCGAAAACTCGCGCCGAAAGCTGTTCTTTCACGCGCATCGCAGCAAAAAACAAATTTGGAAAGTTGCTTTGGGTGCCATTACTTAAAAGCGAAACTCACATAAAGGCACCCTAGATTTCTAACATTCACAAAAGTATCGAAGTGCTTCCTTCGGATGCCTTTTATAAAAGGGCGCTATAGTTGCTGACACGATGCAAATGAGCGTGTGGCGTTTCGGTTCACCCAACGTCTCCTGGGCCGTGAGCGTGCGTGCGCTGCCAAAGCCCTGTTGCTCTCTTCTCGTCGGCGAATACAGCCGCTCTCGTCCCAGACTCCCCGGGCGGCATCCGAGGGGGCTCTCACCTTGAGGGTCATGTAGCCCAGGTAGGCCCCCCGTGCCCCCTCCACGAAGGTGATGGTCGAGTCCGTGTCCCTCTCGAGCACCACGTGTTCTGCCACGTTGCCCGGCGCTGCGCCGATGAGCGCCACACCGGCGTCCACGATGAGGAATTCCCCCTTGTAGGTTCCCGTGTGCACGAAGATCACCGGCTGCTCCAGCTCTTCGCAGTAGTTGAAGGCCGTCTCGATCGTGTCGAAGTAGCTCAGGGAACGGCCCCGGTAGCGCTGGGGGTGGCCGTCGTACTGGGCCTGCCAAAAAAAAAAAAAAAAAAATGTTTAAGAAGGCGAGGTTGTTGGTGTAAATAGATCTTTTAGGATATACTTGGCACCTCCCCCCTTCTTTTCGACACACTAAAGTAGGCCACCAGAAATGATGCAACCCCAGACACACACTCCGGGACAAGGGGGTATGCTTGGTGGCAAACTCTGTATAACCGGACGTATTAACTCCAAACAGGTTCGATAGCTTTGCTAGGCAGAGTTCGCCAGTCAGGTGCCCTTAAACAGACGGGCCAAAGAATGCATTTGCAACAAACGGCTTTGTCAAGTTTTTTCGCCGGCCTCCCCGAATTTAAGTTTTGAAGACGACACGATCTCGCAGTGACCTCGATGGGAGTGTTCGCCTACAGCCCGCATACATCTGCGAACATACTTTTTCGAGATGAAGACAGTGATTTCAAAAGTTGGTTTTACGAATAAGAGATGAGCACTTCCAAAAAGTTTTACGACTTTCGGTTAATAGTTTTAATGCAATTGTCTGCATCGTGGCAATCGTTACTGAACACCCAAGGTCCTACCGAGAGGTTGCTCGGGCAATCTTACATTACATGGGCCTGAATCGAGAGAACATCTTTGCATAAAATTTTAGCACGTGGCACTTCTTTTTTTTATTTTCATTATTTATAGGATTATTCTCTACTACTACCCCCCCCCCCCATTTCCATTTCTCTAACCTACCCACTCCATCTCCGCTTTGCGGCGATCTGCCCCGTTGCAGCATAAGGTCGCCAACCCCTGTGCTATGTCAATCCGGCCCCCAGGAATACTCAAGAACAGAAGAAGTGGTTCGTGTTGGCTCAGCATTTTGTGCTTTGAGAACGGAGCACACATCAGAATGGCCCCGCAGTTTCCCCGCGTCGTCCGGTGCATTGTGGGATTCACGGCAGCCTTCTGGGACTTTCCAGAGGTCTGTTGCATGTTACCAAAAGGATAGACACAAGAACGGACATGACGGCGGATCTTTTGACTTTTAACGCATAGATAAATCTATATGAAGTGGCTAGTTTTATCCTGAGGGAAGGGGAAAGCAGGAAGAGAGTAAGGATGAAAGGGAAGGGAAAGCTGCTCGTGAGGGGTTCCAGTCGTTGAAGGCGGCGTTGCCATTTGTTGTCAAGAGGCGCACCGCACCCTTTCCCCTTCTCTGCGGTCCAAACTGCCCACTTCAAATAAATCCTCTGTGCATTACACTAACCCATTTGTCACACTAAATATAGGACGAAAACCTATTTGGCACATTAAACAGCTAAATTTTGTGGCAAAGCGCTTCCCGCTAAACTTGGAAAACCTTGTGAATAAAATCCCAGTGCTGCTCGAAACATGTCTTTTTGTGCCGCGTCTTGTCCATGTGACAAGGTACCTTGAAATTTTGATTTCTCATGGTAGAACTTTGACCAATAAAACAAAACAACAGAACCAACAAAACAATACAGAAAATGTTCTCCTTTCGTTCCGGAATGAAATTAAAGGAATACACAACCCTTTCCAGAGACAAAAACGTGAAGCCACAACTAGTAAAACTTCCCACAAGAAAGGCTTTCCCGCGGTGCTTTCTGGCAAGTGCTGACATCCCTTGTCGGCGGCATTTTTTATGTTTGTGCAGGTTCTAGAAACAACGTGGCAGTGCGCAGCGGCTTTCCAAGGGACCTCAACTCCTTGATCCCACCACCCCTCCCATTCCCCAAATAAAAAAAAATAAGACTATATTTTCTGGTATTATCATACTATTAGAGAGATACTACAAAGTTAGAAAATAGTATTATCATACTATTTTCAAACTTTATTCTTTCTTTATTCATTTTATACCTTATTTAATATTTAATTAATTTTATTATTTTCGTCCACTACTTGCCGCAACTGATGGCACTTTTGCATTAAAATAATTGTGAACACACTTCCACTTTATGTGAAGCTGCAGGACAAGCGAAGCTGTGATTTTTAAGTCTAGGATGATGCCTAGATGATGACGTCTAGGACGACCTCAAGGACAACGCCTAGGACGACCTTAAGAACAATGCCTAGGACAACCTCTCGGACGACCTCAAGGACGACATCTAGGACAACGTCAAGGACGACCACGAGGACGACACCTAGAAGACGACCTCAATGACGACATCTAGGACGACCTCGAGGACGACACCTAGAAGACGACCTCAAAGACGACATCTAGGACAACGTCAAGGACGACCTCGAGGACGACACCTAGAAGACGACCTCAAGGACGACATCTAGGACAACGTCAAGGACAACCTCGAGGACGACACCTAGAAGACGACCTCAAGGACGACATCTAGGACAACCTCGAGGACGACACCTAGAAGACGACCTCAAGGACGACATCTAGGACAACGTCAAGGACGACCTCGAGGACGACCACAAGGGTGACTTCTAGGACGACCTTAAAGACAACTTCTAGGACAACCTCTCAAACGACCTCGAGGACGATGTTTAGAGATGATAACAAAGGACCAGGACCTCACTATGTAATATTGCCAAAGAAGGCTGACTCACGCTGGTTGCCCTGTCTTTTTATTTATTCATACGTGCCACGACCAATGGGGAGTTTTCTGTCAACATCCGCGGACACATTTTTTCCCAGATCTTAGACCATAACGGCTTCAATGTAATAAACCCAATGGCCCATGCACACTGGCTGAGTCAGTAGCTCGGTGGCTCTTAGCATCCAACTGCAACCGTGCCAAGGTTCAAGCTGGGTGCTCGAACGTGCGTAATCTCAACGCCCGCAACGCCCCTAGCATGTAACTCTTCCAGGACGACTTCCTCGCAGAAAATGCCACACGAAACATGTTCCGCGTCGAAAAAAGGGAAAAGGGGAGAGCCACCTGAAAGTGCGGCCGCACGTGGATGCCCCGGTACAGCTGGCGGAAGCTCTCCTTCCAGGGGTTGGAGCAGTCCGCCTCTTCGGGGGCAACAAACTCAAACTTGCAGGGTGCCGGGTGGAACAGCGGCAGGTCGTACTCGTACACGCTCTGGTACAGGCTCTTCCTGTTTTGTTGGGGGAGAGACGGGAGGAGGCGTGAGAGACTCACACTCCCAAGAACGAATCCAATTGCTCAAAGGCCACAACCGCAGCTCCAGAATCAACCGCGGCAGTACGACGGTCGTTCGCCATCGAATCGAACCGGGCCGTCAAGCTTGGCCGAGACTGCCGGCAATGCAAATTTCTAGACTACATCCCGGGTTATTTGGTACGAAGAGTAAAGGTGTGCAAATATCGAATTTCTGACTGCAAGTTAGATATAAATTTTAAAATATTGCTACAGATCCAATTTGAATATTTTCGAATATGAATACTTCACATTAAATGTGATTTGGGCATTGAAACTCTTAAGAAATCAAGGATGCAAATATTTTTCTAAAAACATGTACCGTAGAGTACCGCATATCCACGCATTCAACCTTAAGTGTCCATATCAAAATTTCTAAGATATAAAAAAATATACACAGTTCATTTATATGTAAAATTGAAGACCGGACAAGCGCCCACCCCCATTTTTTCGTGACTAGTATCTCTAAATTTTGAGTGGGCACTTGCCCGGTATTTTACGGTAGTGTCAAGAGAATAAAAAAAAAATAAAGGCCCCGATGAGATGAGTCGCGTAAAACATATCGTAACATGGGAAGCAAACCATGGCTACCTTATTTATTTGAATATAGCTCGAGGTTTCCTTTCCTGGCGCTGTCCTTTGAAATCGGGGGTTCAGCTATAATTAGAACCAACTAAGGCTGACCTACAGAAGTGAACAATATTTTTGAGGCTACCAAGGTGCTTAGACCCGTCAGCCATTTCTCCTAACACACCGGTGAAATGTAGTGAAGCTTGACATGCACAAGCCGAGAAAAGTAGCGAAGCACCATTTTGACTGCTTGAATATAAAGTGGGAGATGTGGGACTTTGGGCTATCTAGTTTTTATAACTCCAATGTAATTATTTCAGGAAGAGTCATTACTTCCAAATAGGAGATGCATATCTGTTCTATGTATATTTTTGAAAACATAGTTTTCAAAAAACATAGCTCGCGCTTGTGCAAAACACTAAAGCTGAATGAGAGAAGCCGGAGAATTCTGGAGACATTCACAATTTCCGAATGCTTTACAATTTTTTCAAACAGTAAAGGCGTGTTGCAAATTAAATAAAATAGCAAACACTATTCATTAGTTACTCACATAAAGTAAGGAACAGGTAAAAAGACATATTCTACACTTTGCAAAAAAAAAAGTAAGTTAGGACTCAAAGTTGTCTTTGCTTAATTAACTACTTTAATCTATTAACAATGCATAGAATGTCGCCGCAAAAAGACTCTTTTCCTAATCTAACGGAGGAAGAGTTATTATCTCTAGGCGATCGACAATCCTTTCAGTTGGATGCTACAATGTGAACATAAAATCTCAAAACCATTAAGACAAAAAAAAAAAAAAGAAAATGCGTGACAGTATTGTAGCCATTTGACAAAATTGTTGTAGGCCTCCGTCATATTGCGGGCACCTTGTCAGAGTTTCAAACCCGCCAACTGGGGATCCGTAGGCCGGCGCTTTGCCTCGGAGCGCTGGGAGTGAGGCACCACCCGTGACGAAGCCCCGCTGCAGCAGTGACGCTACACATCGTCCTCTCGGATGCAACTCTGGCGACTCGCTCTTGCATCTCGTGTCTTCACCAAGTTACCCTAGCCAACGACACCTTCAATGCTAAAAAGAAAGGACTCCCCGCAGCACCGCAAGGACGTCGCCTCAGGAGCTAGAGAAAGACCGTGGCTTTCCCCCGTTGGGTTCTGCCCCTCACCAGAGCTCGGTGTCACTGGAGATGGTGTGGAAGCGCCGGCAGACCTGGGCGGCCCGGCACAGGTCCTGCTCCAGCAGGTAGGAGAAGATGGTGAGCAGCACCTCGTCCGGCACCTCGTACAGCAGGTAGTGGGCTCCGCCGCCCCCCTCTGCGGGTTGCAACAGGATGTTCTCATTTGTCAAGAGACAACACCGCAGTGGCAGGCGTGCAAATCAACTTGCAGACAGTGCTTGGGATTGAGCTAGTCGGTTGAGGTTTCTGTCTAAACATTATTGATTTACATAAAAAAATTAAGAACAAAGTAAAATTAAACTCTAAATTTGAAATAAACTGGGAATCTAACCAAAAACAGAAAAAGAAAAACTTATAAACTGAATTGTCAGCTAAAAATAGACGAGGGTAGAAAGTTGGTGATTCATAATGATTAAAAAGCGCAACAAGACGGACACAGAAGAAGACGCAGACACAGTGCTGTGTTTGTCCTCTTCTGTGTCCGTCGTCTTGTTGCGCTTTTTAATCATTAAAAAAAAAAAAGGAAATAAGGAATCTTAGATATAGCGTAAAAGGATCAAATTTTCGTGGCTTGAATAACATTGCAACAAATAGAACCTAGGAATTTGTTTCCCTATGGTAACAAATATATGGCATACCGGCCTTATCGCGAAATTTCGTGCCCGCCGAATGTTCCCCATATCCAAACTTCTCCAAATCTGAAAAATATTGAATTCGCAAATGTTCGATGGTGTGTGCACAGAACATGATCCCAAGCACTGAGCTTGCCTAATTTCCCTCGTATAAAAAATGCTTTCCTTCTCAGAATAAACGTAATTGACTCCGTATCGGCACTAATTATAGCCCCGATTCAGCGCGTCGGCCCTTAAGCATACAGAGCAAGATTTTATCTTTGTAATTGGCACAACACTGTGAATGCAAACAAGCAACTGCTTTTCTTTTGTGTTTAGCTCTTAAAAACAACAGGCTGTTCTGTCATCGAAATAGTGTGGTCGTGCCGAGCACTCGCTCATGCGGTAAACATTTGGCACCCGCCAAACGACTTTGAGAAGGTAAAATGCGAAAAAGCGCCAGTGTCGTGTTTGCACCAAGAGTATCACTCGGTGAACCAGAGAAGATAGGACAGAGTCTAAAAAGAACTAAGGAAGCAAACTTTACACAAGAAATAAGTCGAGTGCCTGCTCTGCTTTTATAAAAAGAAGCAATTAAAAATGCATCAGCTCTCTCTTGGCACTTGCACAGACAGATGTGGCAAGGTAGATGGGGTACGAGGAGGAACTTGCTCGGTTGAGGGTTGATGCACCGAAAATATATCCTTCACACTATATGACCCAAACATGCCATTCTAGGAGAGGTTCAACATCATGTGACTAAGGATCTTTAAGAACAAAATGGTGACATAGAAGAGAGAGATTATTTTTTATGTAGTCGACATAGCCCAGGGACTCAAACCGCAACCAAAACCCGACAAAAAGTATATTTTCGCTAACCCTAAGAAGGCACTAAACCACTTTCTGCAATAGTCAATTTATGTTCATAACACAATCTATGGAATTTAAGCATCTTAAAAACCCAAACATTACATTCACGCGTAGCCAATTTTTCTATTAAAATCTGTATCAAAAGATTAATTAACTCGGAGCTATCGCCGACACCAGATGGCGCTGTTGCACGAGAAAGGGCAGGGCTCTATCCTCCTCGTCCGATGGCGTTACCTGATGTCAGTCATTTAATACCGATCTTACTGGAGACACTGGCCACGCGTGAATGTGATGTTTTGGTTTTTTAGGATGCTTGGAGCCCATAGATTCCATAAATAGACTATAGCAGAAAGTGGTTTAGTGCCCCTTTCACTGAACGGGACCGAGCGGCATCACATTAGGCGATGAACCAGAACCTGAAAAAATTAACTGGCAAGCGATATGTGATAGTGGTGTAGTACTCACAACATACTTACAAACGAAAACAAAGAGAAAACGGGAAGATACCCAGAGGTGTGCTCTTCAAATGCCAAATATATTTCGCAAATTTTGCAGCTGTAGGCTATGCAAGCAATCTCGCAGCTGTAGGCTATGCAGGCAATCTTGTAGAAACGAGATTGTAATTTACTAATCCTGTGCAAATAATGGATTTTGAGTTCGAAGCAAATAGTGGTTTTGGCCGAATATTTTCGATTCGCACATCGAATAGTTTTTCCATGCCTTCCACTACTGTTGCATCATGCTTAGACGAAAACCCAGCTAAACTCGGGAAGCTTGTTCCACTTGTTCATTTATAAGCTAAGTTTAATCTGATGACTGATGTCTTGAGACGGCAAGTAAACCATAAATTTGATATAGAATGAATCCTATAGGGATGCAACAAGGCATGTAGTGGGGCTAGTTGGTGGTACATACTCTTTGGTGGGAACAGCACAAAAAAGACGGAGGACCAGGACATCATTTTGCACTGTTCCCACCAACAGCCTATAGGGATGAAGTGAATTTACCAATTGAGTGAATTTACGAATCTTGCTATATACAATATTCTTTCTTTAATCTTGAATTAAAAGAGAAAGAATCGCACATGATGAACACAGGTCGTAAAGGCATCTCTGCCTAACATATGCTCTTGCATAACAGTCGGTTTAATTTTGAAACTTTAACTACAATGTAGATATAAACATTCACAAAGCTTGCATCATCCCACTTTGAATGTATGCTTTTCTTCCAAGCACGCAATTCTGATATTCATACTTTTTCAAGTATTTTTCGCGGCGGGTTACCCCGTGAGTGCGCTTCTTACCGAGCACCGATGTAATGCAGGGAAGCAACACCCACAGAGCCCGCTAAGGTGCGCTCAACGAGGCTAACTTGCCACAATCAACACTTCAAAAAACGTGAATTAGTGCAGTTCTTCTCGAAGCAAATATTAAATAGTGTATTATTCAAAACTACTGTTCGGTATTTCAAATATTCGCACAGCCCTATAATTTACACAAAGCATGCAGCTTGGTGCTGTATTTGTAGCATGCTTCAAGGTTTTGCCTCAATAAAATTATATATTGTGAGCCAAGTAGATCAATCTGGTGCTTGTGATTTACAATTCCAGATGCACCATTCGTTAGGCCCTTACTCCACAGAACACATTTACTTTTCGAGTGAAGCAGATTAACGAACCACAGTAGTTTTAACTTTATTTTAATAGACATTACTTTTGTTGCTGCACTAAGTTTTCAACCGTCATTGTTTTTTTATTTTTTCCTTCAACCCAACAAACTGTTTTTTGGAGAATGCTGAACCAGCAACCAATCTTTTAAGAACCAGAATAAAAAGAAAAGAGAAAAAAAAAAAACGGCAACAAAACTGTTTCATTAAGTGCCATAACACTACTCGAAATATCTTTCTATACGAGTCTAATATAGACTGCCTCAGTCCATTTCCCACTCCATGAACACTGGTTTCAAGAAGGACCTGACAAGTGCGGTTGGGTTCAACATGGACCTTCAAACAATGACAGGTCACAAAGGAAACAGTCTCGAGCCCGACATCAAGTGATGTCGGGCTTGAGGCATAGACCTGTCGAACTGTTTTGGGTTGAACGCTACTGATCCACTGAATGGGGGGCGGGTTCAACATGAACTCGGCAAGTGGTGCCAGGCTCTCCAAAAATTGTCAAAACACTGTGTTAGGTGTATCAAGGCCCTATTAAAAGGTGCCGCGTTCGACACGACCCGTCAAGTGGCGTTGGGTCTAAAGCGAACCCGACACCCTTTTTAAGCCTCCCTCAGGTAGAAGTTAGGTCTCGGCCCACTTGCCTTCAGAAGAGGAGGACGAGGATGCCCCCTGGGAGGAGGATGGGGTGCGTCGTTGTCGCTTGCGGGGAAGGTGGCACGGCGGGCCCCCCGATCCGCCCCCGTCGTGGGGGAACTTGCGCCTCAAGTCATACGGGGGCTGGTGCGGGGCCAGGCCCCCTCCGCCCCCAACGCTCCCTACCCCACCCCCTAGCACCGACGCCATGTTCACCAGCGTCTGCTCCACCACTGCGATAGAGAGAGGTCCTGGTCACTAGGGGCAGGGGGACGGCGGAACCTCCGCCACCAAAAATTTACAAGAGTTGGGACACATCAGAGTCTAGTAAAAGACAGAGGGGGGGGGGGGGGGGGGGGGGGAGGGGGGGGGGGGGCGCACATTACACTTTAGGCACGATCTGCTCAAGGTTGGCAGTTCCTCTTTACAATTTACGTCTTTACGTAACATAAACTAGTCCTTGAGTGATACGAGACTTCAAACTTTTCCCTCCATTGTCTGTTTACGTTGTTTGTGCATTTTTTTATGTAAACTTATAAATGAAACCATGGGTGCAGACGAGTTGAAGGGCATGTTAGCACCCACAGAAGTTAAGAGTGAACAGGGAGTCACAAACATGAACATACACAAACACAAGAGGGCAAGTGGACAGATGTTAAAAAAATAAACAAGGTGAGCGGGTCAAAGTACTTTCCAACAGACAGCTAAAAGAAAGGTGCCAACACATCCTTTGTGTTTTAATCGTGTCTAAACAAACATTGTCTGACGAGAGTTGGGTGTTACCTTTTTTTTTACAAACTCTCCTGCGTCACGAATTTAGGCAGCCTTCGACAAGACGCTGCTGCTGCTGCCGTTTCCTAACAGATCCTGAATAGCAAAAGGTTAAAAAGGACTAACAGTGACTAAATTCTGCCTACGTTTTCTTCGGTTACATTTTGACACTTACTGCTGAAATGTAACCGATATTCGTATCTCTGGGCACTTCAAAACTACCGTAGAACATTGAGCAGACGCCCACGTTGTGATGAGCCCCCACCCCCTATTTCTAAAGCATTAAAAAAAAATCATAGAAAAACATACCGAACGCTCGCTCCCCTATTTAGAGCAAGTTCGGAAACGTGCAAAAGACGCGTCGAGCACCTAGCTGCCGCAAGTGGCCGCTATACCCGTGACCGGCAGACGGCACGGGTGAAGCAGCAAAGCAAGACAAGGGGGATAAGGGTTGCAGAGTCGAATGGAGGTAGAAACCGATAGGTATAAATAAGTTGCTCTTTTGTTCCAACTCACAAGAGTCTTTAGTGATAAAGCATAGACGGTACATAATCGACCGCTTATTTTTTTTTTCAATAAACTATTTACCCCATTTACTCGCATAATGACACCCCGCCCACAACAGTCATAAATACTGATTTTTCTTTTTACTCCCACGCAGTCGCCAAGTCAATCGGCCAGGCCGCGGTCGATAGTGAAAAGTTGTTAGTCTTCGGAATGGTCGCGTCGCTCTGTGCCGACTGCCGCTGGTGCAAAAACGGCATTGAGCGTAGTAGGACGCTTTTTCTTCTATGAAAATAATGCAGACATTTTGTTTTTACGCATAGCCATTTTGAATTCTGTGGTCAGACCAAGCGAGGGCTCACCCGACCGTATGCTTCTTCAGCATTTCCGCTCTTCAAACCTACCAAGCGCGCATCCCCATTTTTTTGTGATCATCTCCCAATTTTGAGCGGGCACAGGCTCGATGTTTTACAATATGCTTGCAAGATTTAACACTTGACAAGTCCCATGACATAACACCAAGGTCAATGATGCATATAATGGATGCAAAAAAAAAAAAAAAAAAAAATCTCCAAACATGAAAAAAAAAAACGCTGGAAAAAACATGTTTGTTGCAGATATCTTTGTGACGTCATTATTTGTGTATATACCTATTTGAAATGTACATAAAACAAGAATGCTTTTCCACCTAACCCCATTATTTTTTTTACGAAGGACATTTTCTATTTTTGTGCTATGCAATGTTATTTGAAGACTAAACTTGGCAAGAGATCTTGTGTAGTCTATTAACCCCCTTTCTTCCTGCAAAGTGCATTACCTCAATCTATACAGTATTTCTTTAATATGACGGACCAAACCCTCTTATATAAGTTACACTATGCCTGGTAGCTCCGGTGGTGCAATGTGCAAGTGCGTGAAGTATCCGGTGGCACTAGGCAAGCGTCAATATCTGTCATATGGCAAAAGTCATCCTTCATTTTACAGGAAGCCCGGAAGTCATTCATTGTCTAACTCATTGCAGGGCATTTAATAGTGATGGGCCAACCTTTAGCAGAATTGGAAATTCAGCACCGAATCTTGAGATTCAGCAAGTCGAAGTTTTCTAAAGATTCGGTGAAGATTCAGCAGAAGTACATTGTTGCCAGACATAGGAGTTGATATTTTGGTTTTCCGAGCGAAAAACATTTTTAGGTTGTTTTTAACTAATATTGATACAGGTGTTACTAAAAAGGGTGACATCAATGTCATTTTTGTGTGTTTACTGGCAATTTTACAGTGACTTCCTTGCAGGAGTGGTACGACAACAAGGTAGGGTAGTAGCAGGCGCAGTGGCGCAGCCACGATACGAGAGTTTTGGTTTTGCAAGGGTGTACATTGTTAAAATAAAGGCAGTAACACTGTGTTCTCAATTTTGCTGCGAGTCATCGTTTCATGTGCAAAAATGAATGCAACGGCTGCTGAGCCTCCATCAGAAGAGATAACAATGATAACAATATTATTGTAAATATGCATGTTCTTCCGATTTGAGTCACTTGACACCAGCTTTGCATGAAAGTGTGTTCCCCATATTCGCAACGTCTCGCTTTTTAACCTTTAAAATGCTGGTTCCTAATATCAGAACAGATGCGGACATTTGGGAAGATGGGAAGAGTTAGGAATGTTGGATGTGCTACGTCGAACATGATAGTTCTGTGCTTAGTTTTATGCCGATAAATGAAAACCACTAATTAATGCGAAAACAGGATTGCTACAATGGCGAGGGGTGCCTTAAAATACTTGTTCGTCAATGCTGCAACAAGGCGTTGCATCACTGGAAGGATAAAATGAAAATCACGTTGTCCGGAATGTACCGCATCATTTGTCACTTGCGTAGTGGATCGCGTCAATTACTGGTCCATCTGTTCTTGACGCAGAAAATATTGAAGAGAACCACACACACAAAAGCCAACAAACACACAGTTACCATGTCGCCTACTCCACACCCCGCCGTAACCGGTAGTACAACACTGTACGATGGTAACCGCACGATGTCCATCGCAATGGCCCTGTCGCGTTCTCCCGCGTGCGCAGACGCTTGCTGAATTTTCGCTAAAGTTTCGTTCAAAAGTTTGGCATGTGCCAAACTTTGCTGGATCTGAAGTTCGGCAGATTCAGACCATCACTGGTGTTTAACAAGCGTACTAACCACAACCGTAAGACAAAAAAAATATTTCATGGGCAGTTTTTGTAGCAACTGCTTTGACTCTATGCATGGCCAGCTGCACAGTAAATTGGCTCACTTCTGATATAGACACTGCATAGGGCTTAATCAATGACATCTAGCTGTCACAGTTGCTCCTTTGATGACAGTACGATTCAGTTTGACAGTGACAAAATAAAACTACAAGTTTGTGCTCAGCATACATACAACCAGCACAATGTGAGTAGAACAGCCCGACTTGCACGTGCGAAAGCACTCTGCCATAGTAAAGACAAGCCGACGTCGCCTAGGACACCATCCCCACATCAACCATACGCGCTCCAATTTCGTCATGATTCACGATCCAGTATTCTAAACCAGATTTGAACATCGAACGCTTTATGAAACGCGAACAAACGCCGCAAATCCCGACGAAAACTCAATGCGCACGCGAAACAACCTCAAAACATTGCGAAATCTTTTTTTCTTTTTTTTCTTTCTTTCTTTGGGCGTACGATTCTGTTCTCAAGACGCGCCGAGGCAAACGAATTCTTCGAGGGAAAGTCACTTACAGCACTCTTGAGAACCAGGGCCACCGTTCGCCTCATCTGCAAGCAAAGGAGAACCAGAGTTTAGTCGAAGGATAATTTTAAACAGCATCGGCGTCCCAATCAGAGGGCATTGTAAGGTCCCTACGCTACCGAGGATAGCGGCCGAGTCAAATACCGACGGGCAAACCGACGTTACCTCGAACCAATCGACGTTGCACGGGCGTGTGAAGGGAACCCCCGTAATATTTCCGCATGCGTGACGGCACGATCAGACCGGACATATCGGTTAGGGACAAGACGGACGCCGTGTGGAGCTATCGGGACAAAAACCGGACGCTCTTTTCGATCGCCTAGATCGATGATCCCTCCCGGGGGAGGGCGGGGGGCCCCAGACGAACCCTACACCGTACAATTACGGCAAGACTGCCGCGCAATGCACGAAAAAACAACGATTGCGAGATAGTACAGGGTTCAAAACGAAGAGAGTTAGCGAGCAAGATACGACCCATACGAGACCAAACAAGCTAGGGGTCCCAGGCGTCCGCCGCTACGACCAAAGCCGTCGTCGTCCGCGCTTGCGGTCGGTATCTCCCGTTCGATGCTCGTTTTAGTTGGAGCTCGGACGGGTCAGCGTCGGTTGCGAGCGAGGATTTCGAGGTTGGAGAGCCCGTGGCGGCGGCAGCGGGCCAAACGTGGGAAATATTGCTGGGGTACTAGGCCTAAACATGGCCAGATGCAGGCGAGCACAAAAGGCACTTTACCTTCGCCAAAGGCCCTCGATGTGATGACTCCGCGTTTGATACTCTTCTTACGGGTTTTCCGCACGGTTGTTCTGGTCGGCCTCGCGGTCGCACTGGACATCTTCGTCCGGATGGGGTTACGGAGAGGCCGATAAAAAAAAAAAGGGACGCACTCCCACACCTCTCAACAAAGAGCAATCTTGACAAGTACCCCCATCAACCTTGCTGCTGCTACTATGGGGCCATTTTCTTGTTCGATGTCGGGAAACATTATCCCAGCCAATGGCGTAACAGACGCGCGTCACGTGACCGCATTTTTTGCCCCGACTCGGGGAAAAGAAACGGATCGTCCGAAACTTTGCGACGTCTGAGGGCCGATTTTGAGACGAAATAAATTAGCGGCGAGCGTTGGGACTGCGGGAAAAAGCACGCGACTACAATAAACCGAACGTCGCGGCGACGACAGGGTGCGCTCGCGATCAAAACAAACACCAAAACAAACAGTCGGGCCGCCAGCTTCCACTGTGCTTGGAGCACGTGACTCACAAACGTGATGGGTGTTGATGGTGGACGTGATCCCCGTGGGCTTGTGATCGTGGCCACAGACCGTGGCGTCGTGGACGCGAGCTCGCTTAATTAAGTCAGTGGTCAGCGTATTGAATAATGTCGGAGCCCGTAGCGACGGCCGAGGAAGCTCGCCCCAACGTAGACTTGGAGCTAGAACAGCGAGTGAAAGGCAGCTGTGGCCGCATCTCGGAAAACGCCCACATCTTCGCGAACGAGCCCTCGCTGGCTTGCTACCGCCTCCAGGAACACGTGAGGCGGTCGCTGGGCGCCGCCGTGGAACGACGTCTTCAGCTGGCCGAGGCCCGACACGAGCTGAGGGGCAAGTGTTACGACCTAGACTACTCGATCGGGGCGCTGAAGGGCTTTCAGCAGAGCAAACAGCATCTTGACAACATCCAGGAACTGCTCAAGAACGCGGTGTTCGTCAAGCAGCAGCTGGCGCATGGGGAGGCGCGGCAGCTGGCCAAGGCAAGTAGTGCGGCTGCAAAGGGGGGAGTGAAAAGGATCCATTTTAGCAGGCTACCTCAGCAATCATTTCTACCCCCTCTCCCCCCACTGACACTCCTACATAAACTCCTGAACCTCTGTACAATCAGTAGACATCACCCAATAGAAGGAGAGGAAGACAGGAATTAATCGTTGCAGAAACAGAAAGCGAGTAGATTTAAGGAAGACAAAAAGGGTATGGATATAGCGCCTCAAATTCAGTAGCGTGTCAGTCTTAATTTGAATATTCCAGGGCATCTCAAAGCAGTTAGTATATGTATGGCTCAGTAATTGCTGTATGCTTTAGCTGTACCCCAGATGATTGACAGCTTCATATTTCAACTACTCAATGTTGCCTGCTTAGCTAGTTTGTTTGCCTGCACACGACGTTGCATCCTACCAACGGAGATATCCCACTTGATCTTTCTGAGAAAATCTAATTTGGTGGCACAAAATATATCTTGCAAAAAATACACATGCGGCTGCAAAGTCCTTCACAGCGGCCGCCGACGCTATGCGGAGGGCAAGTTCGTCTGCTTCTTGCGCAGGGGGTAGCGGTGACGTCAGAACGCCGAGCCCCGATTGGCTGATTGCGACCCACTATCTGAGCGTCGTCTGCTCGCAACGTCATCTGTGTCTGTCTTACCTTTCCTGCGGCTTTCGGAAGTGCAGAGGCCAGATTCACGAAACAATCTTACGCCAAAAATGTGCGCAAGACAAAACGTAAGAGCAAATTCGTATTCACGAAACGAAATTATCGTAAGTTTTGCGCAGGTTACGACGGAATCCTGCTAAAGCTCCGAAGCTATCTTATGCACTTCTTACGATCAAATCAGCAAGGCCGACAGCGTCGCTCAATTACTTGGTCGCGACGACCAACGGACGTTTATTTTTGTACGTGCTCTTCTCACGCATTCCGACTACAAGCAGCAAGAAAAAAAGGAAAAAGTACTTGAATTAAACCACAACAAACAAGAACGCTGGATCCACAAACACCCGGGAAATGCTCCAACGGCCACGATTCCACCGACCTCGACCAAGAGAGCTCGGCAGATAGGCCTTGCAGGCACTCCGACGGTCCTTGGCCAAGACCGTCTGCCCACGACCGGCTGGCGTGCTGAATGGAATATGCCCGCGCGACCCTTGTGAACCCTTCCCGTATTATGCTTTGATCGCTGACCTCTATTTTAGATCAAGAGGTCAATCTCTTTCTCTTGTCATCTCCTTGTTTTCCGATGCAGCAGAGACTCTCGTCGCTGAAAAAGCGGTGAATCCCCGACAGACGCAGGAAAGGCAAAGCGGCCATTGCTTCGACTTGCAGACGTAAAGCAGACGACGTTAACTGCGCCAACCTGCTGACGCCGTTAAAGAGTGAGGAGTCTCGCTGCACACGAAAGGAGGGAAAAAGTATTCGGGAGGGAACTTGCGGACACTAACACGCTCACTCTCGGTTCTTAGCAAACAAACTTCGGCGCCTCGGGACACCTCGCCAGTGAGTCCTTTGACTTCCCTCTTTGATGCGAGTCTGCTAGTTGTTAGACAAAAACAACAGACCGCTCGATTTATTTCGTCTGCCCTCTCTGAAAGGCGAAGTCGAGCTCGCTCGTAATGACCTGCACCTCCGAAAGTCGCAAGAAAGGTAAGACAGACGCAGACGACGTTGCAAAGGAGCAGGCGACGCTCAGATAGGGGGTCGCGATCAGCGAATCAGGGCTTGGCGTTCCGACGTCACCACTACCTCCTTTCTCATGCGCAGAAGACGAAAATGAGCCCACTTGCGAGGCCATATTGTTACATTCACCTTACCTACACTGGCACCGGTTGCATGCCACACACAGAAGTACGCTGCCCAACCCTTTTCTGCCAGAGGCTGGTGTGCAGGTATATCAATCGAGCCCACTGGCCACTGCAAGCCATGTACTCTCCTTGTCGAACCTTTGCAAACAATTACCTCTGCACTGGGTTCGTCCAATTGACCTGCATTAGCTGCACTCGGTGCACACTGCCATATTCAATTTACAAGTGCAGCCTGTATGACACAACCGGAAGTGCATTTTCCTGCACTTTTCTGCACCGGTGCAGGGAAAAAAAAAAAAGCTCCAGTTGCGCTCCCGATCAGAATTGTAGGTCATCAATGAGCTGGTGACGTTTGAACACTAGACTAAAATCCCCCCCAGGCTATGGAGACCAGTGGATGGCGCGACGTAGGAGTCTCGAGACTTTTGTGTCGTCTCTCGTTCTTACTGGTCTCGGTGTTTTAGACTCTCATGCTCCACATCAGATGCATTCCTAGGACGTGCTTTGCTGTAAAAACAAACAACCATGGTTTGGATTTCTGCAGAGGCCATCACGTCTGCAACGCCTGTCCGGCTCCTTCGACCTGGCTGCCGCTCAGCAGGGACCCGGTTTTGCAGGCGGCCTGAGCAGTTCGCCGTCCCTGGGATCGGACATGCGCACCTGCCACCCAGCAGCCACCCTGCGCTCGGCCAGTGCCTCCCCGAGGAGGCCGAGGGCTGCGTCAGTGTCATCAGACGCACCCTCCACGTGATCGGGCAGTCCTAGCTGAAGAACTGATTACACCCCGCATCAGCTGCTGTGTTCACTTTAGCCAATATTACTTGTTACTAGACCAACATAGGTCTGGAACTTGCATGCATGAGGGTAGCCCCCTTAGGCCCAGCCACCCGTCATTTCAAGTGCCACCTAGAAACTGCGCATTAAAACCGCATCTTCTCTGGAGTGCAGCGAGTGCTGCGCTTCGAAACCCGTGCATTTCATGAAGCATGCTGTAGTTAGTGCTACAGCCGTCTCCAAAATGGCGGTGCATCGAACGACGGTAGCTGGACCCTGGGGGAAGGAGCACTGCTTGTGGAGGGTGCTCCTCTTGCCCCAACAGAGTTGACCCAAACAATGTAGACTTTGGCCAATCACCACTTCAGAAAACCTAGTCAAGGACGAGGGGGTCAACTTTGCAACAAGCATCTTGGTTCTGTGTGCGACGGGCAGAGGAGCTTTTCAAACCTTAACAGCTTGCGTTGTGCTTGGAGGCTGGTGATGGTTCAACACGACAGTCACCAACAGGATGGAAATGACGGAGGTCCTTCAGTTGTACATACTCTAGGACAGCCTCCTTACCTTCGATAAGGCTTCAGCAGCTCAATGAGCCGAATGTGCACGTGCTGCTAGAGCACAATGGAACGCAACAACTGTGTGCTGGAGTCTGGTGCTTCGGAAAGAAACGCCCTCACGTCTGTTCGTTCTGCATCCAGCCCAAACAGGTGCAACCAATTGATTGCATTTGACCTCTTAAGTCATGCGAACTTTGCACATATCCGAAGCAACCAGCCTCTAAGCTGGAAGAGGTTTTAAAAATGTCAAGGTGGGGAGTTGAACTCCCAGGACGCATGTGCAAATGCCTGGAATGGTTTGTGCATGGTTTGCATATGTTGGCTAGCCCAATGTCTGTTGCTAATAAATTACAAGGTTAAAACAATTTTTTTTTGTTTAGAGTACTACTAGCACAGCTTCATAGTGGCTCTACAGGGTGCACTCATTCTAAACACACAGTTGGAGCCGTCAGAGACAACGGGAAACCATACCGCAGTCGGAGGTGCATCACACAATCTTCATCTGGGCAGGCTCAACTGGAACCACCACTACTGCAGCAACCAATCGAGAAGCTCTACTGCATGCTGAGGGACTCTGACTAAATGGTGCAGTGCACCCGAATCCACAAAGTTTTTAATAACGCGCTTACCATCCACCGAAGTGTTGCTAGGAAAATGTAACAGCTTTTGTCTTTGCTTTATTGTTTGCAAAATAAAATGGCAACCAAAAAAGAAAAACACTGACGGACCTAAAAAGAGCAGCCAGGTAATGACGCTGAATCAACGCCAACATTGCCGCACAGATGCTGAAGTGACTGCAGCTTTGCCTCGATGCACCGAAGTGGCCTATGAGCATGCCTCCTTTTCAACCTAGTATCATTTCATCCACGGCCGCTTTACGCAAGCGTCCTCCTCCCAAACAAAGGCACTGCTGTCGAAAGTATGTCTCTCTGTAGTCACATAAAGCCACGTCAGAGATTCCAGGTCTCGACTATTGCCTTACGTCTATCTTTACGTCCGCAACGACACAAACGCCCGACGACGAGGTCCCAGCAACGCGAAATTTGCAGACGCTCTCCGACAGTGACATTCGTTTTAATGGACACTAAACACCCCCAACAAATCCTGGCTACGCCACTGCCCCCTCCGGTCTCCCGGGCCAAAGACGACGAACGGCTTCGCCCGAGCTAAGCTGCGCAGACCACGACGAAGCCGACGCCTCTCTGCACACCCCATTGAGGTCGGTCGCGTCGACCGAGCGTCTGGGAAGCGCCTCCTCGCAATAAAAACGGCGCCGTCCCGCGAGCGCGTTTGGGCGCGCGGAGGGGAGGGTGACAGCGGCCACTTCTACTATCTGTAGTACGTCTTTACGCGCTGCAACAAGAAACACCAACAACAAGGGGGGGGGGAGGGGGTGTATTCCCGCTGGCCCTTCCCGGTGCCAGCGGGAGGCCACTGGTGATCCCGACCTGCCGACGGCAGCACAGCTGTGTCCTCTCTCTCTCCGGGGCCGCACTGGTACAAAAATAATGCCGGCAGAAGCAATTGTATAGGGCACCTAAGCGGTCTTCCAATAAATAGCTGGTCTCCTAGTTGGCTGCGGTGTCGGGAGGGGGCGTGCTCAGGAACTGGTCCGCCCGTTTGTGGTCGCTCAGGGCCTTCAGGGTCAGCGAGTCCAGGGGCAGCTCAGACTTGCGTCGCAGCAGCGGCTTCTCCTTCTTGGCTTGGGCCAGCTGCTGCCGAGAGGCCTGCGGGGAGGACCTTGAAGTTACTTCCCATCGTAGAACGTGCCGTGGTAACGACAAGGACATGGTGATCGCCAAAGTGGGTTGGCAGTAGTCGCATTTAACACTGACCAAACAACCGGTGTCTTCGAGACAAACCCATCAACCAGTGCCGGGCTCAACGCAGGCCCTACAAGAGGTTGGGTCCGCCATAACCCTTAGGAGGTCAGGTTTAACATGGACACACCGGAACAAAGCTCAACGTGAACCCTGGAAGGGGCATCCTGTCAGACCCCAAAACAGGTGTTGGGTTCTACATAGATTCTTCAAGAAGTGTTGGGTTCAACATGAACTCAACAGTGTCAAGTCGAGCATGAACCCACCAACTGGTGTCGGGTCAAACATGAACCGGACTACCAGTGTCTGGTTCAACATCCACCGGGCAACTGGAGTTGGTTGGGTGTAGCACTGACCCGAAAACCGGGGTTGGAACAAGGTGTAAAGTTGGGCGAGTTGGTTGATGGTCATATTGAATGGGTTAAAATAGCGCAAGAAAAAAAGAAAGACCAGGAAAAGGAAACACGCAGACACAGCGCTGTGTCTGAGCATTTCCTTTTACTGGTCCTTCATCTTTTTCCGCTGTTTTACCCATTCAATATGACCGGGGTTGGGTTCAGCATGGACCCAACAACCAGTGTTGGGTTCAACCTGGACCTTACGAGAGGTGTAGGGATTAACGTGGACCTAACATACGGTGTAGAATCCAGACATCTGTCGGCAGTTATGGAAACAACTTTTTACAGCCGCAACATTTTTTATGTAGTTAAGAAAAGGTAGATCTTTAAGTGCCACATCCATTATTGCTTTCTTCCCCTACCAGATGCCAGATTTGGTCACAGCACCGGATCATGTCCATTTGTTTTTGCCTTCTACAATATCAATTTGAAATGGCCGACTCAACATGCGGCATAAAGATAACCACAGAGCCAGAATCCAACCCCGCAAGATAGGTGCACAGCAGTGTCGGCAAGTTTGAAAGAGGGGGAGGATGTCTGTAAAACCAACGCCTAATACATACGAAGGCTGCAGTGCTGAATTTTCTCGTCACCTACCCGAGGTCGGCCCCACGCTTAAATTGTGCACGAGCGCCGAGCGAGCATTTGGCCGGGACTGGCGTTCAATCGGTGGAAGCACGAACCCCGGTCGAACGCTGACTCGGCACTGGTGTCCCATCCCTGCCCCAGCAGGCGACGCTCAAAATCCAGCACCACTGCCTCATTATCGAGGAGGCACCGGCAAAGCCCCCACCTCTCTGGCCTCTGTCTCGAGCCTGTTGTAGAGCATGTCGTCATCTTCGGGCGGACTGCAGGCGTCGGAGGCCGTGCTCCCGGCCATGCTACTGCTGTCCGAACTTAGCAGGGGGATCACCTCCTGAAACTGAGCGGGTTTTCACATTCAGGGGGTCGCTCACAGCCAAAGCGCACAGGGCTCGGCCCGGCCCGGCCCGGCCCGGCCCCGCCCCGCCCCCGGCCCGCCCCCGCCCCCGGCCCCGGCCACCTCCCTCCCCGCTCATTTCCCAGACGCAGCCATAGCTCACCTGAGGGTTCTTCTCGGCAAGGGACTCTATCCGGTTCCAGGCATCCTCCCGTTCCCTCAGTCGCAGCTTCTCGCTGTGACAATGACAAAAAGAACGCCAGGGTTACGGGCGGCGTCGGAGACACTAAAACAAGTTTCTGTGGGACATGGGTGTTCTTTAGGTTATGGAGTAGCTTAACAAAGTCATATGACTTCCTTTCTTTGCCAAACAAAAAGCATGCTTGTCAATCCTGAGACAGCTTGCAAGCTTGACAGTGCAGGCAGCACCATTAGAGCACTGCACGGGCCCGGGCCAGCCCGAAAGCCCGAGCCCGGCCCGGCCCGCGGGCCGGGCGCGGGCCGAGTAGCACGTATTTTCTCGGCCCGGGGCCGTGCCTGGGCAATCTTGTGCCGTAAATCATAAATTGTTGTTGATAGCAAGAAGTATGCTCATTAATCTTTTAGGTTCATTGAATACAAAAAAAGCAAACTGCAAATTCGCTACAGCGTCGTTAAAAATAATAACTAAAAGAAGTCTTGAAGCTAGAAAGGCTTCAAGCTTTTTCCATGCGAGCGAGGGTTCAGTGTTATAAATTGTAAACAAAATAAAGTCCCAGACATATGCTTGTCAACCTGTCCGATTCATCGCTCTCAATATCTAGTTCACTATTAGGGAGATTTAGAAAAACGTGCGCAAGCGCTTTGGGCACCGTAAAAATAGCGTCGCGATGTAAAACCTATGGCGATGCTAATTTTAGCTTGCCCAAAGTGCTTGAGTACGTTATGCTAGGACTCCCTTATTGCACAGAGCGCGACACTATATTTGCGCGAACAAGCGATCGTCGTGTTTTTGATGTTTATCTCATAGAATCAAAACGCTGTTTTCAAAACTATTAGTGTCGTTAAAGTGCTCATCTGGGCCACAGACCTAAGCGGTATACTTTGGTGCCTACTAACACCATTTCGAAGTAGAATTCGAAAAAAGAGCCAACGTCGTGTTCGCGGTATCAGTGTCGCGCAGTGTACATAGTCCGTTCCGCGCTTGCACGTTTTGGGAACCATCTTGAAAAAAACGTTTTAAGGGGTTAAGTAGGAATATATTAAACTCAAGCTTGCCTGAAAGGGTTGTTTATTTTAAAAACGTGTTGACATGTAAAGCTGCTTCAGAACATATTCTTAAACAGAAAAGGTGCGCAGACCAGGCTTAGAACGATGGAGACTTTTTTGCGAAGAGGTTGCGATGTGCAGGGCCTTATAAAAGTAGGTTGAAACGGGACGCGTTCAAACGCAAAGGGTGTTTCGGAAACTGGTTCAAATAAGAAGGGCGTTTAGGGAATGGGTCGAAACAGGACAAATTCAAACGAGAAGGGCGTTTAGGGAACTGGTCGAAACGCGACAGGTTCAAACGGGAATGGGTTGTTTCAGGCTACAGTCATCGGGCCGGGTTGGGCGGGGCCTAGAAATTAAAAATTCTGTCGGGCTCGGGCCGGGCCGTGTCTCTTCCGGGTCGGGCCGGGCCTAGAAATTAAAAATTCTGTCGGGCTCGGGCCGGGCCCGGGCCGTGTCGGGCCGGGCCTAGAAATTCCGGCCCGTGCAGTGCTCTAAGCACCATTGCCTGTGCCATCGGTTACAAAAATGCAGAGGCGAAGCACATTTGCTTGGAAGGACAAGGGGAGGAATCGGAGTGTTGGGGAATTTTCGTTTTCAAGGCTAGGTGGTGCAAGCTACCGCCCGTTATACAGGGTACAGCCATTAGCACCCATCCATCCAACCAGGTGGTTGCACATTTATAATCTTAGATCTTCCGGTTTTTGGTTCAAGATAAATACAAGTGTGGAGTTGTGCCGCATGACATCATGTGACCTGGCATTACAATGTTGAGTCACGGTGTCGTGTCAGGTAATGCGACACACCGTCAAGACGGGTCACCTGACATCCCTGCGACAAGTTGCGGTGTCATGTTATGTCGCATAATTGGCATTCAATGCTCGACACTGTTAGTGCAATGATGACATCGGTGATTTTTCGCATTTTACTGCTAAAAGGTATTGGTGGGAATCAAATATTACCGCTTAGGCTAGTGCTCTATGTGAGTGATTTCGACCGCATCAGCAGTCTTGACGACGGCCCTTTGATTCTAAGAAAAAGAAAGGAAACATCTATCATTGCTTGTTTGCACTAGTGTACGTACGTAGGTTTGATTTCACGCCACATTTATTGGGGAAATGCTTCCTGCCAAGTCAAGTCCACCAGTCAGAGAAGGAGCTTAGGTGCCATACCACGAACATGCTCTCCCTATGCCTATGTAGCACGGAAGAGAATAGAACAAACGGACGAAAGGGACGCTAGAGCCAATGCTACAGGCTACAGTCGTAAAAATACGGTTCAAGTCGTGGATGGCCCCCTTATTAAACTGCCGTGGACGCGGAGGCACACGAAGTCTGGCCGGCTGCCCCGGCCCTCGTACCTGTGCCGCTCCTGGCGGTAGCTCTGGACGCAGTCGTCGAAGAGCTTTTGGTTCATCTCCATGAAGAGCTTGAGGGCATTGTAGACCAGGCCATAGATGGTCTTGTTCCAATGGGCCTTGGAGTTGCGATACAGGGCGGGGAATACCACGGGCAGCAGCTGTGCCGCGTTGTCGCTCACCAGGCTCATGATGTACTCGTTGTTCCAGTAGTACAGCGCACGCTCGGCCACCTGGGTGCATCAATCGGACGAGAAGAGAGTCTTGTGGAACATGGGATCTAAAACTGGGTTCCTAGGAACCATGAGTACACCCCAGTGTTCCTCAGAATACCCCCTGGGGTTCTCCAAAGTAACCCCAGTATTCCCTCCATGGTTTCCCCAGAAAACCCCCAGGTGTTCCCCAGAGTACTTTCAGGTGTTCCCCGGGATACCCACAAGGTTCCTCCAGGATACCCCTAGGTTTTCTCAGAACACCCCCAGGCTTTCTCAGAATACACCCAGGGATTCTTCAGAATATCCACAGGGGTACCCTTAAGGGCGCTCACGAGATTTCCCCAACCATACCTCCCCTAAAGGGGTATTCACACGAAGGAGAAATCTGCCACTTTGCTCCGCGGACCGTGCATCACTTGAGACATAAGCCATCCTTTCTTGACGTCCTGCTGAACCGTCCTCCTTGGCGGAGGCGTGGAGGGTTCGTTCTGTTAGCACGAACGCTCTGCAAGTGGCCAGCAAAGTATTTAGCTTTTTGCTGCTTTTAGCGATATGCCTCGTCTGGCCATGGAGGCCTCCACACCCCCGTTAAATGGCAAAGTTAAATGACGATGCCACATTATTTTTTTATTTCCCCCGTTGAGAAGTTCCTGGCATTGTGTGACACAAGCAGCAATCTCTAGACGAAGACAAACATCAAAGCGTCGATATGGGAAACAATAACCGGAGAAATGCTAGCGCAGTTTCCGCAATGTGCACCGTACACAGTGGGTGAGTGACGTCTTTGTTCAATGCATACATTCGCTCTGCGGCTGCTGATATTAAAAACACTATAAGAACCTCATAGGACTCTTCATGTTTGTTGTTTGCTTCTGTATATGCGGACGGACGCAGGCCTGTAGTCGAACGAAGACATCATTGGGCACCCAAAAGAGTCTTAGATATTCGGCGGTGTCACTTTCGAGACGCTCTTCGTATAACTGGTTCTGTATCCCAACATCTTTGTTCTGCATCCAACTTTTCACCCAGCACCTTCTTTTAGCCAGTAGGATGTCGTCGCCATCCGGTTCTAGCAGCGCTGCTGCCCTAACGGCATGCCACCGTGTTGTCGAGAAAGCGGCCGCTTAATTCGTCTGGTAACATTTATATCCCTCACGGCTCCCCGCTGTCCATGTGACGGCTAGAGCTGAGGACAGAGTTTCGCGGGTTATTGACTTCACGACATCTGTCCGCGGAGTTCTCCTTTGCGTAAATACCCCTTAAGCAGGTTTCTTCTTAATTTTTTTTATTTTGCTCACTATTTTAGCAGCCTTGAGCCACCCATTGATGCATAACCACGGGCCAAACGTTCCTCCGCATACGCATTACTGTTTACGAAGTCGGTAAGCTTCCCTACAGCTTTACCGCCTCCATGCCAAAACCGGGAGGGGTTCCTCGAGTGCTCCTCGAAATTAAAAGGTCCCAGGACCCCTGTTGCATAAAATTGCACTGCCGGATCCACAACGTCCGCGAAATCACCAGACGTACTAAGACAACAAATTACTTGCCGTTTCGAAAGGGGAAGCAGTGGCTAGGTTTGGTGACACTGATAACCCCTTTGGCAGAAGGCAGTGGGTATTGCTCTACCGTCCCCACCTTGGTGCAAGCTTTCACCGAGAGAATCTGGACGCACGAAATGTACCCTACAAACGAGCACGAGAAACGCTTTGGGAGAGAAGCGCAGATTCGTCGAGACCACTAGCAGAACTTTAAGGAGCCAGCAAAATGTCTGATCCGCTTTCATTGGCTTGCAGTGCAAATGAAGAATGTGTACTTGTTGGGTCGATCGAGGATGTGGGCAATAAAAGATTAAATTCATCACTGCTCCGCCGACAATCAGCACTTTGAGATACCTTGCTCCCCAAACGACCGACACGCATGAAATATAGGGGACAAAGAGGGTCGATGAAAGAAAAACATCTCCCCGTGGTGAATGATGTTGATTGGGGCGAAGCTCTGGTGGTGCTGATGATACTGATTTTGTTCATAGGTAGTGCTCATGGTGCCGATTTTTTTTATTGCTCGTTTCATGCAACGTTTCATCCATGACATCCCCAGCTCTTGAGTTACTACCACAACTCGGAGCCCCCTACTCGTCCCGCAGTTGTGACCGAGTGGTTAAGGCGATGGACTAGAAATCCGTTGGGGTCTCCCCGCACAGGTTCGAATCCTGTCGACTGCGCAAACATTTTTTCTTTTTATAAGAAGACAGATGGGATGGCAATCGATGTGAGCACGGATGCCGGACGGACAAGGCTAGACCCTAAGGAGCTTCGCCCCTAAAAAACAAACATTGATTGATTGACTCACCTGAAAGTGTGGGGAGGCCACGCAGCGTGCTAGCTGTCGAAACAGCGGTAGCATCACCTTGGCAAACTCAGCCGGCTCAATCACGTCCAGAATCTCCTCCAGCTCGTTCAGGAACATCACCTCTTTTGGAGAGTGAACCTGGGGCGAGAGAAAGACGGCACCACATCAACCCTACACCCAAGTGGACTCTTGTTTCATGTTTTAAATCAAACTTGAGAGAAGCCCAATGCTTTTAAAATTCCCAAACACATTCCCTTAAAAAAAAAAAATTGAGCTGGCGTTAATTTGAAATTTAGGCATAATCTCGACGAGAGCAGAAATGCAGAGGGGGGCACAGCATGGGAGTGGTCTTCACTGCCTTGCACGAATGTCCATGCATCATGCTTCATTGTTTTGCACCTGCGTGCTCAAAGGAGCATCTTAGTTAGATAAGCGGACTCAAGTTTTGGGTGGGCGCTTGATATGTCCTTTGCTTATTTTTCAAGGGCATCCAAAAGGGCACATATTGCAATACGGATGCATACTTGCTATATTAGAGAATTAAAGTACCTCTTCTTCAAATGAATAAGCACGTTTTGTGAATAGTTCATCGCTTTGTAAAGAAGTTCTCACAAGATTTGGGTGTCACACGAAAACAACTGCATTTTGAATCAACCATGCAGGCTTTGATAAAATAACAAATGACTGATAAAAGGCACATGAAAGCATTAACCACCTACAGCGGGAGAACTAGCAATCCTCCTTCAGGAGTCGAACGTTTGAACTGCGGGAATGAGGTGAAGACAAGTACAAGAAACATGCCCATGAAACATTGGGAACATTGCAGGCATGCTCTTTAAAGACTTGGGAATGCACCAGGGATGTTCCCTAAGAATCTAGAGAATCAACCAGGGACATTCCTTAATGCAGTGGTTCTTCAATGGGGGTCTGCAAAGCCCTGCCTCATCAATCAAACCCAACAATACAATTTTTTTTTTTTTCTTTCAAATTGAGAAGAAACATTCCAATTTTGGGGTGAGTTTTTCTGTCTGCATGCCAATGAGAGAAGTCTGCTTCACACAGCCCTTGGTTACATCCATTCATTATATCATTATCATAATTCACCGATGCCTTTCCCTTCCCGTCACCACAAACAGGGTCCTCCATCATCTCCGCCAATCCACAAGGGGTCCGCAAACGGTTGAGAACCACTGCCCAAGGGACTTGGGCTACGCTCCAGGGACGTTCCCTGGGGCCCATGGAGCAGACAAACATTCCCCACCTTGGGCCAGAACTTGAGCAGGGCGAGGATGACCGGCTCGGTAAGGCTGGGCTCCTTCTCGAGGAACTGTACCACGCAGTAGGCCAGCTGCGGGTGGTACACGCTAAGGGACTTGACCTTGTGCAGGGGCATCAGCACTCGCAGCAGGAACAGCTTGTGCTCTTCCTTCAGGGGCAGCGCAAAACCGTTGATGATCGACCCTAAAATCTCTAGCAGCTCCGCCACCCCGTTGTGGTGCTCCGTCTCGTAGATGAAGCGGTAGAACATGTGGTTCACCTGAAACACCGCCGTCAAACAGGAACGTCAACACTTTCCCGCTTGTTGAGACAGATTTGCTCAGAAGCTTGCCCTCTTACATCACCACAAAAAAAGTCAGATTTGGAGTTTTTATAATGTGCAGTCAAAATCTCGGTTATACAGCACCTCCTCTGCAACAATTAAGCCTCCATCAGACGGAGGGCATCTCCGGCGGGGGTCAAACCTGTCCTTTACATCACCGTTTGCCCTACCATATGGCAGAAGACTGGTTTTTCTCAAGAAACGGATGATGAGAGAAGAGAGCATCATTTATCAGGCGCTTCTCGCAGTTTGGCCCATTTTCTTGGTTGCGCCAAGCAACCCAGTCAGCAGATGTTCAGCTGCACTAGTCTCAAAGCATCTGCACCTAAATAGGCCGTTTGGTTTGCCTGCTCCAGCCCACATCAATGAAGAAAAGTGGAGGACGGCGTACCTCTACCTCGTGATTTAAGGAAGCTGCAACTACAGACCTGCAGCTAGAGGCCCATGCATCAGCAAATGGCTCAGATCTAAAACAGTGTTTAAACTGGAAGAACGCTTTACTAGGGGACTTGACGACAGGGACCCTATGCCTTTAGCAGATGACCGAGATAGTAGCGACATCCTCATAACAGACAGCAACATATCATCAGCATATGACATGTCTTTAGCAGACATATCCTTAGCAGACGACAATATAGCTTTAGCAGATATTAGCAGATGACAAGATGCATTCAACAAACATAACCTTAACAGAAGACAAGATGCTTTTAGCAAACATATCCTCAGCGGACGACAAGATGCCTTCAGCAGACATGTACTTGACAGATGACAAGATGTCTTGAGCAGACATATCCTTCGGAGATAACAAGATGTCTTTAGCAGACAAGTCCTTAGCAGATTACAATATGTCTTTAGCAGACACTCATAGCAGATGACAAGCTGTCTTTAGCAGACATATCCTTGGCAGATGACAAGATGCCTTTAGCAGGTTACAAGATATCTTTAGCAGACATATCCTTCGCAAATGACACAATGCTTTTAGCAAATATATGCTTAGCAGACTACAAGATGTCTTTCGAAGATGTATCCTTAGCAGACGACAAGATGCCTTTAAAAGACGTATTCTTAGCAGATGACATGTCTTTAGCGGACATCCTTAGCGAATGACAAGACATCCTTAGCAGACATCCTCACTAGATGACAAGATGCCTTTAGCAGAGGACAATGTACCGTTAGCAGATGACAATGTAGGGTGAGCCGACGACAATGCATTGTTAGCAGACGACGCACATTCCAGCCCCGAGAAGGAAGGCTGGGGAGACCCCCTTCCTCACCTGCTTGCGAACATACGCCCGGAGCCCCAGGAACTTGCCGTAGATGCGGTGCAGGGTGGTCTTGAGGAAGTCCCGCTCCCGGGGGTCCTCAGAGTCGAAGAGCTCCAGCAGCTGGAGCACAAAGCGCTGGTCCAGGTGGCGCTTGGCAAGGGCTGGCTGGAAGTCTGGGCTCTCCAGGAAGCGCAGGAACAGCTCGTACACCAGCTGCAGGTGGGGCCAGGCCGCCTCCAGCGTCGGCTCGTCTTCCTCCGGGTCAAACTCGGCCCCGTTGGGGTTCGATGACGGGGGCAGGGTGCGAAACACGTTGGCCCCAAACTGTGATGCCAGGGCAAGTGCGGTCAATGGTATAAAACAAGCCATAACACAGTGCGATCCGGTTACAATGGAAACTCTCGATCGTCAAACAGCGACGATAAACAAAAAAAATGTGGTGCAATCTAACTACAGTGAAATTTCGCCGCAATAAAGACAAATAGAGTGAAGCAAAGTTAATGCCCGGGCTACTCATACAGGCATTCCAGCTACTGAAATAGTTAAGATTTTTTGAAACAAGGCCACCTTTCTCTCCCACCCTGCCCCAACCTCTCTATCCAATCACACCACCTTAGCAAGATGTCGAAGTATTAATTACATAAAGCCATTTTTTCTAAGGTTTGCCAAACTGATATGAATAAAACACAACTTCGAAATCCTAACTCGGGGGGCAACAATCCCTGTCCGATTACAACATTGAGTGTGGCAACAGATCTGCCAAGGACATCGTCACAGCACTAGCAAGGTTCCAAGCACACACGTCGCCAATCGAGCCCTCCTCCATTGAGAATGAGCCATTGAGATTACAAGTGCCAGAACACTTTCTAGCCATGGTGCCACACGTCATAGCTCCGGTACCTACTGGCACCGAAAGATTTCGTCACCAACGAGGAGGGCACGGGCACCCACCATGTGTATGATCTCGGGGTAGATGGGTTCCGTCAGCACGCCCCGCTGAGATGTGATGTACTCCACCATCTCGTGCAGTGCGGCCCGCTTCACCTCCTTCCATTTGAGGTCCGACAGCGGGTCCGACACAAAGTCGAACAGGACGCAGCACTGGCGAATCTTCTGCAAGGCGGCAGAGCGCGTCGCGGAACGTCAGGCTCCGAACACTTCAAACTCACTAAGTGTGAAACAAGAATGAGTTTTTGCTTGTGGATGTTTTTCTTGCGAAATAACGAACCTGATGACACTCTAACCACTTCTTTTCTTTCTCAAACATTTTTTTTTAAAACACAACGGCTGGTTCCTTTATTTTGTTTACCTCCTGAGCTGACAGTGCAGTGGGAGCTAGCTACGGGCTCACCAGACCAGTCGAATGCCTCCCTCTCATCAACTGACCCCCGCTTTCTGACCAAGGGTAAGGGCATGAGCGTCATCACGTGACAAAAGGTAGTAGTGTGGCTTCTGCAACGAGCGCATAGCTTTTACAACTTTTTCAGCTTGGGGATGAACGGAGTATGGCAGACTCATGTAATGCATCCCCATAATATGAGTGTTGCACGAAAAATTATTAGTATAATAAACTACTGAAGAAAGCGTGAAAGGACTCGCTTCCGAAACGAGGTTCCTACAACTGCGAATGAAGTGCTGAACCAATTGGGCCAACAGGGTAGCGAGTCAAATGTCGTCGCAATGTAGCAAGCACACTTGCACACATCGCGGGAGGGTGCGCGGAAAGCAAGGGGGAGAAGAGAATAAACACAAGCTTTGGAGGACAGCGGGCGATGCAATATAGCGGGGTCAAAGCCGGGGCTGTACGACCACAGGAGACACAGACTTTGCGTTCCACCCCCACAAAAGCGCTAGCTTTGCCAGGGCTGTCTTTAAGGCCCGCTTCAGACGGGGCAATTTCGCCCAGCAACTTGACGTCGCAACTCCAGCAACACGGGCCGCCCGCGTTCACACGCAGCAACCGAATTGCTACGACTTGCTATCATCATCATTCACTTTGAATTTTCTTACACCATTTAGACGCCCAGCTACGCGCTAAAAGCGTGTTTTTATACCTTTGAATGGCGTTGAGAATACCACTCATCTTTCTGAAAAGGTTTATTTCCAAAAACGATAGATTTCAAACCAGAACCAAGTCTTTAGCTGTCATCATCACCACCACGGGGGTGTCATGTGAAAATATTGCGTCCCTGATTGGCTGCTGCCGCTTCAAACGGCTCCGAGTTGTTCGAGTTGCTCGTCCTGTTCGAGCCGGACCCGATCTCAGCAATTCGTGTCGATCTAGGGAAAGCTAGGGAACAACCCGCCAGCAACTTTAAAATTGCTGGAAAAGTTGCCCCGTCTGAAGCGGGCCTAAGACACGCCATGCACGACAAGTCCGTGCCGTCGAAACGCAAATTGTATATTAAGTATTTCATTTCATTTATTAGCCACGTTGAAGCGGGACGGCAGGGACAAAAGGTGAATAATAGCACCTGACCAAGGTCCTGTGCCTCAAACAGGTTTCAGAGTGGCACAGCAGATACAAAGCACACACAAGTTAGTTAACAAGAAAAAAAGAAAGATTGTCTTACATTTCTATGCAACATGTTATTCATGCTCAAGAATATAATTTCTTCTTTTTTTGAGTGTCTCTATGAACTTTACCCTTTTACCTGTATCCAGAATTTGAGGATGCATGTTTAGGAGTTGGGAAATTTGCTGTGTTTGTTCACTGTGGCTCATACACATTTGTCTTTTAGCATATTTCACAAATCATGTTTTAGGGAGTATTTCATTAAAGGAAATTAGGTTACCGTTGCCCTCGTTCCTACAGTGCACAGAAGTGGAAAAAAATATTTTACTAATACAAAAAACTTGGGATGAAAATTCAAACATGGTGTGCCATTATCAAAGGACTTTGATGGCTCTTCTAATCTACTTTTTGCCTTTTCTCTTCCATATGACGTAACGGTAGGTAGCTTTGGAGGGCCTTCATTCGGAAACCCAACAAAAGCAGGGCTCCCTCTTTCCGTCCTCCTAATGGATTATCCGTTTAGCCGACTCTCGGGCAACAAATAACAAAGAAGTTATACCAGTTGCCAAGCGTCCAAAGTAACAAACAAACAAAACCCTCTGCAACTAATAAATTCCCGAAGCACACAGGGTGTCGTCATAGAAATGCGACGGCGATGTAATCCACGCGGAAGAGAGGCTCAAATCCGGTTTTCACAGTCAACATCTGTGGCACAGCTCCTTCAAGGTTCACAATTTGTTGTTTGAACGAGCGACGAGACAACGCAAATCCCTGCGGCCAGAAGCCGTTGTATCAAGGCCAAGCACAATGTTGAAAAAGGAGAGGTACTCACAATTGTGAATGCGGAGTTACTTTTTAGAACTTATTACAGGTATGAGTTGTGTTCAGCCTTCGTCGTGAGACGACAGCAAGGCCTTATTTCATTCCTGGAGCAAGAATGTCTGGAACCAGCAAGGGCTACAGACGGTTTGCCGGGACTCTCTTCTTTTTTTTTTTTTTGTTGGCCAACACATACAACTTTCTTGATATTCAAACAGACATTGATCCGTCACTTCTCCGGATTTTTCGAACCCCGGTCGGCTACTGGTGAGGTTCACCGTTGCTGCCCAGTCAATACTCCCAACAGTATTACGGAAACAAACACGCAGTTCACAACAAGGGGTAAAGCAGTTAGCAAATTTTGGGGGGCTTAGGTGCTCAACCCACAAAAGGTATCTGGCACGCCCCAGCAAAGAACTGGGGATCAATTTACACCGTATGGGAATTGACAAGCCGTCAAAATCTCCGTTGGGTGGAATGGCGCCTTCCCCCCAACAAGCTTCGGTCATTTGGGCCACGAAGCCCTGACCCTACATCTCTGTTGCAAAAAAACAAAAAGTTGCGACTAATGGCTAAAGCATTCTTTGCTAATGCATTCTTTCCTTAAGACATGCATTATTTTACAAGTTTCAATATCTAGTTTGCCACTGTTCATGGTGTCGGTAGAATGTCTAAGTCCCGTGTGTTACTCCAGTTGAACAAGCTATTCAAAGAAACAAACTTTTATGAAATCTCCCAGCAAAACTCCATAGTGTCCAGTGCATTCAGCCAAGTGAACTTCATTTAAGCAAACTTTTTCTTGAAGCTCCTTGAAGTTTGTTCGTGTTATTTCACAGCAATAGCGCTACATATAGTATTTTCCCGCTTGGGTTAATGCTCATCACACAGTCTTTAAAATCTGCTGGCTGCTTAATGGTACAATTCTATCTTTGTCCCCAATTAACACGGTTTTTAGTTACGCATTTGGAAGTGCCTGCCTAACCCCGAAACCACGTGCACCGCAGGAGGTGTTGCTATTTGATACGTCTTTGGAAAACTATAAACATTATATTGGCATTGTGTTTTGCTTTGCTGGGGCTATTTATAGTTTTCAAATGAGATGCTCCAACTTTTAATGCATACCAGAATTGAAATCGGCAAGGAAAGCTTACCATTCAACGAAGCTCCGTAAAGTACCTCCAGATTGCAATCTGGAACTGTGAATATTGCGGAAGCGGATGCGCCAAAATAAAACCGAATGGAGAAAAGGTGTAGACTTTTTAATTGTAACATTTCCATAGGATGCTTCAAAGTGTGAACAGATTGCAAGCACTGCAACTGCTCTTGCAAGATACCAAGGGAAAAAACCTGTGCACTGACCCGTGAAAGGGTCAAAGGCATGCATTTACCTACAAGTTTCAACAGAAAGTCCGCCACTGTTCGTGGCGTTGGTAGAATGCCCGATCCCGCATGTTGCAGTCTATGTTTGTCTAAAACTCCTAGAAGATGCTGCTCTAACAGCCACTACAATACAGTCACTACAACAACTCGCCTGGATGAGCAGGTCCTCCCGCTCGGCGGGGGGCGCGTCCTTGAGGGCGGGCAGCTTCTGGAGCTCCCGGTTGCGGCTCACGTTGAACCGCGACGAGTTCTGGCGCTTGTCCTTGCGCAGGGCCGCTCCCGGCGGCGCCGCACCACCCGTCAGCTTCGACTTGGCCAGCAGGTTGGCTGGGGGGGGCGCCGGGCCCCCCTTGGGGCCGGGAGGGACCCGGGCCGCACCGCCCCCCCCGCCGACGCCACCACCACCGCCGCTGTTGTTGTTGCACTTGTTCATCTGGCAACAAAGATAAAATCCGATTTGAGGGACTTCGAGCCAAACCAGTAAAGGGCATCAGCACGCCCCAGCGGAGGATCGAGGATTCATTTCGACTCCCTGGGGATCTTCCACGTGCAACCGTAAGCTCCGCCAGAGTGCGGGCACCTCGGCCGGGGCTCGAACCCGCCACCTGGGGATCCGTAGGCTGGAACTTAGCCAGAAAAGATCCAGCCAATTAGCTTGAAAGGTAAAAGTGTCTTAGCCGAGTGGGGTGGGGACAAAGACGGGAGAGTGTAAGCAAAATAATTGTAAATGTTGAGATCGACGGCTTCGAGAGAACGAACAAAATACCGACCAGAAGGAAGCAGACGAGACGTTAGGTGTGTTCGTGTTGCCATGATGCATTTCAAGTTGTTTGACTGCTTGTCAACTTTAGATTTTCTTTATAGCATTCATTACAAAGAGATATTTTTCATTTTGCAAAAAGCAGCCAAAAAAGCTGTGTTCATTAACGGCCCAAAGTCAATTTAGGCTTACTGGGACAACCAATGTTTGCATCTGTGCCACACCGTTCTGCGGTAGCAGAAACACATGGGAAAATGGCGGACCTTTTCCTCTAGATTTATTATGTGAACTCATCTTAGCATGGTGACACGGGGTCACTTTGTGTCACGGTACTTCTCTTCTTTACTTTGACACATGTGAAGGAGCGTCTTTCAACTCGAGCCTTGATCTCCGACCTGTACAACAATGCCATTTTGGTTTGAGCTGAACCTGTCATTTTCCCTGAGTTTGTGTAATGTAGGTTTTAGTACTACGAAGAGATGCATCACTCTAGGAAGAACAATAATGATGACTCGTAGTACAAGCTTGTGTTCAATCGATGCCAGGAATGTTTGGTTTGCCTAGATTGCCCTGTAGTGGCAGAGAAAGAGTTTCACTGAAGTATGGCAGACTAATGAATCCGTTGTGTGAAAGACCCATTCGAAATGCCTCGTGACAGGAATTCGCCATTCACATTGCTAGGGGCCGTTTCCAGCACCCTTCGAGGGGCAGCCTGACCTTGGTTGGGTTACCAATGCATTTCTGGCACACGCTAAAGGAAAGGCCACACTTTAAAAACCCATAGTGCGGGTCTATGCTTCCTGCACTGGTGACGAGCGCTCTATGAACGAATTGGGTAAACCTATCGTTCATTACACTTTATGTGCGAGTGAAGCCGAAGCTACGAGTCTGAGCGGGTTGCCCTGAACGATGCTTGCACCGCAGAAGTGCTTGGCAGGAATACTAAAAGCTCAGAACTCAATCTTGTAGCTTCTCCTACGCTTGCACTCAAAGTGAAACGGAGCTGAGAAACTGAAATAATAGAAATATAAACAAGGAGAAATGCACAAACAAGGTACCACATTATATTGCCAAGGAAAATGAGAATTCAAAGCAAAAGGACTGCCTCCCATGCGCTCATTTTTCTTTTCCTGGAGGGGAGAGGCTTTTACGAGGCTGTGTTCATTCATTATTTCATTCTCTCGTTGCAAGGTGCATTAGATCCGCATAGAAACATATGCGAGATGTGAAAATGTTTCTACCCTGCTAAAGGGCACTTCACATTCAAACGTAGCATGGCTATGTGCTGACAAATGCTAGTAAGCTGAGTGCGCAGTGGCTAGGGGTACGGCTAAACCAATGAGGTACAAGACAGAGTGAAGTTAGCCCGAAATAATCAGCGCTACGTCGACGGCATGAATGACCCCTGCCAAGAGGCTGCTCATGACATTTCAACGCAGCTTCGACGAGCACGAGTCAGCGGTCTGCCCGTACACCTCGGACATCGCACGAGAAAAATACGGACGCCTGCGTAGCCGGTTAAAGGGTCGCGAGCCGTACGTTCGCCAGATTCCTCGGCAGGACTTTTGAAGTTTGACATTCAGGGCCGTCTTCGCGCCGACGGACGCCTAACTCGAACCCGCGCTCGCCATACGGAGACACGACGCGTCTGTCGAGGGCCCTTCGTGGGTACAGGCCCCGGTCAAAAACTGGCCCGGTGTCCAAGCGCTCGACGCTGGCAGGCGCCATGTTGAGGGCTCCGACCGAGTCGACGGAACACACGGACAAACGTCCCAGCGGCGGCGGACGCTCGGACGGCAAAACGAAGACAAAGCGGCTCACCTCTTCCGCGTTTTCCTGCGCCTCCTTGCCATTCTTGGATGCCGTGCCGGCGTTCGTTTTCACGGGCACCTGCGTTACAGAGCCGACTACGTTACGGGGAAAATGGGCCTAGGCCTAACGCCAAAATAAACACACTGGCACCGCTGCGGAGCGCAGGGGCTGCTGCGTGCACGTTTGACGTTACCGGCGCAGCGTACAAACGGCGCCGTGCGCGTCGGCGACGGGCCACCGCACTCGCGGACACCCACCTTCTCTTTGTCAGTCCGATTAGGCATTATTTTATTGAAAGTACGCACGCCATCGGCGAAAAACAACTGCTCCGGATCGGACGTACGACAGCTAACCACTGACGCGATGGGTTCTCGAGGAGACACGTGACCCGTGACGTTACAGTCCGTCGCTGTACGTCATCAGAGGAGTTGGGAGTGGTCGACCCAGGTCGACCTACGTGACTCGCGGAGACTCCTCGTTCAAAAAGCGCCGTTCCCGCTCAAATGTGTCGGCGGTCAGCCGGTCAGCGTCGACGCGGTTAGCGTGTTGACAAACCGAAACCACGCTCAGCGTGGACGCGTTTATGTATGAAACCCACCTGAAATTGGATCGTAGCAAAACTGTATCCGCGGCGGCGTGTCTTGGTACCTTATTGCGCGCTTATCAGCGGCCTCGGTAACTGTTCGCACACTTGCAAGACATTTTGGTAAGAGGGAGTGGAGTGCAGCAGAGCAAGAAATTGCTGACAGTGATGGATGGCAGACAGCTCCATTGATGGCCGCCTGCCATCGACAAGACATTACACGGAGCATAGACAAAGCCGGCATCATCTTTCATCTTTATTTACACATAACAGCCTCACAAGGGTAGGCGTAGTCTCCACGAGTGCAGCGGCGGAGACCCATCCAAGGTGCCGCAAGCGTCGTTTCGCGCTCGTAAGGTGGAGTAACAGCTCTTCTAGATTGTTCCTCGGCAGAATGCGGTTGAGATCCTAGGCTCGGGACCATCAGACTGCCGTGGAGGAGTTACCACCTGTGCCGTTGCGTCTGCTGTCTGCCCCGGACGAATGTGGACTGGATCGGTGGGGCCTTCCATCTCCTGAGCAAATCAAGAATAGACACGTCTGGTTGGAGGTTGTCGCACTACGCGGAGCGCAACTTCGTCTGCTTCTTTTGCAGGGGTTTGGGGTGACGTCAGAATGCTGTGCTCTGATTGGTTCTGGTTGAAGAATAGTGGGAAGACCTCAAAGCAGCTTGGCTTTGAAGTCTATCCACTATCCTTCAATCAGCCAATCAGAGCTTGGCATGCTGACGTCACTATAACCCCTGCAAAAGAAGCAGATGAACTTGCGCTCCACATAGCTAGGGTCGTTGCTAAATATGAAAGACACTCGGCAATAAAAGTTTCGTTAATTGAAATCACAACAGAAAAAAAAAAGAAAGTTGGAAAAGATTTTATAGCATCACACTTGTCGCTTTTCTAGCTTTAGACGATAATGAAAGAAGGGCTTAATGTTGATGTCAGTTCAGGACAAGGGGTCAGTGTTACTATATTTCTCCAACATAAGGAGATTAAATCCATGGTGAAGGATGTGAAGGAGTTAGCCGAAGTTCCGGTTTCAAGATTAAACTATATGGTAGTATTTTACCTTCTTATTGGAAGGAAAAGCCAGTGCTTTTATAACAGCGGACGCCATGATTCCAGAGTATAAATACTGCTCATAATTATAATGGCTTGCTGTGTCTTTCTATTAATAAGTGAAAACTTAAATGACAAACGCCGAATTTGCAATACAAATTAACTCCGAAAAACACCCTCCGATTTTTACCAAAAATAAACTCAGAAAACACAGATTTCTTCTTGGTAGAAGAGCGTGTTGGTTTAAGTCATGGATGAAGAAAGAATAAACAATTAAAACAGGGACAACACAACCACATCTTTCAAAAAAGAAAGAAAAAAGGAAAGATGTGGTTGTGCTGTCCCCGTTTTAATTGTTTATTCTTTCTTCATCCATGGCAGATTTCTTACTGTACAATCCGCACAAACTACTGGATGTCTAATTTTAGCACATGGACTGGCGCAGCCTGTTTTAGTTTTGGACAAAGAACTAATTAATTGTGCGACAAACGTGTACTTTAACAAATTTTGAACTCCCGTATGCCAAGCGACTAAAACTATTTTCCACCTTACAGAGGTCCAATTTTCAAGCTCGTTCAGTTAGTTCAGCACAACTGACAAGACAAGAGAATTCATCCATGTAAAAAAATGCCCCCCCCCCCCCCCCCTCCTTCACAACCCCCCAGGAAAACTCCCCATCGGCCTGGACTCTTCCCACTTGTGTGTCGAATGCATCACAACCACTAGAGTAAATCAATTCAGCTTTTCCCTACTTCCAGGTCCTTTCCAGTGAGTGAGTAGAGCAATCGCTCGCAACACCCCCTCCCAGCTGCAACACAAAGCGGGCCTGACAAGATGCCGAGGGCAGACAGAAAGCTTCGTTTCCAGAGGGGGTTCTGCCTAAGGTCCAGCTGTAAGATATCCCAAAACATGTGTCAGCCTCTCTGCGAGAAAGAATAGCCTCAATCACTGAGGAACCAATTTACATCGTCCACTTACTAGAGAGACACTGAAATTACCATTTCCCAGAAAATTATCCACCTTAAAGAGAATGGTGAACGGCAAGCCAGTATATTGGGGAGTCTTAGCAGACTGTCGTTGCATTTCGACGGCAACACCCAACGCTCCACCAATGCCTTAATGCACGCATCACATCATTATTGGGTGCTGTTGTCGTAGCACAAAAACAATCTACTACAACTAAAATTTTCCGCGACACATATTCCAAACGCATATACTTGCGCTAAAAAAAAGTGGTCCCTCGATTTCCGCCTGATGATGTCCTAAAAGTGTCACGCTGTCACAGGCCGCGATCCTGGCTGCGCCGCAGCAGCCGTGGCGGACGTAGCAGACGCCCGTTCCGCCACGGGTTGCTTTCTGGCTTGGCAGTACACGGAAGTTTTGGCAGCCGGGCCAGTTGGGGCGCCACGACAACGGCGAATCTCGCATTCTCTCGTGCTTTTTATGCACAACTGCCAGCATCTCGACATCCGACGGCGTGACACTCTGGCCTTTGCGACGCCGTTTGTTGCCATTCCAGGACCGCCTTCAATGCGCGGGTGGAATGGGACGCACTGCACGTGCATTTACAGTAGGGTGCGGGGACCCACCCGAGCCGGTGGAAGACGCCTGGTGGCTGCGCACTGGCCGCGGCAGAAAGGGCGGTCCGCCCCGGGGGTCCAGGAAGTGGGGAAGGGGGGGAGGGGAGCCCCTGGAGTCCCTTGACCGTGGAGACGGAGAGTCCTCCCTGCAGGTAGACACGCACTCCGGAACCGTGCAAAACTAATGGTCCCACATTTCTCCCCAATGGGGGAAAAGGGGCGTTATAGCATTCCAGGGAATAAGCTTCCCTGAACCATGCTCCCACCAAGAAAGGATGTCGTAGCATTCCTAATTTGAAATCAGCTTCCCCAGGTTATAGTGCCCAACTAGGCAAAAACGGTGCCATAGCATTCACTAACAGGGAATAATTTATTCCAGGTCATGATGCCAACTAGTCAATTCCCTAACAGGAAATAATTCCCCCCAGGTCAAGGCAAAAAATATGCCACAACGTTCCCGAACAAAGAATGATTTCCCAAAGGGGAAACATGGGTCATACTTCCCAATAGAAACTAAAAGACTGCTATTTCATTCCCTAACAGGGAAAGACCTTCCCCATGACTGTACTCCCAGCAAGTCCATCGCTTTTTCTCACCTGAAGGAGCCCGGGCTGGGCCTGAGCCTCTTGAGCAGTTCTGGGGGCGGCGGGGGGAACGGGGGAAACATGGGGGGCCCCATCATGGGGTGCAGGGGGGGTGGAGGAAGGGGGGGACCCCCCAGCCTCCCCAGGGGCGGGGGGGGGCGGCAGCAGGCCGTGGGGTAGCGGCGGCTGGGTCAGCCCCTCCGGCATAGTGTCCCCATGCACGTGCTCAATGTCCCCGGGTGGCGGCGGCGGCGGCCCAAAACCTGCCGGCATCGAAGGCCGCACGTCAGTGATAAGACACTTCACACACAAAGGAAAGTTGTTCAAAACCTCCCCAACACACCCCTAAAAAAAGTTATTTTTCTTTCTGTGTGAAATATTCCAATGGACAAGACACCGACCGCACAAAACGATTTCTGCAGTCATTTTGTGAGAAAAGCGAAACCAAGTCGTAATGAAGCTTGGGGACCGGCTAGAAGGAATGTGTCTTCCGAAACTCTCAAGGTCACTTCCGTCGTTTCGTTAGCTGCGACTAAGCGTTCGACATTCCTTTAGATCGATGTACTACAGGTGTTTTGGTGTACCTAGAAATAATGTTTATCAAATGTGTTTATGTTTATTGAATTCTGTAAACAATCGCCAGGAACTATAACAACTGTATAAGTACACCATCTTTACACCTGACAGAAAAAGAGAAAACATTTTTAAGCACCTAGGAGATCGGTGCGCGTGATTTGGGAAATTCGGTGGTGCTAGAGGTTGAAGAAGACAAAGTTATATAAAAAGAGTTGTCAGTCAGCGCGGTTTGTTTGAATTTTGCTTTATTTTTCGTGTGTAAGGTGGGAGTGTTGTTTGCTATAGTGCGCTGTGGTGTGTGTAATCTGTAAACAAGTTTATTTTCGAGGGCTCAACATATTGCAAATTGTGCGTTTTGGAAATATTTCGCAGACACAAAATTTCGCAATTCGAAGAGGTATATTATGAATTCGTCAACCCAGAGTAAAGGCCCATTCACGCACTAGCGACTGCTTACGACCAAAGAGGCTAAAAGCTGCTTTTAAGCTTTTCGTGATGGCTTACGACGGGCTCCGCAGCGGCGCAGCCAGTCGTCGGCCGTCACAGGAGACTGAAAAACCGGTCTCTCAGTTGGTCGTAGTCAAATGCAAGTTAATGAACGGCCTCTAAAGGGGCACTCAAGTACTTTTTGCGGAAGCTCGTATTTAATGGCATATTGTTTGTTGCACTGTATTCAACAAAAACAACCAGTTCTAGATGGCAAAGACGTCCGAGTAAACTCGCAGCAATGCAGAGTGCAAGTTCGTCTGCTTCTTTTGCAAGGGTTGTGGTGACAACAGTGCACCGACCTCTGATTTCCTGTGATAGTGTGTAGACCTCAAAGCAAGCTGCCTTGAGGTCTACCCACTATCTTCCTAATTAGAGCCAGTAAGAGCTCTGCATGCTGCCCCATAGAAATACACGGGCACCATTTTCTCTTAGGGGGATCATCCTGGGTCCCCACCACATCCATAAAAATTTGACCAATGAAAATAGTTAACTGCCTGGAGATTTCAAACATTAGTATTATTACTCTTTTTAGGCACGTTGTGCATTATAATTTGACAAAAACGTCAAATCTTTGGGCGTAGGAGACGTCGTGCAGTAACCATTGTTTGAAAAGGCCGTCCGACAGCGCCCCCTGGGTGGAAAAAGGGTTGCGTCACACACTTCAATTAGATTTTCAATAGAGAAATCGGTTGCCCATGAGTTTAATTTTTGGTTTTCTGAGGTGCTTGGAGCCCGTAGATTGTGTTATCTCTATAAACAGAAAATCTAAAAATCTGCTTGTTAATATATTCGTGTGATCTGTTTTCCGCAATTATTTTCAAGTCGTGAAATTTAGGTATTTGGCGATAATTAAGTTGTTTACAGTATGTTCCTCAGACAGCATATTACTCCTAAAATATTTATTAGAGGTTCGTGCTTATCGTATATGGCTGAAAAAAAAAAAAAAAAAAAGAGCACCACAAGGCAACCGACAGTCAAGAATCAAAAGGTTTTCAAACAACCTTTTTATTAAATGTATGTCTTCTCGGTTGTCTGGTTCTCTAAATATCTAGTCATGAGGAAATGCCTTGTCAGAGGTCCTTTAAAGGGATACTAAACCGAAACTTCAAGCCCACAAAACAAGGCTGGACGGACAGGCGGGGCGCTGCAGAACCCCAAAACATCGCTCATACAGCGATATCTCTAATGGATTGTCGTATTTTCGGAAAAGAAGTGCGCGATTGAACACTGCCGAAGAGGCCGACGAGACATGTCACGTTACAATTCTCATTTTCTCTTCTCTTCGCTACGTCCCGTCGAGCTGGTGAACCGAAGCGAGGAGGAGAGAAGCGAGGCCGCTTCCTCTCATTCTTTAATTCTCCCAGAGAACAATGACGTCAAAGAACTCGCCTGATGGTGCCCTTCTTTTCCAAAAGTATGGCCATCCGTTTGAGATATCGATGTACGAGTGATGTTTTGGAGTTTGTAGCACCCCGTTCAATGCTTCTGTGGCCTTGTTTTGTGAAATCTAAATTTCGGGTCAGTATCCCTTGAAGGCCCACTCATACAGTGGTGTGCGGCTACCTTGCAGGGACCTACATAGAACTATGGCCGCGAGTTACCACGGCAACAAAGCATGACACTCGGTTGCCGCGACGACTCGGCATCGTATCTCAACGTAGGACCCCGTAGGGTAGTCCAATAGTACCGTGGAAGTGGGCCTTAAATCTTTGAGGACCTTTTTATTGGGAGGTAAACATCAGCACTTTGTGGGCATTACTGAAAGGAGACTATTCCCTTTCCATCTCATAAACTGGACCACAATAAACTTTCTGTACTGTCTGACTGCTCCTCTGCTGCAAACATGTTCATAATAAAAAAAAAAAGTTTTGTATTTGACGTTTAGGATTATAAATACCAAGCACCTTACCCCCTAAGATGCAGATTAAGCACGAAAACATATTCAAGATATTCCTGAAATCCTCGAACTGATGTATAATCACAACCCCCATTCCCGGGGCTCGCAGCTCACTTATGTCGCTCGTTCACCAACAGGTCGGGTCATACTCACTGTTCATCATCTGCTCCCTCTCGAGCAAGGTTAGCCTGGAACAAAAACAATGACGCACAATTTCACAAACTAGTAGTGCACAGTTTGACTCCAAATTGAGCCCAGACAGACAGAAGTGTCCATTGATACCGCCATGCTATGTCTTCTTATAATGTCCTATGCAACACATAAAGGCCCGTTCATACTCTTGCGACCTCTTAAAACTGGGTTCCTTGAAACCTCTTACAAGAGGACACACTGGCGCCATCTATTGGGTAGCAGTGTAAACTTGGCGGTCCGGCATATTTTTTATTTCTCTCGCACATTATCCTTTCTTTCTTGGCTCGAAAAACTTTTGTCAACGTCATAACGAGCCTTTCTCATAGGTACTACGCACATTTGACCTCGGAAATCCCGCAAGACCTTCGCTCTAGAGAAACGCAGTTCCAGGGTCACTGCATAGATGGTGCCAGTGTGCGAGTGTGTTCTCTTGTCTTAAGAAATTTTTAAGAGGTTTCAACAAGTCTCGTCTCTCTTGGCCGTACTCGGTTGCAAGAGTGTAAACGGGCCTTAAGGAGCCAATAACATCCAATTTTTCTGTACCGCCAGAATATTTATAGTAATCGCGGCACAATTATGTCGTCACAGTCAAATCCTGCTAGAGCTAACGGCGTTTCAACGAAATTTCTGCAACAATGAACTGCTTTCAATTCCCCGTCACTCGTCCATAAAAGATAGTGTTAAAAATTCTCTCCACAACGAATGACTTTTCGAACGTCGCCTCACTTCAACAAAGTTTTCGTAAAGAAAAGCTAAACTCAATCATTTACTTATAAAAAAAAATATATATATATTGTTTTTGCTGGCATTTAAACGCATCTCTGGGAAACACGCGTGGTGTGAAATGGCATTTTCCCCGTGCATCGGCTCGTCCCGCAACGAGCCGAGTCCCTTACCTCTGTCGCAGATTTGCAGTCTCCCTGTTGGCGTCCTCTAACTTGCGCTCAGCTGCCCTCGCTGCCAGCTGGAAACGGCAAGAAGAGTCTCAGGCGGTGCGGCCCAAGTTCACGCCGAAAGAGCCACACAAATTTTAACTTGCAATGCCAAGGTTTGTTTCGGACAGAGGCGTCCTCGCTAGCACCACCCTCTGCCAGAATTCTCGACGCACCCGACTTCATTCCCCGAATCTCCTACCCCGTCTCGTTTTCGAACCTCCCCAACCTTGTACGCGAGTCTAAAATTCCAAAGAGTGGAAGCAGGCGTCATGGAAGGGTGGCACCTCAAGCGTAACCAGACATATCAAGGAAAAAGCACCGAACGAGCACGTGCACGTGTACTATTATCGCCGCCACGAGCCGGAAAATGATCGTGTGAAAGGCACAAACAGCAACGAATGGAGCCCAAGACGCTTTCATCGGAGGTCTAGACATGCTTGCAGGTACGGCTTCAAGGTGCCGCTGTCTTGCTCAGTTGCGCTTGGGTGCGTCATGAGCCGATTATGACGCCTTAGCAAGGCACTCGTAGTCGGATCACAACTTGCCCAGGCGCGCCCAAACTGAGCAAGATGGCGGCACCCCCAGGCCATGCTTGCAAACGTGTATAGTTCGAAGGCATTATTATTGAAGGCATTATTACGTTGTTAGTCGGGCGGGCCGATTGTTAATCGACATAGTACAGTAGACTCTCATTAATTGAGACATCAGGAAGACGAGAGTTTTGTTTGAATTATCAGAAATTGATCTGATTATGAGGTAGGATACAATTATAATTGATTATATGGATGGCTATGCATACAACACAGATATCCAATGATTTTTTCCTCTACGCAGGCCTACTAATCATAAGCAGGCATACTGCACACAAAATATTGGTGAAATGTAAGACATAAGTTTATTCATCCCTCATAAATGTTGTTCATCGTAGAGTGTTCAGACAGCACATGACACCTCAAAACAAAATTAAGTTTGTTCATCCAGCAAAAGAAGTTCTCTATTGTGGCCTATTAAGCAAGAGAGAGATGAGCAATAAAAACGGGTGCCGTACGGCAGTTTCCATAGAAACTTGTGCAGACGCAGTGACATGGACTTATGCCGTGCCGCCACGTCACGGCGTCCGCGCAAGATGCTACATAAACTGCCGCATGGCACTCGTTTTTATTACTTATGTGTCCCCTGCTTTAGCCCCGATGAGTGCGCTTCTTTTCGAGCACGGGTGCATTGCGGAGAAGCAACACCCGCGAAAGAGAGCCCCGCGGGCGTTGCTTCTCCGCAGTGCACCGGTGCTCGGAAAGAAGCGCGCTCAACCGGGCCGCGAGAACGAAAAAGCAGGAATTACCCGAAAACGCCTTTCGAATTAAGTGGCTTATAAATACATTAAAAACACAGCGAGGCAACCCAAATCTTGAAATTGGTTTGAATTAACCAGAAGATTGAAATATCCGAGTCTTAATTATCGCGAGCCTATCAATGAAGGCAAAAAAAGAACAAACAGCCTCAATCACGCCAGAGAGCTATCTAATCATTCTCTTCCTTATCAAATGCTGTGAAGGCCAGCACTCCAGACGGCGTGGAATAGGGCACAGTTAGCAGTTCCAGAGAGGTCAACGCCAAGAACGTGCTGCGTCTCAGACGGCGTCGCCGACGACTCACCCAGTTCTCGTGGGCCCTCTTCTCCTGCTCCGTCAGCTGGTTCTTGTAGTTCCGCTCCGACACCTCCATCTCCTGCTTCAGACTCGCCAGCTGGGAGCTGCGTGGGCCATGTGGGACACCTGAGCTCCCTCGACAGCTTACTCTGCCTTCACCCGAATGCACCGGATCCTTCTGACATCCACTCCACTAAGGCAATCGCTCGGCAGGAGGGCAAAAACCATCTGCAGTACTACTTTAATAAAAATATGAAAGATACTCACCGGTAAGATGCATTCTGCTGCTCGAGCATTGCAAGGCGCTGCGTGGCAGAGCCCACGTCCGCTTCCTTCTGCTGGCGCTGCACTTCCTGCACCCCTATCTCCCTGCATGGCCGTGGCATCAGATCAACGCGCTTGCGTCGGTACACATTAATGTTGCATAAAAGAAGTGTGGGGTAAAGTGCTTGTAAAGACATTTTGACGTAAAGCACAAAGTGGCAAGTAGACTAGAAAAAAAAAAATTTGTTTGCCAAAGAAAAAAAAAGGATAACTTTTGGAGAAATTATAGGATATACTGAGTAACCAAAAAGTAACATAAAAAGGCAATGAAGCTGTTCACCTCTATTTGTAGTTAAAGCAAAAAAATTGCCCGGTGAAAACCTACATAAACCTACATAATGTTTACCAAAAGTAGAACATGACCTCCCAGTAGCGAGAACTTATATTGTGCAAAGGTTATAATAAAGCAAAAAGAGTTTTAAGTCTGCTTGCGGAACTAATAAAAGCAGTTGAGGTACTGGTGCTATAGGAAAGAGTGTTTCTGAAAACAATGGGGCAGTCAAGTCTCGTAAATATGGACTCATCTAATGCCCAAGATATTGTCCTCATTTCGAGTCGTTCGCAATAGCGAGATGAAAATGCGTGAATTCCCCTGGTTTGTCTCCGAAAGTTTTGTTTAAGTTGCGGGGAATTCATATTAACAAGACAGACTGCATAAGGATTCTACCGTAATACACAAGAACTATGGATACCGAGTTGGCTGTGGACACCAGACCAGTGCGTAACGAGTTACAAGTGACGCGCGACTTCCATCTAGTAGTTACTTTTTTTGGTAACAACGTAGTTACCAAGTTACTTTTCGAGTGAAACAATGAGCAAGGTGTTTTCGCTACCTTTTGAAGGAGTAACGAGTGATGGTATTCAGTTACTCCTGAAGAGGGGTATGAAAGAAGTTACCCTATTCAGTTTTCACCTCAGCCCACGTCTGTGACTTTCAGAACCAAGAAAACAAAAAAGATGCCTGCGAATACGTTCAGAAGCTAGGCATTCTTAACGACACAAAATCTTGGAAGACAGCTAGAGCTTCATAAAAACGACAGACCCACAGAAACGATCGAGAAGCTAGCCCAATACTTTTCAGCAGGAGTAACGTATTCCTTTTGAATCTTGCTAAAAAAATAAGACGTTTACAATTCCCTGTAAAAAATAAGACGTTTACAATTCCCAGCGAATTTCTTAACCACTTGTCTGATTTAAATGACATTTACAGGGCTTGTTTCTATTGATGTTTAGAACATTCGTGCCAAATTTTGTTAACTTAGGTGAAGTACAATAAGAATTGCAAACATTCAAAAACGGAAGTAGGCGAGTCTGCATAGGAAAACTATCGTTTTAAAATTACTTATAACTTTGTCGTTTTCATGTGTTATATTGCTTTAGAACAGTTCAGAGCAGATAGCTATGGAGCTATTTTTTTATATTATACCATCTTTCATGACAAAAGAGCCACTAAACACAAATGCTGTTTTTTTAGATTTCCATTCTTTGTCCAAAATGCTAGTTTTTGAGCATAATGACAAAAATAAAAAAATTCAAGCTCATAGCTATCTTCCCCTCAAAATTTCACTCTAGAAGAACTCATAAAAATTAATCAAAGTTACGTAATAACAAAACAATAGTTTTCCTAAAGGGAAATTTATGCCAAAAAGTGGAATGGAGAAAAATGTGTTCAAAGTGCTCTAACCCCTGCCTTTTCTCTAGCATCGGTGAACCAAAAATAATTCATAAAAAATGAACTATGCAGTGTAAACTTATGAAAATTTCTGGGAATACTCTCTAGATGTTGGTGGATGTAAATATGACATTTTTCAAAATCAACTTCTTTTGCAGAAATTGTTTTTTCTGGGTAGTGTCCCCCCTTAAAGGACACATGCAAAGGAAAAAAACATTTTTTTTTAACAGCTTAGATGGAAAAAGGATGTCATAAAACAATACTACAACGAAGAAAAAAAATTTTAGAGCTATATTTACGGCGCTATAAGAATTTGTAGTTGGCGCCCGCCGGCGCCGCGGAAAAGTGGCCCTTATTTATCACGTGACTGGCCCTCATTTATCATGTGGTGCTTGCGCTCTTTCGGAAGCTTCGTATGCCATCTAAAAGTAACTTATTCATCTTTGTTTGAAGTATAACAAAAAACTAAGATTAATTGGTAACTTTTAGAGCCCAAAGGAAACTCCTGAAAAAGCGAAAGCAGACGTGATAGACCTGTGCGCCGGTCAGACGACGGCGGCGGCGCCCCGAAGCAGACGAACTTGTGCGGCGGCGGCGACGGCGGCGTGGAGAAACGCGTTGAAGCGGCGTTCGCACAACGCTCAGCGTGCGGCGGCAGCACGACTTTGCGGCGGCGGCGACGCAGCGCGGCGGAGCGCAGGCCTACCATGTGATCAGCGGCGGCTCCCGCGGTGCCAACTACAAATTCGTATAGCGCCGTAAATATAGCTATAAAGTTATTTTCTTCGTTGTAAAATCGTTTTATGACATCCTTTTTCCATCTAAGCTGTTAAAAAAAAAAAAAGTTTTTTCCTTTGCATGTGTTTTTTAAGGAGGAGGGGAGGGTACGGAGAGGAGGGTACGCCCCTCCTCCTCCCCCTCCCTCCCTCCCTCCTCGTGACATTACTTGTGACGTCATTCGTAAAGGACTCATGTAGGTCGTGACATTCAAAGGTAAAGGTCACTTGAAGGTCATGACTTTCAATTTGAAGGATGTGACCTTCACGGGTGACCTTTGTAACGTCACTCGTGACATCATGTGCGTCATCATTATGGAAAACGTCCCATAATGCAATGCGCAGTTACGCCGACCTTGCTCAAGTTGGAAACAGCGCCTAAGAGCTGCGCTTTAAAAGCAACTTTATTAGTTTTAGAGTGGGTAACGAGTGAAGGTATAGTTACTTTCTTTTCAGTTACGCACACGTGTCTGGTGGCCACGCAGGACGCGGCCCACGACAGAGGACCCGTGTGCCCCGCTCACCTCTGCAGCTTCAGCTCCCTCTCCTTGAAGTAGGAGGAGAGAACCTCCAGCTTCGTCACGGCCTCCCTGCTCTCCTGTTGCGCCTCGTCGCGTGCACGCACGCTCTCCACTAGTTCCGCACGCAGGTAAGTCAGCTCCGCTGCAAGCAGGACACGGGTCGAGGGCGTGCATCAGTCGGGAGGTAACGAGCCTTAATCCGACGACTTTGTTACTGCAACGTCAATTTCTTTGCTTCATGCGTCGAGAATTAGCAAAGGCCACCGGTTAGCACGATTACTCGAATGAGTCACAAAAAATGATAAAGACATCTTAAAGCGTGCTAATGTTGCAAGCACCAAGATGGCGGCGCCCACAAGCCGCCATTTTGGTCTCGAATAGATGGCCGAAACGGACAAATTGCAGTCTTGGCGGCAGCGAACGAAGGGGTGAAAAGAGTGCAGATACACTGAGCGTAGGTTTCTGGTGACTTCGGTGCCAGCAAGTATATCGCCAGTATTAGTGGGAAGCGTGACAGATGCCACCCACCTTCCTTGGCGTCCAAGTGCCGCTTCTGAGCCTCCAGACGAGCTTCCAAGTCCTGCTGAAGTTCTCTCGCCTGCTCCCGATCCTGCCGCACCTGAACAAAGTCCACGGGCACCGATAAAGACTGGACCAGACTAATTGGGCTTTCCTCTGCACGTCGGCCACTTTCGAAGAGCCCTCTTGCCACAACTAGAGTCGGTAGAACGGATCATTTGGCTTTTATATGAACTTCACAAGTATGCTACAAACAGTGATGTGATTGGCCTAAGCCGTTTTGGAGCACCTTTTGGAGCAGCCAAAACAGTGTTTTGGAGCAGCAAAAGTGGCCTTTGGAGCAGCCAAAACAGTGTTTTGGAGCAGCAAAAGTGGCTTTTGGAGCAGATTTTTTTATAAAAATAAAAAATATTTTTTTTTAAGTGCTAGACAAAGGAAGGGCACTTTGCTCGCCACAATAAACAAATTATGGTAAGTTAGACGACCTGGGAGTCTTTCAAGTTGTTAACTGAAATCCCAATGACACAACATATTTTGCAACGCTTCAGTTAAATGACATATATATGTACCCGCTATAGATAAATAAAAACCAAATTGCACATATTAAATTTATTTGAAAATGACCAGCTTACCAGTAAATATGAAAGCATAAACTTCACTACTTATATAATATAATAAATTGAAGCTGTATCTAACTGATGAAACACGTAACTACTGCAATGCAATTCGAAACTGTACACATGAAAAAGGTGCAGTACGACTGGTGGGTGCTTTTCCTTCTGCTTGTTGAAACTTTCTGCAAGGCTGCTGCAAGCCTCGCTTAGCTTTCGGCAAGTAATGAATGTCCACTTTCAATGTCTCCAAAGAGACCTCGAGACATCCCACAAGTGTACAGTGCTGTAGGCATTGCCGAGCAATTCCAAAACGTCTCCCACCGTTTTACTGGTTCCTGACATGCCAGATTTTCGTCAGAAGCAAGCAAATGTAACGCAATGGATTGCAAGCGTCTCGGCTGGTACCTCTGTCGTGCAATCATGTTCGCATGCACATGAGGGCAACTTCGGCAGCTTGCAGTTGCACGCGCTTCGTTATGCGAGCGGAGACGGCTGTTCGATCGAAACCGAAACTCTGTCACTCCGCTCCGTCGCCATCTGGTCCCCAAAATTGTATGCAAAATGTAACAATCCAGCATAAAAAAAAAAAAACAGTCCAGCGGCGCATGCTTGCCAGGCCAGTATGCAAGGTACAAGCTAATTTAAAAGGTTAAACAGCACAAACAAAACAAGGACAATAAAACTAATAAAAAAGAACCTGAGCGCATCAATGCAAGACATCGCGAGTCAGGGTCAAAAAGTTCTTGGAGCGCTTTGTGCAACAACTGAACTCAAGATAAACAAGCGCGCTGTGCGGGTTCAGCATGCAGACATTGCCTTTTTTGTTTTAGCTAACTTGTCTTAAACTTTCTTTTGCGACAGACTTTTCACGTACCGGGGTTCCTCTCAGAAGAAATCCCACCGAGGGAAACATAGGTAAACAGTACTTCGACACAACAGTCTTTGAGCTACACGGATTTTTGTAGTAGAGTTTAATTTAAACAAGGACAGGATTGCTGATTACCCTGCAGCGGGCCTTACGTTTCATATTAGAAAGTGCCATATCTGTGGCAATGTGTGGACGGGAACACCCGACGTCATAACTACGGTGACTGGTAGGCAGGGACCAAAAATAATTTTGGCACAGCCGTTTCTTTCAGAAGCAAGTGCTTCAGATCACAAGTAACTCCCAATGCACAAAAACGTGGTTTCGTTTTACAACATGACGGCATGGTTGGTACCCGGCAAGAAATATTTTTAAGAGGATGCGAGACGAGACCCACGAGAGCGCGAAATGAGGAACGGCGGGAAAAACCATGCGAGACCGGATGGACGATTGATGCAGCATACTTTCTGTCGGGCGGTCGCTTGCGCCACCTAGCTCACGCATGCTCAATTACGATACTCAGTTTAGTTTAGGTTTTGAAAGGCGACCGAAATTGGTCCTTTGGCGCAGGCTTGGCGCAGATTACACATATTTCGGCGAAATGTAGCAGGATGTAGCAGGGTTAGCCCCTTGGCGCAGTTCGGCGCAATTGGTGCAGCAATCACATCACTGTACAAATGGTCTGGCATAACTTCGATATTGTCTACAAACAGTGCCTGCAAGTTATTTTCCTACAGACCAAGTAGACGGCCAATCACTGCATCTCCGGAGAAAGAGCCCAACACATGAAAAGGTGTGGACAACTTGCTCGCACAGAAATGACATCCGTTTCACGACGCTCGTCGTAATATTTGATGTGTCGAGAGCTCAGCGTGCAAAAACGTTCTTATCCGTACGAAACACTTCAATCACCAACCAATCATCAATCACCAAGCACTTTTAGAAGTTGTCATCTGTACAGTAGGCGCACAATAATTCAAACTCTGATATTTCATGCTTCTGGTTAATTCAAACAAATTCCAAAATTCTAGATGTCCCGCCATGTTTTTCATATATTCATAAGATGCTTATTCGAACGGCATTTTTGTGTAATTCATACTTTTTGTTCCCGAGGCCCCGTTGAGTGTGCTTCCTTCCATGCACTGGTGCACTGCAGAGAGGCAACACCCGCAGAGCTTGCTTCCGCGGGTGTTGCTTTTCCGCAGCGCGCCGGTGCTCGGTGAGGGGTGCACTCAACAGGGTTCAGGCAGGGCACCATGAACAATGAAAACGGGCACCATGCAAACATTTCCATAGCAACTTGCGCAGACGCTGTGACGTGGCTGCAGGGCATAGGTCCACTTCACAGCGTCCACGCAAGCTGCTATGATAACTGCCGTGCGGTGCCCGTTTTCATTGCTCACGTGTCCCCGCTTAATGGTTTACATAAGACAACTTTTTGGCCTGATGAACAAAATTGAGACGTCGTCGTGTTTCTTCCACCCAGTCTCAGGTGGTCTAAAAAATGGTAAACTTACACCAGCTTGCCTGCGCACTAACTGTTTTTTTCAAAAAATTTTGAGTTTTCATGTTCTGTCCAAACAGCCCACGATAAACATTTGTGAGGGATAAACTTATGTCATGCATTTCACAAATGTTTCTTGCGTGGCATACCTGCTTATGATAAGTAGGCCTATGTAGAGGAAATCATCATATATCTGCTTTGTACATGTAGCCATTCATATGTCAAATCAGAATTTTATCTTTCATCATATTTAGGTGAATTTCTGATAATTCAAACTTCCGATGATTCAAACAAAATTCGTAGCTTCCTGGAGTTTGAATTAATGAGTCTACCGTACATATGCTCAGTGCAAAAGGCAGGCAGGGAGGGGAGGCTACTTTATATCAAGTGAGTAGCACTATGGTGCAATGCCAAAATGCAAAGGTGCATGGACTCCTATACATAAATAAACTTGCAACTAATACTCACAAATGAAATGGGGTTCTTAACAAAGAAACATTTCCAGCAGAGTCGACCACCCAGGTGCAGACGACATGCAGTGCTGCTATTTGTGCACTCAAAAGTAGTGAAAATAACAAAATGGCTATTAAAGGGCCAGTGGGGAAAAACTGAAGAGAGGGAAGCCATGGGAATCATGCTAAAGCTTCTCGTAAATTTTCCCTTCTTTTAGGGGGAGGTGGGTTGGATTTGGTTTTTTACACTGCTGTCGCCCTACACAAAAGGTAAGCCACCGAAATCCAATCCACCCACCTGGGCCAGGTCCATGAGCTCCTTGAGGCGTTCCTCCACTGCAAACAGAGATGCTGTGAGTATCAGGTCGAATCAAGGCCAGGAAAGGCACAGGGGGGGTGGGGCAGGGTCACAACAGAGGGAGGCAGGGTAGGGACAGACGTGGCAGAGGCGTCCTCACCCTGCGTCTTGTCGTCCTGGGACTCCCAGTGGTGCTGCAGGATTCGGATCTGCTCCACCGTCCTCAGGAGGGCCTGTACAATGGGACGGGATGGTGGTCACACCCTTCCACCCGTGCCGGACCGAAGTTTACAATAACTTGTGCATAAAGCTCGTGTTTGCGACGTCGGAAGCCAGTTGGATCTTAAACGTGGGTAGAGGTACTGCAGTCACCAACAGGACGAGAACAGCAAGCAGGTTTCTCGCTTGTCCCGCCTTGCTTCCAGAGGGAGCTTAAAGAAGCCGTGCAGCGATATTCGCTTAAAATGTTTTTCCCTTTACACGAGCTTACTGGCTCTAGTGCGACCCAAGTACACTCGCACGCAATGCCGCTGATCAAGAAACTTCTTTGTTGCAGTGTAATTTCAAAGACAAAAGCGAGTGTTTTTTTTCAATCTCTCCTTCACAAAACTTGATGATGTAACTGGGGCATTGCAGCACCCCAATGACGATATTTGAATGCAGCTTATAGATTGGACTTAAGCTCGATTTGGGCTCGTTACAATCAATTGCTCGGCAAGCATTCGTGTAGTGGCCCGTTTCCAATCACGGCAATGACGACAATTGCCGAATCATAACAATGTCTGGAACTCGGCGCGTGTCCTGTGCTTTGCCAACCCCAGTGCGCAGCTATGATCAACATAGGTAGGCGGGATATAGTCGGCTCTAGATCATGTGGCCCCTCGTGCTGACTGCAAGTTGAAAGAATAAACGCTGTTTGTTTTTTTTTAATTTCTTTTTTGGCAACCTTAATAAAACAAATTTGTGTTTCATAGGTCATTAACGTCAGAGATTCATCCTAAGCGATATTTGCGCAAAGTACAAAAATCGTTGCATCGCCGCTTCAATGCCCTCCATAACGCTTCCGCATCTTGTGAGCCTCAAGTGTGCACGAGCAGACAAAGAATGGCTGTGTGCACGAGCAGACGAAGAATGGCTGAAGGCGACGAGACCATGTTTGAGGAAACACCCTGTAGTTCTCATGCTGTTAGTGATTATAGTAAGCAATGTTTTATACTCTTACATTACAGTCTCGCCACTTCTGGCTCAGCATCACCACTGAGGACAGGAGGCATGTTGGAATTTTTTCGTTTCACGTCAAGAACGTTTACGCCGGTACGTGGTGCAACCTGTTCCGCGTTCTCACCTGGAGTTCGGCCTCCTTGTCCGACACTTGCTGTGCAATCTTGGCGGCGTCTTGGGTGATCGCTTCTAGATCAGCAGATAGTGACTGCTCCCTGCAGGGTGGAAATCGTCCTCGGATCAATCGCTGCGACCGCACCTCGCCCCGCTTTCTCAACGGCAATATTACGCAAAGCGTAATATTGCTATTTACAATGTATGCTGTGTCCGGTGCTCTCCAAACTTAACACGCCGTAAGACGACCAGTTTTCGGCACTTTTTGGAGCTATTTTTGGGCCTGTTGGTTGAACTACATGGTGAAGTTCTGGCCACCTGATCGCAGCCCAGCCCGGGGAAGACATTGCAGCTGCTGCAGTGACCAATTTAGCCTCCAGTAGCCAGTAGCGGGGGCTGTCGGTTGCTGCTGTTGCGGTTGTTTTCGTGCACCAAAAGCTTTTTGAAACAAGTAGCGGCTCGGCTTCTATGGCAACGCCGGCTCGATGATTCGATAGCTTTATGCCCTCGGTAGGGTCGCAAAATTTGGTCGCGAATGTACGTCGAAATTCTTAGGTCACTATTATAGGTCGACCCTTAATTTTTGACAACATTTCCGAAAAGAAAAGGTAGACTTATATTCGAATAAATACGGTAGCCCAACTTGCAGTCTTAAGGCAACAGATCCAATATTTGGGTAACCGAGCGGCAGCGCTTCGAGTTTGAGGAGTAGCATGGCAATGTCCAAGCCTACGGCGAGAGTTTGCACTTTGCATGCCGTCGAGCTGCTGTAACTGGAGGCACCCATCCAAAAAGGTGGTCACTCGATTTCCAGATGACAACGTCGCAGAAGCGTCATGCTGACACCGGCCACGACCCTGGTGGTGTCACAGAAGCGGTGGAGGGCGTGCAAGATGCCTGTTCTGTTTCTCCAACCTGACAGTTCACGGAAGCTTCGGCGGCCACGAGTCGGGAAGCTGCGGCGCAACACTAGCCTTTCGCGCTTTTTCGCAACTTCTACGCCCAACCTCCAGGATCACGACGCCCGACAGCATAGCACCTTTGTGATGTCATCCGCCGATACTTCGTGACCGCTTTCGACGCATGGGTGGAATGGGATGCCAAGCGCACCGGTCGTGGACACGTTCCGTGTACCACACCGACATGCTCGGACGCAATGCCCCCCTCTCCCTTCACCGTAAATCCACCGAAATGGATGGAGACAGAAAACGAGAGTGAGAATGAAAGAGCGTCCCTGACCGTTGCTTGACGGCGTCCAGCTCCTTCCAGAGGTGGTCTCCCGTAAGCGTGGCCTCGGCGAGACGCGTCTCCAGCTGCTTCTCCGACGCCCGGGCCTCCTCCGCCCTCTCCTCCCAGGCCAAGCGCTCCTCCGTCGCCTGAAATGCGCTTTGCGTCACAGAGACGACCTCCTTCCCCGACGAATCGAATCAGTTTGAAAGGACAGTGCCATCTGGTGTCGATCTTTTGATACCGATTTTAATAGAAAGAATGGCCAAGCGTGAAAGTAATGTTTGGCTTTTTAGGATGCTTAGAGCCCATAGATTTAGTTATAACCACAGACAAATCCAGGAAAGGGTTTAGAGCTCCTTTAACATTTTATTGATGAGATATACAAAAAATTGCTTAAAATATTTAATTTTAAGATATTAATGTTTATCCATATCAAATAAAAGAAAAAAAAGGTAAGGTAAACTTGCAAGTTTTAGCTTTGTTGCCTTGGGCAACACCAGGTCAAAGTCCAAAGGTGGCTGGCTCCCTTGCATAACCTCTACAGATCACTATGAAATATCAATAATATCTGCGCATACGATAGCCTCAAGTAAACCAATCATCTATAGCTAAATAATGGTGACTAGAGACAAAACACTCTTCCATATTTCTTGCCCCAAAATATGGGGAAACGTCGTACTCCGTCGCCGCGTAGTTGTGCGCCAAACTTATTTTCCTCGTCAATTATTTGCACATCTTTTCACCAGATGGCGCCGTCGTTTCGATCATCAAGACTGTTGCCAGACTACTGGGTAAGAAAAAACGTGATGAAACTATTGAACAAAAAAAAAAAATTAATACGCGGTGTGTTGTCTGGAGGCAACGCTCTTCAACAAAGGTTAACTCAACAAGGGTTAACAACAATTTAACAAATAAAACACCGAATTATAACTCACCTCTCTCAGCTTCTCCTCGAGGGAGGCCTGCCACTCTGCATCAACCTCTAGCTCTGTGATCTGCAGAAGGGGGAGGGGCATGAGCGACCCGGCCACGCCCACTGTAGGGCTCCGCCCACTTTATGACACACCCACCAGACACTCCTTTTCAGCCAGCAGCTTCTGAGTGGCCTCGAGCTGCTCCGTCCGTTCCGACAGCGTGGCCCTCAGCTCGCGCACGACCTTGTCACGCTCGCGCTGGCACGACTGGGCAGAACAACAGAATGTCTCGCAACAACAGAACATCTCACAATTACTGGGTTGGGAGATCCACATGAAAATGAAAGCTCCATATGCGCACTGACATATAATAGAAGTAGGATCCTGTGCTTTCGGAGTTTATTTTCCTCCCTAAATTCGGAAGGCGTCTTCCGGAGTTGTTTTTTTTTCGCTGGAAATTCGGGGTTTGTCGGAGTCTATATTTGTAAGATTCCCAATTCTCTGAAATTCAATATGTTTTACTGCGTTCCTAATTTTTTAAAATTCAAAAACAAAATAAGTGAAATCCGGGTACCATGACCCGGATTTTATTTTGTTGGAAATGTTGGTTGTCCCTAATGTTTTTCGTGCATTCATGAGCCGCTTAATTCGAACGGTGTTTCCGTGTAATTCATACTTTTTGTTCTCGCGGCCCGTTGAGTGCGCTTCTTTCCGTATACAGTAGAAAAGCAACACCTGAGAAGCTTGCTTTAGCGGGTGTGGCTTCTCTGCAGTGCATCGGTGTTCGGTGAGAAGTGCACTCAACGGGGCACATGCAGGACACGCAGGAGTGATGAAACCGGGCACCACGCAGAAATTGCCATAGCAACTTGCGAGGACGCTGTGACGTGGCGTCATGGCGTCCTCGCATCCATGTCACAGCATCCACGCAAGTTGCTATGAAAACTGCTGCGCGGTGTCCGTTTTCATCGCTCATGTGCAGTCAACAGTCCACGATAAACAACATTTTTTAGGGATAAACTTATGCCACACATTTCACAAATGTCTGGTATACCTGATTATCATCAGTAGTAGGCCTATGTAGAAGAAATCCTCAAATATCTGCTTTGCATGTGTAGCCAACCATCTGCTTTGCATGTGTAGCCAATCACATGGCAAATTATAATTTTATCTTGCATCATAATTTGATGAATTTCTGATAATTCAAAAATTTATGACTTCCTAAAGCTTGAATTACCGAGAGTCTACTGCATTAATAATTTCCTGAAACTTTCAATGGGGCAATGGTGCCCGTTCTCAAAACTTTTCACCATTCAGTTCCACGTATTTGTGGGCTTTGTCGGCCTCCTATTTTCCCACCAAAACGTTCACAAAAATGGCGTATAACTTTTGAATAAGATAATGACTTGTCCCGAAACTTGGCATCTGATTCAGAACGCTGGCACTGTATTTGAGTGGACTGGAAGTTATGAGTCAAACGATGCATAGCTTTTTTCTTTTGTTTTTTGTGATTACAGAAACAATTTTTTTTTTTTTTGGAGGGGGGGGGACACTTTGTAGAACATTTAGAGCAGTGGTGGCCAAGCTGCCGCATGCAGCTCTTCGCGTGTTAAAGTGCGACTCGCGGCTCCCTCCCCTATGCCCCCCGCCTCCCACCCGGTCACACGAGCACTTCGAAACAAAGAGAAATGAAACAGGTTTTAAATCGAAAGACAGGTTATGACTCGAATAGATTGAAACTAGTTTGAATTTCGTTTACTGCTCTGAACAAAAGTTTGCCCCCGCCCCGCGCGGCTCTTTGAAGTTTTGTGGTTTTGTTTTGCGGCTCTTAGGGCCGGGTAAACCTAGCCACCCTTGACTTAGAGTAAACGTCACCAGACCCTAAGACCCCGATGATCCGCAGTCGTCAGTTTACAGATGTTCTCAAGCAAAAAGACTCCGAACTTTGATTCGGAGAAAGTCCAACTGCGATGCAGCCGGCACTTTCCACGGAAGAAGATGGCACGGGACAGCAGGCCCATCCAACGAGGCTGCTCGCAGAGAAACGCCCGAAACGGCACGGTACGACAGACCCCGTCTTCTCCGCGCTTCTGAAGCTCACCTCCAGTTCCTCTCCCTCTTCCTGGAGGGTCTTCACTCGCCGCTCCCGTTCCTGCAACTCGCTGCGAGCCGTCTCCGCCTGCGGACAGAAGTCTCCCGGTCATTTCTGTCGGCGCCCTGGCTCTCCGATTGGGCGTCGATCGACGAAGGGGCAGGCGCAAAGTTGAAGCGTTCCGAGAGGAGGCACTTCCCTTTTGGCAACCACTGCTAGCTACAGCTATTTCTAAGAGTGAATGCACCTTCAACAGTTCCCTGATCACTCAGTTCTACTAGTGCTTGTGTGTGCTTTCTTGTTTGTTTTTTTTGGGGGGGGGGGGGGGGGGGTGTTTTTGAGTGTAACGGTACGTAGGCCACAGCTGTTTCCAGACACAAATATAGGTCTCCGTTTCACCTTATGATGTACTGCGACAGATGTTAGTAGTCGTGCCAGTCAACCCGATGTGCTCCACGCGTACCACGTGACTTCATGCTAGTGCATCACCCCCCCCTCAAACTGGAAGTCATATCTGACAAATTTTGAGCTCTGGATTGGTTCCAGTGACTTACAGAGATTGCTGCAGAACGTTGCAAGATAAAACAATGCACAGAAGCCACCAATCGTGATTAGGAAACTGTTACTCTTCACAAGTGCCGTTTCAGGATAAAAGGCTGTACAACTATCTATAAGTCACAACTCAAAAATGAAGTTGAGTGTAGATAAATATACAACTGGCTTTCAAAGGACGCTTTTTAATGCCACAAGACAGGTGTACCTTGTTCACGGCATGCCACTCAGAAAGGTTTCAGTTTGATCTATAAGCAAATAACTGTCAAACAGTAGGCTAAAAAAAAAAATTTCTACTGTGGCAAAACAAAACCTTGTCTTGGAACAATCCGAGATTGCCATCACGATTGGTCAACCCTGTCATGTTCACCACTTGCGGTGGTGCGCGACAAATCATGTGTGAAACCTCTGCCTCTCCGTACCACCAAAAACAATTGTGAGGCAATTGAAACAAAACAATTCAAGAACGAGTCACCCACCTGTGAGCGTGCTTGCTCCAGCTGCTCCGTGAGCACCTGCTTCTCGGTGACAAGGGTGAAGAGCCTCTGCTCCAGGCTGGAGATTTTGCCTGCACCACTTTCACCATGAGCACCACCACCCTGCCACCCCATCACCCGGTCACCACTTACCTGTCAGAGACGACTCCTTCCTGCGGTGCTGTGGGGAGGCAAGAAAAAAGCCGATCACAAACCGCTCATTCTCGGCTATAAATCGTTATAGATTTCGATGACACGAGTTGGCGTCGTTCATCTCGCCGAAATCAGATGGGCGTCTTCCGGTATGAGACAACAGTATGCTTTCTTTTGAGTTCGCAAAGATAAGCAATATTGAAGCAGCTACCGTCGAGGTCTCACAGAAGCGTTAAGATGTTCTGGGATTCGTGGCAGAACATGCTTTTCAAGTGGGCATTCACTGCCACTTCTGCCTTACTTTATTTTTAATGTGATATTGATTGAGCCCACGTGTAATCCTATGTGGTCCTATGAATGTGTGCTCTTTCACATTATACTGAAGGTGAACAAAATGAGCGTCTCAATAGTGCGTCCAAAAAAGTTGACATTTCGGCCGGTCTGCTCGTGTGACCAATTTTTCGCGTGTGTGAGTATACAGAAATTAGGTCTTCGTAAAAATTAGGTTGTATTCGGTATTGATAACTACAAACATGGGTGGACTAAGAGATTCATTCCAGCTGAGTAAGACTATGATGTCCAAAGATGCATCAATGTCATCAATACATACATACATACATTTATACATTAATACATCAATACGTCAATGTTGAATTAAGGTGGCAGTCCCATAAAAGTGATCCTCTTTTTCTTTACTTCGCAACACTCATCTGCAAAAACAACCACTAGCAAAGAAACAGACCCCCAAAGGATGTGCAAGCATCCTTATACTTTTAAAGGCGAGTTTCGGCAACTTAACGACGTAAAGAACAACTCGCGTAAAGCCTGGCCCACTCACCACATAGCATGCGTGCATGTAAAGCGTCAACACGCTGAATCCCAGCAGGCCGCACAGCAGGATCAAGGTCAGGGATCCAGGCTGGGAGGATGACGTTGGAAGCAATCCTTCCACCGCTGCCTGAAGAGGCTCGGGAATCTGCGCGGAAGTTGGTGGTAAGCATAGAAATAGCAACCATACACCTTCCCAATCGAAGACGAGTGAACAAACAGAATGGCTGTGGCTGGTGATGAAAAGAAACAAGACTAGCAATGACTCAGAAAGCTGGCACATAGAGAGAATCAAGACTGTCTTGTAAGACATGCTGATGACCCTTAAAATGGAGGAATTGGGATCCAAAGTAAACAAGTGTGGAACACTCACCAGTGCAAGCATCCAAAAGACATACTCCCTGGCCATGGCCCAGTAGAGGTCCAAGGCTGGCTTTTGGTCCTCTTGGGACTCCACAGGCACTTTCTCGGCACTGGAAGCATCCCTCAAAGCTCCAGGAGCAGATGTCTCCGGAGCAGATGCTTTCAAAGCGGCTGCTTCTGGAACAGACGACTCTGTAGCAGTCGACCCTGGAGCCGGCAGGTCCAGGGCAGACGAGTCAACGGCAGACAGCTCTGGAGCAGACGATTCTGCAGCAGACGACCCTGAAGCAGATGACCCTGAAGCGGATGACCCCGGAGCAGATGACCCCAGAGCAGACAGATCTGGAGCAGATGGCTCTGGAGTAGGCACTTCTGCAAATATACTTCCGATTGTGGTTGAAGGCAAAGTCACTGATGCCGTCTGCTCCTCCTTGTTGCTTAAGGAAGCTTGCTTCTCTAAGCTTTCAGTTGAAGGCACTCGTCCTGTAGTTTGAGTCAAGCCAGGACTGGAAGACCCCAGGTTGAGAGGTGGCATAGCCGCTGGCTGTGAGCCAGGTTCTTGCAGGAGCACTCTCTTTTGAGGTGTCATCGTGTGGGCCTCATTGACAGAACTTGGAGTTGACATAGCAGCTCCTGATAATGAGCTCTGAGTAGTGACCTTATCTACAGCACTTGGCACAACACTCTCTGTGACTGAACTGACCAAACCAGCATCACCCTCAGAAATGGGGCCCTTCAGGCCACTCGGCGGAATGTTACTGCTTTTCCCAAGCACAGCAGAAACGGCCTCTTGATTGGCTCCTTCTGTACCCACAGTAACGGAAGATTGAAGCTGCACCTCATCCACTGCAGCAGCCGATTCCAAGGAAGCGTTTAAGACCTTGGTGGACTGTCCCCAGGTCCCAGTGGAAGACGATGCACTGGAAGCAGAAGGGCTCTGCGTCTCTCCCAAGGCATCCGAGTGCAATGTGGATTCCTGGATGGCGGCTTGTGTGCTCTCGGTAACTTCCGGTACAGGAGTATCTCTCTGGGAGATCTCTCTGAGAGTACCTCCCTGGGAGATAAAGGAAGGGGACCCAAACAATTCGGTCAGTCCCAGGGATGTGTCCTTCATCAGCTCTGACCGGCTGGAAGATGTCACGCTGGACTCCGGTGGAGATTCGTCCGAACTATGCAGCGGGGTCGAATGAGCCGTTGATAAGACAGCGGTTGACGATGAAACTGCCAAATCATCCAGGGGCTCTTGAGCTTCCTTTTCTGGAAGAGTCACATCTGCAACAGAAGCCTTGGGAGTCGTGGAATCTAAAGCAAGCGATTCAAAACTGGCAGATGCAACTGACACGGTACGTGATATGGACTGGACAGGGGCGCCCAGAGATTCGGTTGTCTGGTCCTCAGGAGCAAGGAGGGCTGCCTCCTGCGGCAGGTCAGAAGCCCCAGCCCGCAGTTGATTGTTTGGGGCGATGGTGAGGTCAGATTCCACGTCACCGAGTGCTAAACTGGAGACATTGTTTCCCTTTCCTGTGTCTTCAACCCCTGAGGAACTTGCCTTGAGCCCTTCGCCTTCTGCCGAGTCTTCAGCATCATCAGTCTCCACATCTTCATCATCTTCTCGAGGTTCTCCTGGAATCGGCTTGGTGCTGGTACCTTCTCCATCCTCATCCTCCACCTCCACTGCCACCTCCTCCTCTTCCGATGCAGTCTGATCTTGTGACTTTGGATCAGTCTCCAACTGGGGCTGCTCTTGTGGCTCTGACTGCACTGTGTTTGCCTGTTTATCCAGTGATTGTGATCGTTCCTGTGGCTCTGGCTCCGTCTTCACCTCCGACTTTTTCTGCAACTGTTGCTCTGACTCTGTCTTTTGATTTAGTGTTGAGTCAACGACTAGATTCTCGCTGACGTCTCCTGCTGTGAAGTTTGCGAACTGGGTGTCGTTGCTGAGCTGCTCAGAGCCCATAGCAGGAGTCATCACTTTGCCCATGGGAAGTTCCGAGGACTGAGGAGGCACGGCAAGACCTGGCAATGCTGTAGAGGTACTTTGCCAGGTGGACGTTGTCGTGGAAACGGGCTGTTCTGTTGTGGATGCGGAGACAGTGCCGTGATTAGAGTCAAACAATGAGCTTGTGGTGGGGGAGAGCGGAGTAGCGTCCTTATCGTCACATATTTCACCAAACATGGTTGTCCTATAGAAGAGGCAGCTTTTCTCGGCAGGTACCACCAGTGGTGTAGCAACAGGTTGGTCAGCCGCAGCAGTGGTGCCTGTAAAAACACAGAGAGGCAAGGAAAAACTGATCGTTGGTATACTGAGCCAATATTAAAAGGATATGGCGATGTCGATAATACGATGGGATCGGCTACACAAATAATTTTTGGAAGCAGCAAGCTCTGAGGTGTGAAATAAATACAGAAGTGCAGTAGACTGTCTCATTCATACGCAGAGCAATGAGTTATACGTATTGCAGTCACAAGCATCTCCATGCATTTTTAACCACATTCCTAACTATGCAGATTTGAACACACCCCCCTGCATTAGAGGACAAAACCAGAAAAAACAAGCTACGACCACCACATAGCATGGCTGTCAAGGGTACGAGGTAACATCACTGCTCCTCTGCTGGACCTGTTTCAGATTTTTATACGGCAGTACTGAAAATGTGCTACTGCAAAGTTCACAAAAAAGAAACAGGTCAAGCAAAAGGAAGGTTGCTACATAGCCCTATGCAGCCAGATGCCCCACACTTTCATGGGCCAATCAAAACAGTGTGACTAACGCAAGTTAGGCAAGCAATGACTATTTAAGAAATGAAAGAAATGTGATGCCAAAAGGCAAACCCACCATAGATGTCCGACTCGACCAATGATGAGACCACATTGCCGACCTTCTCGACCTGCACCTGCATCCGAGAAAGAGACCTTGTTGAAACAGGGTCGTGTGTGGCGGTCGGTTGCCCTTACCTTCACAAGATCTTTCTTGTACTTGGTCTGCTTCTGTATCTTGATGACATGCTTGGGAACAAAGCCACGCTTTGCAAGGTACTGCAGAGAAAAGACCGCCATTGAATGAATAGAAGGACGGAGGACTGCTCCAACATTTTAAACAATGATTAACATGGTCTTTATTATGCTTATTATCCACGAAGGGAAGGGTCGATATAGGCTCGGAGGGTGTTAAATGGAATGAAGTTAAATGAAATTATGGAGCCTTTTTGTGCTGTGGAGTGCCCCTGAGATGGATTTATTCATCCTGCATCGCGAGTGGTCGACAGAGGGAACCTACCGAGGGCTTTGTCCCTGTGAGGACGGAGGCCCTGGCAGTCCCAAATCATTCAAATCAAACCAAATTAACACCAAATCAAAATATGTGCTCCACCATCTTTGAAACTGGCACGCTGAAAAAACTCTTCTAATAGATTAACGAGACTCGTTGTTTTACTAGTTGGTGCGCGGCGCCGAGGAAACTTGTATGAGCAAAACGAAAACAGCTTTTTCTGCGGCTACGAATAAACTACCCAGATAACAGATAGTCAACCCAGGGACATCTCAAAAAGATCCCCACGTGACGTCACCCTCGTAACGTCACCAAGTGCACGCCAAAATTTTCCGGTCCCATAGAGTCCTATGCCGAATGTTCAGCAACACGAGCTCCTAAATGCTATAACATTAAAAATATAGGCATATCTTTTTTTTTTTAAGGGGATTGTTTTCTTGAGGGGTGCATACGTACCACCCTCCAAATGAGGATCCTGAAAATGGTGTATTTCCAAGAGGAAAAGATACTGAGTAAAATCAAAATCAAATCTCCCATGTGTAGGCAAGTGGTGTACACCGGTACACGTTGCCCACACCCCACCGCCTTCACCCCCCCAAATAATCAAACACGGTGCATGTCACCGCACATGACAAGATGAAAGACGAGAGAGGAACACCAGATCGGGCTAATGAGCCAAGTTCGATATGCGGTTTTCGTACAGAAAGGGTTTAATTTCATGTTTTCCGGTATTTTATATATATTTGGGAATGATAGAGGAAAAAACGTCAGGAGGCTCAAATACTGTTTCAGGGGCTTTTTAAATTGATCTACTCAGAATATAAATTTCAGGAGTCATGACATCTAAAAATGTATCCACTCAATATTACCAAAAAAGAGAAAAAAACACCATTCTTTCTTCTCATGGACACCACAAGAGACATTTTGGAATATTTAAGTAAAAAATTGTTCACATCCTTTTATACTCTTGAAATATTTGTTCAAATTATTGTTTAATACTTGGAACCGTTCAGTCATACATTATCAAATGTTCTCCTGTATGTTGCTTTCCTTGGGTTAATTATTTTAGTGTTCATCCCTTTTCAAGGTATTATTTAAATGATTTTGTGACAAGCTTGATATGTTCACTCCACCATATTGTTTTGAGACAATAAGGCACCATGTACTTATTTTTTTTTAATATTCCAACTTTAATTTTTTTTTTTTTTTCTCCTGATAACATGAATGACTTTAGACAGAAACTATATTGTTTGGATTGGGACGATGTCCTTCATGAAATGAACACAAATAAAGCATATAATTTGTTCGTAAACAAATTTAAAAAAAAAAAAAAACAAAGAAAAACTATGTGTAAGTTGCTTTCCATACAAAAAAATTGCCACTCATAGAAAAAGCCAGAAACCATGGGTTACAAAAGAATGATAAAAATTTGTACGAAAAATATGTTATATCCAAAATTTTTGAAAACAAAATCAATCAAACTAACAGTTTTCAAACATTATTGAAACCAATTAAACAAAAAAAAACTCCGAAATGTTAAGGAAATCTAATTTGATTTTTTTTCTTTCATGTCATAACAGAGTCGACGTTGTGCGGAAAAAACTAAACACTGTCTTAGGTCGTTTGTGCGCCACGAAACAAGTTTTAAAGATCAACCACAATGGTCAAGAGCTGTCAAGACAAGCATTGTCAAATGCATTTAATGAGTATTTTGTAAGTCTAGTTAATGTCCTGAGTCAGATGCTTGCAAGTCTACCAATGCTCTAAATCATCAATTCATGTTTCTTATGCCTGTTACTGCTTCAGATGCAGTATCTGTCTTTAATGTACTAAAAAATAGTAAAAGCTGTGACTCAAATAGTTTGCAGATCAAACCAGTTAAATATGTAATTGATCTTATTTCTCTTCCCTTAGCACACATATTCAATCTCTGTATCAAAAATGACAAGTTCCCCCATCAAATGCAACTAGCGAAGGTAACAGTTTTCTATAGAAAAGGAAATAAAAACTAACTCGGCAATTATCGACCTGTTTCAATTTTTTGTGTTTTTCCTAAAAGTTTAGAAAAAGTTCTACTACTCTGAATGACAACATTTGCTGATAATCCTGACTTAACGAGCTTATCACAGTTTGGTTTTCGCAAAAAACGATCCACAGAACTGGCTCTCCTTGCACCAGAAAAGAACATATACTTCGTTAAGACGCCGTTAACCCCTTAACTGGGGACTTTTTGACCAAAAATATTTGTAAAATGGTGATTTTTTTTTTTAAGCGTTTCTAGCTTTCGAAGGTATAACAATCTCCAAACCTAAAACCAAATTATTTATATCGAGTTGAATGTGCACCCCGGCGCATCCTACAATCCGGAATGTATCCTTCATCGTGCCGGCGTCTTGCCAGGTTGCAGCAGAACCCAAAGTTGATGGTGTTGCCATAAACAATTGTTCCACTGTGTCATCTTCAATTTCTGTGTCAGATGCTGAGGAGCGTTTACTTGGACTCGAGAAATCAACACTGTAGTCGGAGCCCTTGTGAGTATTTTGCAGCAGCTCAGTGATTTCTTCCTCGGTCAAGAAACGCTGGTGTTTGCTGGACGCCATTTTCTGACAAACGATCAAAGGTGTCATACAGGAGTCTTCAACCTTTTTTAGCGCTGCCATGTATGCATTGTTTTCAAAACTAAAAATGTTTCCAATGTACATGGATAGATGGCGCATCGTCCCACACACTAAAATGAGCGAGCGTTTACAGACACACTTCCCAACAGCAAAGAAAGTGCAGCGTGTCTCTAGACACGCCCCCCAAGCTGCGGCCAAAATTGATGCGCATTTAAAGACGCACTCCCCAGTTAAGGGGTTAAGACAAAGGCAGCTATATTCTGACCGAAGAGTAAACATATCAATATTACCGAGGATATTTTTATAAATTCTTCTCAAATTGAAATTGTTCCCACGTTTAACACTTTGGGTGTTCATTTTCAAGAAAGCACATCATGGGACAACCCATATCATATTGAAATCATCATATCAAATTATATCACATTGAAATTATCTAGCATCATTGGTATTCTATACCATCAAACACATTTTACCACTTACAACAAAGTTAATTCATGTTTCTTATGCCTGTTAATGCATTATTTTTTTCATTTAAATTATGGTCAACTTATATGGGGCACTACTACCTATACCAAACTCCAAAAAATCCTCCTGTTACAAAAATGGATATTAAGAAGCGCCTCTATATGTTCACTAAAACATCCAATTGATGATCTTTTTAGTCAGATTGGTATGATAAAAATTTTTGATTTATATAAATATTGTTTATGAACAAGATATAAAATAGGAACCCCAACATCATTTTAAAAACTTCAAGTTAACACATAACATATATTGATATCCAGCACGAATTAAAGAACCTTGGGAAGTACCCTTTTTATTTTTGGAATATACTCTGCCGACTATCCTTAACCAGCTTAGTAGGCAGGAGATTGAACTTAGCAATATATCGGTGAGAATCTTGCGGGAAATGTTTATTTCGATCCAAATTGTTCGCGATAAGTGCTAAAATCTGCTGAGTTGGTGTTTTTTTTTCGGGTTTATTTCAGTGTGGCTCTAACTTTTTGTATATGCTTTCACTATTGTGTAAATTGCATCAATATGCTATTTATGACGTCTTGTAAAGCGTTAGTTCTCTTTTGTGATTTGTTTTTAACACATGTAGTGCACATGTCATGTTTTACTTTCGTATAATTTATTTTGGTGCCTGCATCGTGGCTGCTGGTTTAGGTGGCTTGGGGCTCGTCAAGCTGTTTTTCATAGCTTTTTTTTAGTTGTCACCTTTTCAAAATTGATTTTGTTGGGAAAAATATAATTAAGAATTTTACTGCTTAGAAATACTGAAGACCCTAACGTTCCTATTGTATCACGGTTGTGTTTATTCTCGCCAAGTCATTTTTAGCTGAAGTTGTGTTCTAGTGTTGCAATGTTAAGCAACATTGTCACATTTGCAATTTTTTTGGAAGGCCTGTGAATTGTCTATTGTACTTTATGAAGCGATCAGTTATAATTAATGGGGATCTTATTTGAATGACTTTGCTTGTGTAGCATAGCTTCGATCCCTTGAAACTACAAAACGCTTGGCACAACTGCTAGTGTGGCCGTAGAACCTTTAACGGCAAAAGCCGGATCTAAAACGTGCATGTTTTTGCTGAGTCTAGCAGCATTAAAGCAGGTACCCGCACCGGATACGACGTCCGAGAACGTCCTATTGAAATCCCAAAAAGCTACCGTGAGATATCCCTGGGAGCTCCTCAAGACACACTTGGGTGTTTAAAAGAGGACGTAGTTGGGGGAGAACAGGAACATGTTTGCGATGCCCAAGGTACATCCCATACATCCTGAAAGGATGTCCTAAGGATGTCACAGGGATGACTCTGTGTTATCTGGGTATACTCCGTTTCACCATAACTTAAAAAGAGCAAACGCTGCGGCCCCTTCCAGCCAATCAGAGCGACGGAGATGAGGCATGTGACAGCCCTTACCAAAGACACAGGCGAGAAGGTGTAACATAGGATGGAGAAGAAGGCAAGGAGGAACTCCCGTCCAACCCGGACCGTCTTATGTTTGTCCCAGACGTCGCTTTTTTCCCCCCACGAAGATTAGCTCGTCACTCAAAATTCGTACAAAAGTGGCTTTCCTCTCTTTCTCTTCCTTGTGGCTTTGACAGCACTGCGCGTAACTAGAGTGATAGAGTACAGTCACATGTCTCCCTACGATGCACTGATTGGCTCGCTGCAGGACAGTAGCCTTTGCCGTTTGCCAAGTTACGGCAAGACGGAGTGTATGGAACGTAGCACTCATCCGTGTCCCGTTCTTCGTATTCGTCACTGTTTGCGCGCACAAATTTCCTCAGCACTCCTAATGGAGTAGCCATCGCATTGTCGACAGCCTCAACCTGCGCACTTACCTCGACTTCCCAGAGTTCATCGAGTTCGGCGTAGACGTGCACCTCTGCGTTTGTGGGCAGTGCGATGCGCGACTCATCGCCGGGAGTGTAGTTCTGCACCGACAATCCAACGCCGAGCTTACCTGCAATACAATCCGATCGAGTTGACAGTTTACAACGACGTCATGCTGAGTCGATCGGCATACCCAGCTCGTCCACGCTCAGCGCGGCATATCCGACGCGCGAGGTTAACAACACAGAGACATTCAATTCGTGACACTTGACGTGTTCTTAATGAAACGAGCGCCTGATAGACTACCGGTCATGTATCAATACGAGCGGGTCGAGCACTGCAGAGGTGCAGTGCACTTCCGGCAAGGGGGGTCCAATGTTTGGTAGCCTAACCGCTGTCGGTACACCCGAACTCCGATTTTCCGTCCTGACACGATGAGCGAGACTCTCGGGTGACGATACGTAAAGGTTTATGACCCATAAGAGGTGAAGGTGGCGGATGTCCTTTGGCAGTAGGCACGGTCGTATACTCCCCGGGTTGTCATGTGCAGTATGGTTGCTAGTTAGAACACGGACAAAAAAAAGCGTCGGCTTACTTTTGCAGTCGGGGTCGACGCACCATTTGTGACTGGGAGACGCGAATGCGACGCTAATATTATCTAGGATGAGTGTTGAGACTAGAAATACTGAGCAACGTATACTACGACCCAGCGCCATGCTCGCATTGCGTACACGTCAGTGGCAAGAGCAGTAGCAGCTGGAGCGCCGGAGTTGCTCGGAGGCTTCCTTCGAACAAAAAAGAAATTAAATAGTCAAAACAGCTATCTTCAGTTCCACTCGAAATTAAAAAAAAATTTATAGTGAAGACAAGGGAAAATTAAGATAACAATGACTCGAGAAAAAAAAAATAAAACTAAATGGTGGCAGAGCCACTGAGATACGGGAACTGTTTTGCCAGGGGGCGCGGGGTTGAAAGTGACCTCCATCTTCCCGTTCTTCGGTGAGAATTTTCTTGCCGCTGAGCATCGGTCGTTTTTGCGACAAAAATGCTTCGGTTTCCCCTGAGCCAGGGGCTGAAGGGGTCCCTCAGACCCCTGGTGCAAACCGCGGGTCTGCGAACCGGCTCCGCGCAAACGCAACAGCAGCAACAGCAACGCCAGCCAGAGAAGATAGAGGTCTTCATTGACGACCAGCCTGTCCTGGTCGAACCGGGTACCACGGTGCTGCAGGCCGCCGCTATGGTCGGGGTCGAGATCCCACGTTTCTGTTATCACGAGCGGCTTTCGGTGGCCGGTAACTGCCGCATGTGCCTCGTCGAGGTCGAGAAGTCCCCCAAACCGGTGGCAGCGTGCGCCATGCCCGTCATGAAGGGCTGGCGAGTGCGCACCGACTCGCCGATGACCCGCAAGGCCCGCGAGGGCGTCATGGAGTTCCTCCTGATGAACCATCCACTGGACTGCCCCATCTGCGACCAGGGTGGCGAGTGCGACCTGCAAGACCAGTCGATGGCGTTTGGCAGCGATCGGAGCCGTTTCACGGACGTGACGCACTCCGGTAAGCGCGCCGTCGAAGACAAGGATGTGGGCCCGCTTATCAAGACCATCATGACCCGGTGCATCCAGTGCACGCGCTGCATCCGCTTCGCTTCTGAGGTGGCCGGCGTGGACGACCTGGGCACGACCGGCAGGGGAAGCGACATGCAGGTATGCTGTGCCCTAGTGAATTGTTTGATGGTGTGGAATGAAAAAGGTTATCTGGCTATGTTGGCCAGGACAGGGTCTGTGAAGCCAAAGACCGTGGCTCTGCTGCCATTACTGTGAGACTTTCCCGAGACATTTGTGGTGTAGGTTTCACCAGTTATGTGTCGACGGAAAGTATTGACTGGGCGACACTTGTTGACGACTGGGGGTGTGTTTATCTTAGCAGTTGCCAACAAGCTATACTTCATATAGATGGCTTGCTTTGAGGTCATATCAGTTGCTACTGTGGTAGTTTTATTGGCAGGTGCATTTCTTCTGCAGCACACACTTTGCACCACCAAATGCGGAACTCAGGTTTGTCTGCTTCTTGCACGGGGTTGCAATGATTTCAGTACACCGGAAAAAAATAGTGGGTAGACCTCAAGACATCTAGGATTGAGGTCTACCCATTATCATTTCAAAGTCAATCAGAGCTCAGCATCCTTCTGACGCCACCACAACTGCGCAAAAAGCAGACGACTTGCTCTCCGCATATGTTATTCTCATTAAGAATAAATAAAATGACTGCTGCATGGTGTTGTGCCTTGACGTGCAAACTGGGTATGCATAGCTTGCACGTGACGTCATTTGCTGCCATGCCAGTATTTTATGTGCCACGAGCATTCAATTCGCTGTGTTAGTTTCACACCGCAAAAGGTAGTTCGAAGAAACCAGTAAGGTAGAAATAACTGTCAGTACCCAGCAATGGAAACTCTTACAGGCTATGTATACTCCGTAAAGCCGAGAGAGAAGAGGAGATCAGAACGCCAAGCTCTAGTTCGAATGGTTAGCGGGAAGACCTAAACCTAGCTGCCTTTGTCTCCGCTGCACTCGTTGAATGCATTAGAATGCATAACGCCGGTGTCTGGCTCTTGCATTCGAATGCGGTCGACGAGTCCATTGGAGACGAAGCCAGCTAGCTTTAGGTCTACCGAGAGTCACTGAATGTTCCCTGAGTACCGAATTCCATTGTCACTTACAGGAATTCAATCCTGCAAAATCCAGTTCTGATTGGCTAGTTCAGCCCGTGGTGGAGGTTACCAGTCAGTCATTTTGCGGACCGGCCCATAACGACAAAAAACATGCAAAATGTTTTTGCGTTACGGCTACGGTGGGTACGCATGGTTGGAAGCTCTGGGCATTGACGAGTAAGGACCGAACGGTCCTTACTTGTCTTCAGCTGCAATCTATGGTAGGGTGGGTAGATTCATTTTGAGTTACTTTAAAGAGATGATGAGACATTGTGTAATTTATTAGGCTATTTCGTTACTGATTTAAGACAACCCTAAGACTGGGAAAAACAAGGACAAACACGACAAAATCTCAAAATTTTATATTTCCTCGTGTTTGTCCTTCTTGTTTTCCCCAGTCTCAGGGTTGTCTTAAATCATGAACGTAAACTAGCTCGCCCGCGCCCTATCACTCATTTCAGTATTTTGTTACCTTGCTGATTTGGTGTTTTGAGGCCACAGGGACAGGTGTTTTTAGCAGTGGCCCTGCATCAAGAAAGACCAGAGATTTGTTGTTGTTTGCTGAAACCTCATTCTGATAAAACTTATTTCGGTTACACAGGTAGGCACCTATGTGGAGAAGATGTTCATGTCCGAGCTGTCTGGCAATGTCATCGACCTGTGCCCCGTCGGCGCCCTCACCTCCAAGCCGTACTCGTTCGCAGCCCGGCCCTGGGAGACGCGCAAGGTGGAGAGCGTGGACGTACTCGATGCGGTCGGCAGTAACGTGGTGCTGAGCACACGCACGGGTGACCTACTGCGGGTTCTTCCCCGCCCCAATGACGACATCAACGAGGAATGGATCTCGGACAAGACGCGCTTCGCCTGCGATGGCCTGCGTCGGCAGCGACTCACTACGCCGATGCTTCGGGACGAGAAGGGACTTCTGCAGCCGTGCGGCTGGAAGGAAGCCCTGCTGGCTGTTGCCTCCAAGCTTCAGTCGGCCGGCCCCGGCAAGGTGGCGGCCATCGCGGGAGCCCTAGCCGACGCAGAAGCCCTGGTCGCCCTCAAGGACCTGGTGACCTCGCTGGGCGGCGAGGCGCTCTGCACCGAGGAACGGTTTCCGACCAGTGGCGCTGCCGACCTGCGCTCCAACTACATCCTCAACGCTGGCATTGCGGCCATTGACGAAGCTGACTTGCTGATCCTCTTGGCTACGAATCCGCGTTGGGAAGCGGCCACCCTGAACGCCCGTATCCGGAGGGCCTGGCTTCACAACGAGCTGCGGGTGGCCCTGCTGGGTCCGAAGCTGGATTTGACGTACGAGTACGAGCATCTCGGCGACAGCGCCTCGACGCTGGAGCAGTTGGCGCAGGGAAAGCATCCGTTGTCTGCCGCTCTGGCTGCGGCCAAGAGGCCAATGGTGGTCGTTGGCAGCGTGGCGCTGCAGAGGCCAGACGGGGCGGCCCTGCTCGGTCTGGCACAGGCCCTGGCGGCACAGGCACGGGGTTCCGACCAGGGTTGGAAGGTGCTCAACGTGCTGCACAGGGTGGCGAGCCAGGTGGCAGCACTGGACGTCGGGTACACAGGAGGAGTCGATGCCGCCAAGGAGGTAACAGCTGTCGTCTCAACTCACACACGCACAGGGGGTAACATTCATTGGTAAACTTTCATCAATTCGGACTTACTGCTGTGTGTGCTCAGAAACCAGGTTTGGGAGAAGTGAAGCGTCCATGCATGCGCAGCGCCGAGAGCAGTGCCACCGCAGTGGCGTGACGTCAGACAGTATGAGTTGGTCACAGCCTGTTGGAGGTGTGTGAGTCAAAGGTTGCTTGCAATATCCTTTTCATGCAAAGACATTCAAGACCAGTTGAATCTCGAAGTGAGTCTTGATGAAGGTTGAATATGAAACCGATAGGAGGCCCAAATGTATATGTTAAATGTGCATGTAAAATTATATAACTCAGTGATGTGATTGCTGCGCCAATTGCGCCAAACTGCGCCGAGGGGCTAACCCTGCTACATCCTGCTACATTTTGCCAAAATATGGGTAATCTGCGCCAAGCCTGCGCCAAAGGAGCAATTTTAGTCGCCTTTCCACACCAAAACTAAGCTGAGTACCATAATTGAGCATGCGTGAGCTAGGTGGCGCAAGCGGCCGCCCGACACAAAGTACCCTGCATCAATGGTCCATCCGGTCTTGCATGATTTTTCCCACCGTCTCTCGTTTCTCGCGCTCGTAAAGGCCCGTTCACACTCTTGCGACTGCTTGCGACCTCTTAAACCTGGGTTCCTTAAAACTTCTTAAACCAGAGAACACACTGGCGCCATCTATTGGTAAGCAGTGTAAACTCGGAGGTCCGGCATATTTTTTTTTATTTCTCGCGCAATATCCTTTCTTTTTTGGCTCGAAAAACTTTTGTCAATGTTATAAACGAGCCTTTCTATGGGTATTACGCACATTTGACCTCGGAAATCCCGCAAAACCTTCGCTTTTGTGAAATGCAGTTCTAGGGTCACCGCATAGATGGCGCCACAATGTCAGTGTGTCCCCTCATTCTAGAAACATTTAAGAAGTTGTAAGAGATCTCGTCTCTCTCAGTCGTACTCGGTCGCAAGAGTGTGAACGGGCCTTTAGTCTCGTCTCGCGTCTTTTTAAATTTTTTTTTTTCAAACATAGACGCGGGCATGTGTGGATGCTCCGACAGTAGCGTACCGGGTACCAGGCCAGCCATGCCGTCATTCTGTGAAACGAAACCGCGTTTTTGCGCGGCGGGAGTTACTTTGTGAGCTGAAGCACTCGCTCCTGAAAACAACGGACGTAGGAAAACTATATTTGGTCTATGGCTGTCAGTCACCATGGTCGCGCAACGTCGGGTGTTGCTGCCTCCACGTCGCTGCAGATGTGGCGCTTTCTAAACTGAAATGTAAGGGCTGCCGCATGTTCATGAACATTCCTGTTGTTGCTTAAATCATACGCTACTGCAAGAATCCCTCTTTACCTGCGTTTGCTGTGTCAAAGTATTGATTACCTAGGCTCCTCTCAGTAGGCTTCCTTTCGAGAGGGACCCCGGTACGCGAAAAATCTCCCGCGAAAGAGAGTTGGTGAAGAGAAGTGATCTAAAACAAAGAAGGCAATATATGCACGCTGAACCCGCAATACGCGCTTGTTTTTCTCGAGTTCAGTCGTTGCACAAAGCGCTCCAAGAACTTTTTGCCCCTGGCTCGCGATGTCTTGCGTCGATGCGCTCAGGTTCCGTTTTTTGTGTGTGTTTAACGTGTACCCTGTTTGAACGCCTTGCAAGCACGTTCCGCTGGACTTTTTTGTCGTATGCTGGGGACTTACATTTTGTTTACAGTTTTGGGAACCAGTTGGCAAAGGAGCGGAGTGACATGGTTTCGGTTTCGGTCGAACAGCCATCTCCGCTCGCGCGACGAAGCATGTGTAACTGCAAGCCTGCCGAAGTTGCCCTCATGTGCATGCGAACGTGATGGCACGACAGAGGCACCAGCCGAAACGCTTGCAATCCATTGTGTTACGTTTGCTTACTCTTGACGGAAATCTGGCACGTCAGGAACCAGTAAAACGGCGGCAAGCGGTTTTTCGGAATTCCTCGGCAACGCCTACAGCACTGTACACTTCTGGGATGTTTCAATGTTTCTTTGAAGACATTGAAAGTTGACATTCATTCCGAAGGCAAAGAAAAGCGAGGCTTGGAGCAGCCTTGTCGAAAGTTTCGAAAAGCGAAAAGAAAAGCACCCGCTAAGACTCGTAATGCACCTTTATCTTGTGTACAATTTCGCATTGCTCTGCAGTAGTTGCGTGTTTCATCAGTCGGAGACCTGCTTCCATTATATTATATAACTAGTCAACCTACTGCTGTGATATTTACTACTAAGCTGATCATTTTCAAATAAGTTTTTGTATGTGCAGTTTGGTTCTCATTTATCTATGAGCGATATGAAGGTGAACAGCCCTCTTCTTGTTTTTGTCGCTCCTGCAAGTTTTGGAACAAGCTCTGTTCCAGAAGAGGGCTAGAACGGAAAGTTTAGACCCCAAGCCACGTACCATTTGAAATGTTGAGAGTTAATATAGCTTTAAAGAGCCGTAAAACAGGCAAGAAACCAGGTAAGGTGTTCACCTTCATATTGCCGGCGGGTGTACATATATATGTATCATTTAACTGAAGCATTGCAAAATGTGTCATGCCATTGGCATTTCAGTTACATATTGAAAGACTCCCAGGTGGTCTAACCTGACCATAATTTATTCATTGCGGCGAGCAAAGTGCCCTTCGTTTATCCACCACTTAAAACAAATATTTTTATTTTTCTAAGAATATCTGCTCCAAAAGCCACTTTTGGTGCTCCGACACACCGTTCTGGCTGCTCCAAAAGCCACTTTTGGTGCTCCGACACACTGTTTTGGCTGCTCCAAAGGCCACTTTTGCTGCTCCAAAACACCGTTTTGGCTGCTCCGAAAGGTGCTCCAATACGGCTTAGGTCAATCACATCACTGATAACTTCATGGACTTTACACGCAGGAGGGCTCCATGGATGCTTTTTGTTTTCTAAGACTGTTTTTAGAATTATTGGCATGTCCCGGTGACGTCGCAGGCTCAGCCGTCGGTGCTGTACCTCCTGGGTGCTGACGAGGGCCTGGTGTCGCGTGCTGACCTCCCGGAGGACTGCTTTGTGGTGTACCAGGGGCATCACGGGGACCGGGGAGCGGAGCTGGCCGACGCTATTCTGCCAGGTGCTGCCTACACAGAGAAGCAGGCCACCTACGTCAACACGGAGGGACGCCCCCAGCAGACGCTTCCTGCTGTGGGGCCGCCGGGACTGGCTAGGGAGGACTGGAAGGTAGGTGAAACCTCCCTTAACTCGGGCCCCATTGGACAACAGTCGCACAAAGATGGCCATAGCAAAACACATGAGGAGGAGCCGCTTCAAGAATGCTCTCTCCGAAGTCCTTGCTTTAGTTATCGAGTGACCAGGACAAGAATGCATTTTTTGTCATCTTTGTCGTGGTCATTGAATGGCCACAATGTGGGTGCTTTTTCGGGAATCCTTACATGGTCATCGAGTAACCGTGGCAAGGACTCTGGAAGATGTGTCCTTGTTGTGGTCATTGTTACCACAAAAAGATGTCCTTTCCAGCATCCTTGTTGTGGTCATTCTTACTATAGTAAGAATTCTTTTCCGCCATTTTTGCAGTGGCCATTGAGGGTCCACGTTCAAGGATGCTTTCTTGTTACCCTTTTTGCGGTCATCTGGTAGCCCCAATGAGGATGCTTTTCCTAAAATCCTTGTTGTGGTCATTGTTACCACAATGCCCTTACCGTGGTCATTGAGTGACCACAACACAGATCTTTTTTTTTTTGTCATCTTTGTTGCAGTCGTCAAGTAGCCACTATGTGGATGCTTTTTCTGGCGTCCTTGTTGGGATCTTTGTTACAAAATAAGGAATCTTCTCCACCATCCTTGCGGTGGTCATTGAGTGACCACAACAAGGATGCTTTTTTTTTTTTTTGTCATCTTTGATGCAGTCATTAAGTAGCCACAATGTGGATGTTCTTTCTGGAATCCTTGTTGAGGTCATTGTTACAAAAATATAAATTCTTTTCCACCATTCTTGCAGTGGTCATTGAGCGACCACAACAAGGCTGTTATTTGTCATCCTTGTTGCAGTCATCAAGTGCCACAATGTCAATGCTTTTTTGGTCATTCTTGCTGTTGTCATTGTTGAGTGACCAAAACAAGGATGCTTTTTCTGGCATCCTTGCTGTTGTCATAGAGTGACCACAACAAAGATGATTTTACTGGCATTCTTGTTGCGGTTATGAATTGAACACTGCGCGGTTGCTCCTTTCGGTAATTATTACACTGTATTGTAGAACCACAAAAAGTTTAAGGATGCTACATGGGGACATTGATCTTCTGGTCAATTGTTTGCAGAGGAAACAACCAAGTAGTACTTTATGCAGAACCCTTTCTAAGAGTTGTCCGTGATATGCAGGTGGTCCGTGCCCTCTCCGAGGTCGCTGGAGTTCACCTTCCTTACGAGAGCCTGAGCGAGATCCGTGGTCGCATGACAGAGCTTGCCCCACACCTGACCCGTTACGGAGAACGTGAGGAGGCCAGCTCATTCATGGCACCTCCCAAAGACCTGCCGGCCCTGTCCAGCCAGCAGCCTTTGCACCCGAGGCTACTGACGCTGAGGGATTTCTACATGACAGATGCCATCAGTAGGGCCTCCCCCACCATGGCCCGGTGTATGCAGGCGGTAGACCAGCAGGCCAGCAGGCCCTACTAGCGAGAGTTGTTTAACTGTATATACCTCTAGGGAAGCTGTGGGCCATGAGTGTCTTTAGTCTGCCAATAAATACTTATGAAAAACCCCAGTTTGTTGGACCCTGTGCAATTATTAAATGTTTGTTTTAGAAGTTCTCACAAATCATGATTGGGAAGTGTTCTACACATTCTTCTCGTGGATAGTTGTAGAACATATTGGAGCTTTTTGTGGTTAGCCTTTTATTTGCATCAATGTTAATTTTTGATTCAATATAAATAATAATAAAAAGAAAACTGCGAGCCATTTTTTTGTTTTGTTTTCCTTTTGGTTTGACCAACTTTACTGTCTCGGCGGAATGCCTGTAAACAAAAAAGTCAACCAGTCAACATTGGGTCTGACGTCACAAATTGTCCGTAATGGTGGCGTCGTTGAGTGTTGAGTTTTGCAGAGTGTGTACTTGAGCTCGAGTTCGGACTGTAGGATGCTTCCGCATATCTGCGTTCGTCCCTGATTCTCGTGCACGGCTCGTACCGTCGCGGCGACAGTTGGTCGTTCGATCGCGGAATCTTGTCGCCGACCGACGCCACCGCGGTCGACATGGCGAAAGGTAGTGTGGTGCAGTTCGCCTTTGAGCGTCAGTACGACACCAGCAGCCGGCTCCGGAACAGGTTGTTCCACGACAGATACTGCTCCGCCAGCGACTTGTACAGGAAAGACCTGTACGCTCACTTCGGGTGCGTCAACGCCATCGAGTTTTCCGCCGACGGAAATTGGCTGGTGTCCGGTAAGAGCTCGCGTCTGGTCGGTGTCTCCAAGGCTGTCAGCTGATCAGCTGATTGATCAAATCGGGCGCTTTCGTGTGTTTACATAAACTCTTAATCTTAATGAGAGTTGTTCGGCTCTTGGATTCGCTGTTGAATGTCGGCCAAACTGAACGGGACAGACATTCTTGAAAGCGGCGTGAGCGCTAATAGTTGTAACAGCCCAAGAAAGAAACTAAACACGGGACAGAAGACGGACAGCGCATCTTTCGTTTTGTCCTTCTATGTTAATTTTTTTTAAAGGTTTTTACACTATACCAGCACGCTCACCTCAAAACAGTATGCTAATTCGTGGCGTCACCACTTTTGCAGTCGAGCTTAACTCGCTGCACGGGTGTTCGTTCCGTTTGATGGATTCGCATGCTCGAGAAACTATATTGGATGCGCAGGTGGGGACGACAAGCGGGTGTTGGTATGGAACGTGCCCGAAGCCCTATCGGATCTCAAGACGCCCCGTGCTATGAAGGGCAAGCACAACAGCAACATCTTCTGCCTCTGCCTCGATTCATGCAACCGGACTGTGTTCTCCGCAGGTGGGTGCACGTCCTCAGTTTGAGACGCCGTCGTTAGGGTCGTCAATGGCTCTGAAACTATGTCTTGCAGATGTCAGATTTAATGAGTGTGATTTTGAATGACGCCACTCAAACCCTCACGAGAGACTGTACCTGGTATTATCTGCTCAACGTCAGAATTGATATTTCTATATAAGTACCACGTACACGCACAATGTATTGGAAACAGGCCTTTATAACTCTAATGCAGAGCGCAAGTTCGTCGGCTTCTTGCACAGGGGTTGCGATGATGTCAGAACGCCGAGCTCTTATTGGCCGCTTGAAAAAAATAGTCGGTAGACCTGAAGGTATCTAGCGTCGAGGTGTTCCCAGCATCCTTTCACTCAAAGCCAATCAGAGCTCAGCATCTTTCTGACATCACCGCAACTCCTGCGCAAGAAGCAGACGACTTGCTCTCAGCATTGATTGCTTTTGTACGTCGACGTTCAGAGATAACTAGCTACTAAACACGAAGTGATGTCCGTTTTAATAATGTATCTTTGTTTCCTATCTCAAAGCCCTTTTGTGCGTTCTCAAGCCACGGGCTTTACGCCATCACGCGGCTCCGACGTCGCACCGTTGCAGCAATGCGGTTAGGGTGCGTTCGCCGAAGCTCTGTTTGGTACGAATCTGGTTTCTGCTCAGACGCAGTGTCCGCACTCAATGCGGGCAAACACCGTCTTGTTTGTAAACAGCATGTCACTCTATACTCTGTTTCACCTTACGACGAGCAGCAGAGGATGCCACGACCCATCAAAGCCAATGCGATGGCATGGGACTGTCGTGTGACCTTCTGTTGGGGTGCCGCGACTTACAGGGTGCTCAGTCATGTGATACATACACGGTGCCGAACTGGCCGGCATGGCTCGTAGCATCTGCCGCGGTGTATCGCAAGGTGAAACGGAGTATAGTCTGTGGAGTTGGCCATGTTTAGTATTGTTCCTTTCTGTCTCCGCAGGCAACGACGAGCAAGTAATAGTGCACGACATGGAGACGTAAGTGGTGCATTTCTGCCGTCACGCGGCAATGGGACGTGCGGCAGATGCGCTGTGGTTGCAGGGGCCGGACCACGGACGTGTTCCTGCACCAGGAGGCGGTATACGGACTTTCCGTGGAACCGACCAATGACAGCGTCTTTGCGAGCGCCTGCGACGACGGCTGCATCCTCATCTACGACGTACGAGAACCCAGCTCCACCGGTGAGGTGATGGACGGATGGATCCTTTATGATGGGCAGTAGCTTGCACCGCCTAGCCACGGATAGATAGATGGATAGATGGATGGATGCAGACGGCTGTACTCTTTATAATGGGCGTAGGTGCAACCTAACCTGGAAACTAAAAACCAAAAGTATGATTCCTCCCCCCGCCCTTCCAAGCCAATTTGCTTCCCCTTTTCAATTATGTATTTATCACCAGGCGGTGTGGGTTATCACCAGGATGACCTTTGGGGGATCGGACAAAAAAAAAAGTTAAAAACCATCCCCGCCCAACCTCCTCCTGGCGAAGAAGTCGCCAATTTTCCTCTGGTCAAACCTAGTTGGCGTTGCCCCAACACCGAACCCACAGGGAGACAGGGTCGACACTTTGGGCCAGAGCCACGTGGGAGGGAGTCTCAATTTTTTCCTTTCCCGCCTAGGTCCCCAGCCGTGTTAGTGTTAGTTAGTTGTAAACCATTCAATTCTCCCTAGATAATTTGCACCAGTCTTCCAATCTCCTCTTTGTTATGGAATTGCACTTATCATCCATCCTTCCATTCTCGTCAACAATACCCGGTGCTCCAGCCCAATCCATCGGCCCCTCCGGGAGGGCGGGAGCACCATTCCACAAAGCTCATGGTGGCCAACACACCTAAAACAGGAGAAGAACCAGAGTGCCTAAAATGCGTGTTCGACTGGTGTGTTTAGCGTATAATCCCACCTGTGCATCATAAGTTGTCCCAAACTGACAACAAATTACATCGCGGGAGCCAGCATGTCATGCCGTCAAACATTGTAATCCTGGCGATTGGTCGTAGAGGCTCGGGCAAAAAGTATGCGCAAGCGTTAGTGTTGTTGTCATCGGGAGTTCCCGACTACTGGCTGCCGAACCTTCCGTGGACTGCGAAGCAGGAGGGCATCCCGCTGCAGAACGGGCTTCTTCCATGTCCACCATCACTACCATGCTGTTTTTTTTGCAGACCCCTTGCTTCTGGTGACGTCTTCCTCTGCCTTCCATTCGGTGGCCTACAATCCCGTCGAACCACGCCTGGTGGCCACCGCCAATTCCAAGGAAGGCGTTGCCCTTTGGGACGTCCGGAGGCCACGTTGGTACGTGTGTGCATTCTCTTCCTGCTCGAAGCGGCGTATTTCAAAGCGTGCTGGTGTTGCAACCGACAATGTAATGTAAGACATTTTGCGGAGCGCAAGTTCGTCCGCCTATTACACGGGGGCTGCGATGACGTCAGGACGCCGAGCTCTTATTGGTCGATTCAATATGGCCCCCGTGACATTACAGAACCAGGTGTTCTTGTGACTTACAATGCAATGTAAGAAAATGTAAGCAAACGTTCATGCATGAATTGGCCTTTACATTACGGAATGTACGACGTGTCCAGCTGCTTGCTCCGGTACGACAGCCAGCTGGTGCCCCAGGGCGCGATGAGCGTGCGCTTCAACGGCGACGGGAGCCTGCTGCTGGCGCTGCGGAGGCGCCAGCCACCGGCGCTCTACCGCCTAGATGCGTCGCACCCCGTAGCTCAGTTCGACCACTGGGGCTACTACAACTCCTGCACCATGAAGAGCTGCTGCTTCGCCGGGGAGCGTGACGAGGTGGGAGCTGGCGTTTGTCGGTGCAGTCTTGTGCGTGTTGCTGAAGAAAAGTAACCGATTACAATTACGTTACTTTATTGAAAAATGTAACCGACTGCTGTAATCAATTACTATATCACAAAAGTAACCGAAGAATTACCAGAAAGTAAATGATTACTTTTCACGTGACCTTTTTTTAACTCTTTATTATGAAATAAGAAAATCTGTAAGCATGTCCAAAATGGTTCCATTTTGTTTCTTTTTATCATTCACATCTTGTCGAGCTTCGACAGCGGTTGCCGCTCAGAAACGAGGCGCTGTCGACAGCTCGACGGTCAAAACGTCGCTGAGCACGTTGACATGCTAATCCTTCTGGCTTTTATGTAAAAAGACTCGACTCAATCTCTTATGTAATTGATATTACTTGTAAATGATTACAGAAAAATAGCAATTGAACTGCAGCGATTGTTACCGCAGAAAAAAAAGTAATTGAAGCGTTAGAAAGTTACAATGGAATGTAATTGGTTACAAGTAATCAGTTACTTGTAACTCGTTACATACAAGTCTGGTCGGTCAGGTTGGTCGGAGCGGCATCGGTCGCTTTACAAAAAGACGGAGAACCAACTGTGGAACGATGAGATGGCTTCAACGGCACTCTCTTTGCTCACCGTCCATTCCTTCTGCGTTCGCTTTTCGGGTGCCAGTTGATGTCAGGCTCGTTCGATTTGCTCGAACCAGCCTGCACGGTTGCAGGAAAATGCGGGGCAATGCACTTTCGGTTGTGTTGCGAGATACCGTGATGTCCCGAGAGATAGCCCATTTAAAATCGAAAGCTAACCTGGCAAAACCAAGGAGTGGGCTAACTTTCGGTGTGCAACAAAAAATAAAGTTGAAAAAAGGCCAGTTTTAGATCTTTTTACCTGCAAAACACGTAATCACAGGGAGGGGCGGCGAACTAACAGCGACCGTCCTCTCCAGTCGGCAATGGTTGTTCTCCCGTCGTGGTCAAGTAGCACCATTTCTGCTGAGTCACAAAAGGCCAGGGCCCTGCAATTACTATAAGTGGGCCATCCTTTGGTGTGATGTATCCGTGAATGGGCCTTCAAGGGACGACTCCGGCCGAAAATGAAATTGGAATAAATGACTGGTATTGCTTTAGCGGCACGAAATGTGATCGTGGCCGAAATATTGCGTCAGGGTGAAACTGCCTACTCCGCTGAAACCGGTCCTAAAGATGCGACCAGCTGCTCTTTCGTGCGTGGCAGGTGGGTTTGGTTTTGGTCTAGCAGCACTTACCAACACTTACCGCTGTGACGTCAGGTCGCGGCTGTACGGCTGACATCAGTGTTGCCATCCCTCTCAACCAGATGGTTTCGGTATTGCCGTAGGCACCCGAAACCAAACTTTGAGCCGTGATGTTTACTAAAGTATGCGCAATATAGAGGAAAAAAAAAATTATACCTTGTAATTTAGGGACGCTGACTGAGCTGAAAAGAGTTGTAATCCTAGATTAAAAAATATTGACTGGAGTTGCTTTTTAAAGCGTCAGTCTCGCCGTAAAAAAATCGGTGTTGTGGTTTTTGCAGAGTGAAAAAATTTGCACAAGTGCAGTCGCGTCAACCTAAATCCCCCAAAAAACGACGGCAAAATAACCTGTGAAACGTCCTCGGAATCCTGGAGTTCCGCCAATCCTGTTTTTGGTGCCAGTGGTTCTCGGTCGTGCTATCTTTTTGCATGCGCCCTTTTTTTTATAATCGCTACGCGCGTTGCATTTGCGCCGTCAAGGGAGACAAAAATATGCCCCGTCTGTGTATGCCGTGCACATGGCGACACGGGGTGATTGACCGCTCAATGGATTTCCACCAGTTCATTCTGTCGGGGTCGGACGACTTCAAGCTGTACTCCTGGAAGTTGCCCCAAGAAGTGACCAGCGGCCAGCGCATCACCTCCCCTCGGGGCGTGCCCAGCTGCACTTGGGTGCGTCAGGCCCACCTGGTTCTGACCGACCACCGGTCCATCGTAAACCAGGTGCGCTTCAACCGGGCCAGCATGGTCCTGGCATCCTCCGGCGTGGAGAAGATCATCAAGGTGAGCCAGACGTATAGACCTGCATGGCTGTCCGCGCCCCTACGACTTGTGTATACTCTGTTTCACGATAACTTGGCGGACTGTGGAGGCTAGGGCCCCGCGACCCGTTAAGAGCGTCGAAGCGAGGCACGTGACCCGACGTCATGGGAGGATTTGTGTCACCATGCCAAATGCGAAGCGCGAGGCCTGTAGGAACCAGCTGTCGTCTGCTAGCCGAGAGTCGTCTGCTCCGAAGCCAACCGACTTCAAATGGAAGTCCATCGCAGCAACATTTCCGTCTACTAGAATAACAAGCACTTCGGGAACAGTTCACGAGACAACCATACGCTCAATTTAGCCGCGAAACTGTGACGAGTGCTAATGCCAGGGCAGAGTGCGATCTTTGGTGACGATAGGGCGAACTACACGGCTGCGATTGCCGGCAATCACCAACAGCCACGGCGCTACAAGGCGAAAAAAATCAAGCGGATACGGATGTGGCGTCACTTTTTTGGTTTAAATATAACTGAAACTCATAAATTTGTGATTATTTATTCTTTAATGTTCGTATCTTCTCGTTATAGATGGAATTGCGCGAGTTCAGTTGTCGTTGAAAGAAAGAGAAGCCTAGAACTACATTTGTCGCTGAGGGCTCTGTTGCTGTGGCGGTAATGAGGCCCCGGTGGCCGCGACCATGGAGTGTTATCACGTGCCTTGCTTCAGCACACTTATTGGGTTGCGGGGGCCGTAGCCTCCACAGTTCACCAAGTTATCATGAAATAGAGTATAGTGCTCGCATTGTTGCAACGAATGTTACTGCGGGGTGTGTCCCAGAAGAAAAAGTTTACTGTTTTCTTTTTTCACCGCAGACGTAAACTATGCGTCTCCAAAGGCTCATTTCCTGCCTGAACATAAGATAACGGTTTGTTCTGAAACTTTGGCATCTAGTTCAGACCGCTGGGGCTTCGTTTGGGCGGCGAACAAGCTGTCGGCGACCCCGTGTTAATTTTTGCTGCTAAGAATACCGCTTAAATCTGGGGGGGGGGGGGTTTGCGTCATAGATTATTTTGGTTGTGGAACTTCTCAGTTTGCACTCATCAGAGGTGAACTGCATGACAGAAGCATGTTTCGGGAAGCGAATGACTGCGCACATCAGCAGTATGAACCGGAGGATGTCATTTTGTTTCTGCAGAGTGTGCTTTGCCGTTCGTGTTGGTTGTTGTTTTCCTAAGGCCTGTTCGCAGCTTTGCATTTCGGTGTGATTGAGTACACTGTGCCGGCTTGTGGCTTCTCGTGATGAGGACTTTGGTTCGAGGTCAAGACCAGTCCTTCTCGTTTGACCCCGACCCAGCTGTGGAGCAGCCTGCCCCTCCCGGGCGGGGCGGGCGGCCTGAGGCGCGAGCGTCCCCCCGAGGAACAGGCGGAAGAGCGTCGCAAGCGCTACACGTACGAGGAGTACATCGACCTGGTGATGGAGAGTGGGCAGTTCATGAGCCACGACTACAGCCACCAGTCGGTCAGGGAGGACCCCCGCATGATGGCCTTCTTCGACTCCCTGGTGAGGACCGCTCTGCCCCCCCTTGCGGGCAGGCACCGTTTGCGAGGAACGCAGTGTCCTCTTTGGCCTTGACCCTTTGACTGCCAGATTTCTCTTCCCGCACGCCGAACGCAAATTTTGGTCTCGGGGTAACGCTGTAGCATGCCCCAGAAATAATATATGTTTATGAAAGACAGGCTATTCTATGGGCGAAAAGTTAATCTATGTCTGCGTGGCTCCTGTCTATTTCTTGTACTGTACTTTCCGAGACGAGGTACTATGCGGTGTCACCTCGACTCCACTCCCTTTGAGCGGCCTCACTCAGCCCTTGTTTATTCGGAATTGAAACTTCCTTGTTTTCACAGTCGTCGAATACCGAGTGCAGTGGTATTTTCTAGATCTCGGTGTTCTAAATGGCGCGCGAGGTTGAACAATATAGATTTGCCGTTTTGTAACGACGAAGGAGTGTGCCAAAATGGAAGTGACTTAAACAAAAATGATGCGTCGTCAAAAAGCGACAGCACAAGATGAAACATTCTTTTCATCGCCTTCTCATGCGTACCGCCACTCATAAAAAAATTTATATAACAGCCCAGTTGGGAAAGGCAAGGGGCAACTCGAAACCCCGCTGGAATGTGCCCACTGTGTGACACGGGCCTGAAGACCTGTCTCCTTCCAGGTGCAACGCGACGAAGAAGGTTGGTCGACGGACTGCAGCCAGGACAGCGCGTCGTCGGTGACGGTCATTCCCCGGGCCTCGGTGACGTCCTCTTCCTCGGACGAACTGCCGGAGCCGGAGCCGAGACCGGTCCGCATTCCCACGTCGCAGGAGAGACGCGTGCAGAGGCTCCGCCAGCTCCGTGCCCGGCTGACCTCCCGCGGCGGCCAGTCTTCGGACAGTGACGACGACTGGGTGCCGAGTCCCTCTCCTTCCGCAAGCTCTGCGGCGTCGGTACGAGTGTCGGAGCGAGCCTCGCACGACGCGGAAGATCGTGCGTGGCACGCAGCGCAGAGAGAGCCCAGCTTCGAGGACGCGAGGTCAGCCCCGAAAGGAGACTGCGAGGAGCCTACAAGCAATGGCGTCGCAGGCTCCTCCAACGGGGCCGAAGGCGAGCAACAGCAGGCAAGCACGAGCCGCTTCAAGCGGCCTCGCCTGGGCGGCCTCCGCAGCCAGAGGTCCTACCGGAGGCATAACGGCAGCGCAGACACGTGACGCAGTTGCCGGACGTTTTAGTTGTACAGTTGAAAATGGAGTCTGCATTGAGGGAGGGGAAGCCGGAACGAACTCGGACGTGGAGTCTCGGCCAAGTGAAAGGAGCCTGGAAAGACCTACAGTTGGTGACAGGTCAAGAACGAAGTGGAAGCTCCTCCCACCCACTTTAGCAGCACGAACGCCGGGGAGGAGACGACCTCCTCTCCAGCATCTGCTTTGCTAATGTGGAAAAAGGTGGGAGGAGCTTCAACTTCGTTCTTGACCTGTCACCGACTATAGAGTTACAGTGTTGCCGTCGGATCACTTGTGATGCAGTCCCGCGTGTGTGTCACTGAAGCTCATGATGAGCTTTATGAACCGACATAGGGTTCGTGATAGGCCTATGAATCGCAGAGTACACGATTTACTCTGAACCACATAGATCACATGATGAACTCTGAAGTAAATAGAGTACATGATAAACTTTATGAGCATCAGAGTACATGATGAGCTCTGTGTGGTCCATAGGGTTCACAATGAACTCTATGAACCAGATAAAGTTAACCATGTACTCTATGAACCACATGGAGGTCTCAATGAACATTATGCAGGCCATGGGACAAACTGTGATTCATAAAGTTAATTCTGCAGGTCTTGTCGAGTTAGGTGGGTCATAGATTCCATGAACTTTATGAATCATGGCTTTCATGATGAACTCTATGAGCCCCATAGAGTTTATAATAAACTCTATGAGCCACAGAGTTGGCAGTGGACTTTATTAACCACACAGAGTTAATGATGAGCTCTTCATGGTTCGTAGAGTTCACGATGCAGGTCATGTGCAGTCATCTGGTCTATGTGGTTGATAGAGCTCATGAACTTTAGAAACTGCATAGAGTCTATGATGGACTCCATGTGGTTCATAAAATTTATCATGCTGGTCAGGTGTGGCTATGGCAAGAGTGCAGGTGCAAAACCCCTTCAGTAAAACAGTACACTATGCCTTCTATGGGACAGCACATGATTAGGCAGATGGAATATGCAAGCGGGCTCCAGCAACACCTGTGACAATGGAAGTTGATAAAGTCGGAGGTGTGCCTCCAGACTTGCTTCGCTCTGCAAGGTGCACTGTTCTGCATCGGTCCATCTGGGCTTGTCACTAACCTCGAGAGATATATCGTTTGCATTGTACTTTATGCAGCAGTGCTTCTCTAAGGACTTTGACGTGTCAAGAATGACCGTGGTGTGGCGAAGATAGTATGTTAATATTAGCGTAGACATAGCTAGGACAGTCTGATTTATTTGCCCCAGCTTTGTTGTTTGTACCGGTGCCTCCTTGGGGACTTCTGTCGCGGGTGTCAGGGGAAGTTTGTGGGACTCGCTGTTAGAGATTGTGTGATTGACGGCGGATGAAATGGCGCTGAAATGTGCCGGGTGTTTTGGAGGGAAAAGAACCGGGTTTCTTTGGGAATGTGTAAATAAACTATACAGTACACACTGCAAGAGGCTGACACTATGAAAATGTGATGCTAGCAGTTGGTATAGAACACAAAAATTTAAGAGCATGACGTTACCTGGATTAAAAGATAGAAGAGAAACACCAGATTTCTATATGAACCGACATCTGCCTAAGCCTAATATTGTGACAACAAGGAATGACATTGTGGACGCATGTAGGATTTACTTTGGTAAACAACCTGTCGGCGAGAAAGAAAATATTCTCTTTCTTGCTGCCAAGCATTTTAGAGCGCAGCTCTTAGGCGCCTGTTTCCGGGTTTTGCGGCGTCGGCATAACCGCGCTAAATTTAGCGGGAAAATTGACATTACGTGATCTCAACACCTGTTCAATTCCCCACTAAATATAGCGGGGAATTGAATTAGTATTGAGGTCACGTGACATCAATTTTTCCTCCAAATCTAGCGGAGAAACTGAATTTGTTCATAGGTGACGTTACACCAAGTCATGTAACGTCATTCTCTCCGCTAAATTTAGCGGGGAAACTGAATGGGTGTTGAGGTCACGTGGCGTCAATTTTTCAGCTAAATTTAGAGGGGGAATCTAGGAGGAGGGGAGGGTACGGAGGGGGAAAGGTGGAGAGGGTACGGAGGAGGAGGGGCATACCTTCGCTTCTATACCCTCCCCTTCTCCTCCTCAAGAGCTGCACTCTAATTTCGCATTACAGAGATTTGTAAACATCTTTCATTTTTTTTCACTGATAGAAGTGCCAGATGCGTCACAACGTCGGTTCTTGTTTTGAGGTTATTAGGCTTAGGTGGTTGTCGGCTCGTAGACATATTTTGTCTTTCTATCATCCTTTGATCCAGGTAAATTCACGATTTCCAATTATCGTGTTCAACTGCTAGTGTCACATTCTTCCGGAATTTAAATGTCCCACGATGCGCAGTATCCAGATAGGCCAGAAAACACGGTTCTTTTTTCTTAAATACACTCGGTACAAGCGCCAACTGGGTCTCGCTTCCTGCGGCAGTGTTGGGACTATGAAACCTGTTTGCAAAGACTTCTCTTTAGCGTTTACAAGAAAGTCTGCTTCCAGAGAAAAGATATTCTTCCAGCCTGATGCATCGAGCGAAGGGCTTGCTTAAATTAGGAGACCGGGGGCCCTAATCTGGACGCTCGGCGAAAAAGTCGGCGAGAAATCTGGCGGCCGTGATTGGCCAACGCCAAACTTGACCTTGGAGCCGGCCAATCATTGCCGCAGGATTTCTCGCTGACTTTTTTGCCAAGTATCCAGATTAGGGCTCCAGTTCTACGATGATGCACCCAGGCTCGAGGTGGTTTCTGTTTGTAAGTTATTATTCAAGATTGAGTGTGTTCATATCTGTGAAGCGTTCCAATAAATTCCAGGTGAATTGCAGTTTTCTGCCACATTTAATCATGCACTGCAGCAGCGGCACATTGGCTGCTATATTCCCCCCCCCCCCTTTCATGGGCGTACCAACCGGGGGGGCAAGGGGGGCACTTGCCCCCCCAGTTCTCAGAGTGGGGGGGGCAAGGCATGCGTTTTGCACCCCCTGAAACGGCCGCCACTGGGCAGAGCAGACACAGGCCGGCGGCGCCCAAGGAATACCAAGGGCACTGCCCCCCGACCCGCGCGGGCATATTTTTAACGCGCAGGCGATACAAACCCTAGCAACGGTGCTCACGCAAGCCGGATTGGCTGGTTCGTAAAGCCTTGCTCCACGAACAAGGCTACACGGTAACCTTACGGAATCCATCCGCGAGACATGGGCCGGACGGGCCGTCCAGACCAGGACGTAGGCCCTTACACAAAATAAAGTTTTGCTTGCTTGCTTGGAGATAGGCGCTGCCGCCGTCAACAGAGGCAGCGGATGCAATGCGAGTTTTCGAAGAGGTAGCGTAACTTAGTGGTGAGATGCCTGCCTCATACGTGTCAGACCCGGATTCTATTTATGGTGTGGGCCGGCTTACTTCTTTTTATTTTTTTTCTCGAACATTTTATTTTGTCGAGGCATTTGGCGATATTTACATTTCTTTTTTTACCATTAACACTAAAAAAAAAAACGAATGTTGTTGACGAAACATCGCTAAACTAAATCGTATCGACTCTATTTACGGAAGTGCATGGGGGGCAGCGGGGCTTGGGTTGCCGACCGGACGCCGCAAAGCGGCGTGTACGGGGGGTGGGGGGGCTAGGTGGGTTAATAGATTTGTAATTAGCAGCCGCACACCGTCACCGCGAAGCGGCGTGAACGCAGGCGCGGGGGTGGGTTAACGCGCTTCGAGTGATACACGAGCAGCCCATCCGGCGTGAGCGTCGTTGTTAGGGGTTCTATCGCCTGCACCGTAAAAGGAGCAGTGTGTGCACCTCCTGTAGTGGGAAAGAATTCCTACATTGGAGAGAAGCAGTGTTGCCAGATGGTCCCACCAAAAAACCGCCAAACGGCTGGGAGGTGTAGCCCAAATATAGCCAAAGCCATAAAATAAATATAGCCCAAAATAGCCAAGACTAAAAACGATTTTTAAGCCTTTTATTGACAATTTTTCATACGCGTAAAAACAACACGTTACTTTCTCTTTTTCAACCCTTAGATGCGCCAGTTTCTGTGTACATTAAGTCCCCTGACAAAAAAAAAAAGCTTCAGAAGGATGAAAGTTTGTGAAAAATGACCCATCCTTCGTAGGTTTTCAGAAGTAGAAAACATACATGGACAGCTGTATTGTGAAGCCCGGGAGATATGATCATACACTAAAAGAACAGAATGCAGAAGCAGTACACCCAGAACAAGAATATGAGCATCCCCCGTTCTGGTTCACGCTATTTTTGATTGTGTTTCTTTCCTTAAAAGCCGGTTCTCACATGCAGCGAAGCGCTGATGTAGCGCTGCTCACATGTCTTCAGCTACTTATCGACTGCCATGAGCAACAGTTTTGACGGTGCGATACAAAGCTGGTGAACGCTTCCGTCGGCATGCGCTTAGCGCGAGGTCAGCGCTACGCTTGTAACGCTCCGCTGCATGTGTGAACAGGCCTTAAAGTGGGTGATGCCTAAGAATTTTTACAATGAGCACCAAAGCTGCGCTTGGAGAGTTCAGTCTAAGTCCGGGTAAAAGACGCGCTACCGGGCCTGTGGTAATAGTGCAATATGTTTGTTTGATTTGTTCCTTTGCGCTGTGGGGAGACCGCTTGAACTCTGCTAGCACTGCTTCTCTGCGCATTGTGAAAACCCCGAAGTTTGTAGAAGTTTGAAGCCATTCTCCTTCCTCTCTCTCCTCTCGACTAGCCAAAAGAGAAACAATTTTGTTCTCGAAACTGATTAGAAGTTCGAAAATTAACTAGTCGAACCTCAAAGTTCGACGTCGAACCTGAGGTTCGACAAGAGTTCGCCGCACCCTTAGGAATAGCCCAAAAATAGCCACATAGCCAACCACGAAATTTTGACGCCAATTAAAAAACAAATGTAGCCCAATTTGGCTATATATAGCCCAATCTGGCAACACTGGAGAGAAGCGGGGACAAGCCCTTTCTTCAAATGCGTCAAGTCTCCTTGAGCTTCGGAATACAAAGAAACGCCACTATTCGGAGCTAATCCCACAGTTACTCGACCTCTCTTGCGTCGTGTCTGTTCGCTCCCCGCGCCTCGTAGCAGTGTTGTTGCGGGGGGGGGGGGGGGGGGGGGGGGGGCGGCTCGTTAAAATTTTGGGGTTTTTTGGACTATCTAAATCACTTTCTTCCTTCCCATCCCCCCCCTTTTCTAATCCGCATGCTTCCCCCTCTGCAAATATCAGCTGACCTTCCGACCTCTGTTTTCTGTTGATAGGCAAAACAACCACTAAAATTAGAAAGTAATTTGTAATTTGAGTGGAAGTCACTCGGAAAAGTAGTTAAAGTAAACTACTGATTACTAGAATAGAAATGTAATTAAAAGTTACTAAACTACCCAGAAAAGTAGTTAAACTACAGTAACTTGAGTAAAGTAGTTGAACTACGTAAAAGTCTGGCCTGGCAAGCGCTCTGCGTAAGTGTTTTCACTGATCTGCCTAGCCCCGCAAACCATCACATGGGCCAAGAAAGGTGTAGTTTTACTGCAGAGGAGAAATCAGCAGGGTCCAAGATGGTGACAATGGAGGATGGGGGACTGTTCCAGTGGCTGATGGCCAATTGAGAAAGGAATGACCAATTGAAAGCGTTCGTAGAGCCAGAAGTGTGTTTGATGGTGCAGGCGTTGAGGCGAGAAGATGTTCGGTCGAGGGGTAATAACAAAGTGGTTTTGAGGTCGGGAATGTGGTAGTAGATTTTGTGAATAAGGCACAGCTGAGAGACTTTCCTGCGAAGCTGCAAAGAGGACATGGTTAGTTCAGTTTTTAGCGCCGAGACACTGAAAGAAAAGTCATAAGTGGATGAAATGAAGCGAGCAGCTCTGTTCTGAACTGCCTCTACAGCGTATTGATGAGGTACAGTCGATGGGTATTCCAGATGGTTGAAGCATATTCTATTTTTGGTCTGACGTACGTGTTAAAGGTTAGCTTAGGGACAAAGGGTGGAGCGATTTTTTAAGTTACGTCTGCTTAGTCCAAGAGTTCCAGATGAATCGGCGGTAATGACTTCAATGTGGTTATTCCTCCAAGGTATTTATACACAGTAGCGGTCTCAATCAGATCGGAGTCCAAGAAGTAATTAAATGACAGAGTGGTTTTTTTCTTGGTGAAGTGGATTAGTTTGCGTTTATACTTGTTTGGTGACATAATCCACTCTTTGCACCAATTGTTAATTTTATCTAGATCTTCCTGAAGCTGGTTATTATTTTGCACACAAGTTACTTTGTTATGGATGACGCAGTCGTCGGCGAAAAAGCGTTTTTTTGAAGAAATCCCAATGGGAATGTCATTAATAAATATTAAAAAGAGTAAGGGCCCAAGTACGAACCCCAGGGGAACACCAGGAGATACATTTATTAAGGAAGATTCATGATCATCATGGACGTGACCTGTACACGGGAAAAAAGAAAGTCACGAATCCATGCAAACGGTTATTGGTCGAGGCAAAAAGATGATAGCTTAGAAAGAAGGCGTTGATGGAGGACACGGCCGAACGCTTTGGAAAAAAAAAAACCAAAAAAACTGCGTCAGTTTGGACGTGACATTCAAGGTTAGTGTGCAAGTCATGGATGAAGTCGCAGAGTTGCGTCTCGCAGGAAAGTACCTTTTGAAAACCGTGCTGCTGTTTAAAGAAAAGAAATGGGATGATAGGTGCCTCATGATATTGGAGTAGAGGATATGCTCAAGTGGTTTGCAAGAAATTGAAGTCAATGAATTAGGGCGATAATTAGATGCGGAAGAGCGGCTGCCCTGCTTAAAGACTGGGAATTACCCTTCCCACCTTTTGGTCAGATGGAAGGCAGCTTTGAGATGAGGACTGAATGAAGATGAGTTTCAAATACTCACTAGAAATAACACGGGTGTTTCTTTTAAATTTTAGGGTTGATGTTATCGGTTCCAGCGGACGAAGTAAGTTTTAGTTTATCAATCAATGTTTTAATACCAGCGGAGTTAACGTTAATAGGATGCATGCGCTCGTAAAGCTCTTCAGGGAGAGTGGGGACGAAGTCCAAGCACTCGTTAGTAAACACTGATGAAAAGTATTCGTTAAACACAGAACTATCATGCTCGACGTTGCACATCCGACATTCCTAACTCTCCCCATCTTCCTAAACGTCCGTGTGTGTCCTAACACCAGAAACCGGAATTTTAAAGGTTAAAAACGGCACGTTGCGAATATATGGAACGCGCACTTTCATGCAAAGCTGACGTCAAGTGACTCAAATCGAAAAACATGCATATTTACAGTATTGTTATCTCTTCTGGTGAAGGCTAAACAACCGTTGCATCCGTTTTCGCGCACGAAACGGTGACTCACAGAGAAAGTAAGAACGCAGTGATTATCTTTATTTTAACAATGTAAACACACTTGTAGGCGTACGCTGATGAAGCCTCAAAATCAAAACTCTTGTAGTGTGATTGTGACTGCTCCGGCTACTACCCAACCTCGTTGTCACGCCTCTTTCTGCAAGCAAACACTAAAATTGCCAGTAAACACACAAAAGCGACATCGATACAATTATCTTGTAGAATATCACCTTATTTAATCATAACTGTTTCAATAGGCACTACAAGTTGTATTTATTTTAAGAAGAAGCAAAATTTTTTTTCGTGAGAAAAAACAAAATATTAATGTTAAGTCTGGTAACGTTGTAATTTTGCCGAATCATTGCCACATCTTTAGAAAACTTCGACAAAAGTTGCGCCGAATTTTCGATTAAGGGGGGGGGGGGGGGGGGGGGGGGGGAAGAGGGTCGGGTTTGCCCAACGTTTGCCCCCCCCCCCACTCAAAAACAAG